ATTGTTTTACCATTTCATAATATTTATTACAAATAAATTTATTTTAAAGAGTCAATTTATAAAATTTTAATGTTAGGAAGATAGTATTTTTAGGGGAAAAATAGCAAAATTAGTAATGAGAAGATACAATTTAGGAATAATTAACAAAATAGGTGTTTGAATTGTAATTTATTCTGAAATACATTACCATCCATTAACAAATTCTAGATAGGTTTCATCATCATCCTCCTCTTCGATATCTGAAAGAGTCGTTGATTTTTTCTTCTCTCGGATGAGAGTTTTGTTTAGATTCTCTGAAGTGTCACTTTTAAAAATATTCATAAATATTTTTGGATTTTCCTTTTCCTCAATAAGTTCAAGCAATTCCAGCGGATAAAAGCGGTTTTCTCCTCGATGAAAGGACTCAATGACGCAATGAAGAAAGGGATGAAATAATCTAATTCTGTGGCGTGCATAAAAATGTGCCGCTACGGTAACATTAAAGTGTTTAGAAAGACGGCCATATGCTTGAAGATTGTTTGCACCTTTATTGCTAAGATCGTCAAAGAAAATTGTTTTAGAAAATCCATTATTATCTTTATAAGTTGTTCTAAGCTTTTTTCCTTTTAATTTGTTCAAAATAAGTTCACGATTAGAGGGATGATTAAGCTCGTCTCTTAGAGATTTAACATTGCATTTTAATATTTTTGCAACCTCATCGATTAGAAGTACCATTTTAAAAAATTAGATTTTATGAATGAATGTTAGAAATGAATAGTTGGATATTATAGATTTCTTTAAAATATTTAGAATGAATTGAAAATTCGATGAAAATGGTGGAAGGGTTGATATTTTTCATTCCCGTTCATTTTCTAAAATCATTTTAAAAATTTTCAAAAAATGGACAATCTCGAAATCCCTGAATTCAATCCTCTCATTCCTCCTCCTGTCTTAGAACTAAATAAATCATTAGAAATGAAAGATTCTCCTAAAATTATCAAAGAATTGCCAAATAAATCTAATGAGAAAAAATTGTTTCCAAAATCTAGCAAAGAAACATCAAAAACCGCAACTCACCTCTGGAAGTTAACTAAGGGAAAAACTGTTTTACAATACCATCTATGTTATGGTAATTTTTTAAATTCGAAAAAACTTTTTAATATTTTTTATTACAGATTGTCAGAAACGTCTTTTTAACTCTCAAGATAAAATAATTCGTCAAGGGGATAAAATAATTCTTAAAATTGAATTTTGTGAAAAATGTGCATTAGATAACTGTGAAGCAACAGATTTACTATCAAATAAGACAAAAAGGAAGTATAGAAAAGTTGAAGATAAAACGGATATAATTAAAATTGATAATTAAAATTAATTTTTTGCTTTTTCTTTTCCAATTTTGTTTAATTTTACTATTTGGTAAATAAATATATAAATTTTGTTTACGCTATTTAAAAAAATCTCTAATCCTTTTCTTTCCTCTTAGATTAATTATTGCCGGTCTAGAAATTTATATTAGATCTTGACACTTATAAAAATTCTGTCCACTATTTTTACTCCTTTTATCCTAAAGAGAGATATTATTCAGTAAATGAATGCGCAATTGTAGAAAAAAGTCTTGGCAAATAAACAATTCACCGTTTGTTTTGAGAATTGAAAGTTATAGTTTTTTGAGTAAATGCAGATCTTATATTATTTTTAGCAGATTAGCAACGCTTGGCAAATGGGTGGAGAATATATATAAATAATGGTCAAAAACATTGAAATATTTATTTCTCGATGAATTTTAGTTGATATTTTTATTTAATATTTTATACTTTATTATTTTTAAATATATTTCATTTATGTTTTTAATTTTTTTTTTTGAATTTTTAATTGTTTTCTCATAAAATTTAATTGTTATTATTTTATTAATAAATTGTTCTATTTTAGCTTTTGTCTCTCTAAAATCTTTTAATTAAAATGTCCGACTTTGTAACAATGAAGGATCTCGCAAGCGCTCTTGTTGAAATAAAGCTTTTGCGATCTGAAGTTCAGCTATTGCGCGAAGAAAAAAAGGAGGATAAACGTTCCATCCAAATTTTGCGCATGGCTATGGTAAATAATGCAATACGTGTAGAAACGTTAGAAAAGTGGTCCGAAGGGGTTTATTTATTCTCTATTTCATTGTACTAATTTTTTCTATTTCGGGTACCCGCATCTCGACGTTTCATAATGCCTTTTGCCCCTTCCGTTGGCCAGGTACAATTGGATCTGTTTAGCTCGATGCGAAATTTTGAGCGAAATAATGTATTGGCACCTCATCGTTGCGGAGCATATCCTATTGCCGACCGAGGTATATTTCCTATCTTACCCTTTATTTGATTCTATTCAGTCGCAAATGATCTACTCCTTACTGTAGGGTTACAAGAAAATTTAAATGATGAAGAATGGGACCTTAATTCAAATGTTCAATCTACCTCAAATTGTGAGTATACATCTAGTTATTTCTTAATCAGTATAAACAATTTAAAAAATTTTTTTCCTTTAGTTGATCTACCTGCTGTAATGAATGGAAACAATTTCTCCACCAAGCTTCATAAAAAGAAGCTTGGTGGAGAAATCTGTATTGCTAAAAAGTGTAAAGATCCAGCTGATTTTGCCGGATTTTGTGGCCATGATGTATTTTGTTTAAAACATGCGAAGGAACGAGTTTCAATCGCATGGAAAAAAATTCAATGTCCTACATGTCCTTTGTGTGGACAAAATACACAGACGTTCAAGAATGCTAAGAAGCAGGACTGTTTGGATTTTTAGGTAACATAAGTTAATATGTGCTTTAATTAAATATTTGATTAAGTAATTTTTTGATAATGAAATTTTTGTGGGCTGTTAATTTTATTTAATGCTTATTTAATTATTTAGCCAATTTTGATTAAAATGTGCCCAAACCTTAGAGCTGTCCGGGACATTCGGCCTTGATTTTTGCCATAAGACTTTTATTGGGGTTTTTCGGCCTTGGTTCTGGTGGTGAAGTGTTCCTTGTCCCGACTTTAAAGCATTTGAAAAATACATCACTAAAAGAAAGAGCGAAAAAATTTTAGACGGGAGAAAAGGGGAGAGAAAGTTAAAAACTGTAAAAAAGAGTCTTTCAAATTCTCAAAATTTTTCGAGTGGACACAAAAGGAATACATAGAATGGAGAAAAATTTTCCTTTAGAAAACGATATTTTAAGCGCCTTCGTTTCACAAGCCCTGTATTTAATTTAAGTTTTGATTTATTTCCTTTAAACTTTTGAAATTATATATCATATGCCAAAGTCACGAAAAATAAACCAAAAAGTCTTGTTAGTACTTTAGTCTCGGGTCATGCAAAATTTTCGCTCTTGGACAGCTCTAACCAACTTAAACATATAAATATTTTACCAATTTTTCATTTTTAAATAAAAATTTAAAAAATTTTTATTTTTAATAATTTATTTTTGAAGAATAATATTTAAAAAATTTAAATTTGTTTTTGTTGTTGTTTAAGTTCTTCTAATCTTCGCCTTTTCCTTTCATCGCCGCATACTCTCTGGAAGTATTTAAATTGGAAAAATTAATGTAAAAAAAATATGGATGAGACGGAGACTTATAAAAAATGGAAAAAAAAATGGATGAGACGTAGATCCTCTCTCTCTAAATGGATGAGACCGAGACTTTCAAATTACGGCGCGGACTTTATATATATAATTTGTTCAGAATTTTGATCTACCTTTTATACGATAAGTTAACCGGACTTGGAGTGTCGTACGAGATATCTCGAGAAATCTCAAAAATACCCACTTATAAAGCCCACACCTACGGCGTGGGCCCACCACCTACGGCATGGACCTTGGTCCACAACCTACGGCGTGGGCCCACCACCTACGGTGTGGGCTTTATATATGACATTTATCTGAATTTAATCTACCTTTTATACGGAAAATTAACCGGACTGGGAGTGTCGTACGAGATATCTCGAGAAATCTCAAAAATACCCACTTATAAAGCCCACACCTACGGCGTGGGCCCACCACCTACGGCATGGACCTTGGTCCACAACCTACGGCGTGGGCCCACCACCTACGGTGTGGGCTTTATATATGACATTTATCAGAATTTAATCTACCTTTTATACGGAAAATTAACCGGACTGGGAGTGTCGTACGAGATATCTCGAGAAATCTCAAAAATACCCACTTATAAAGCCCACACCTACGGCGTGGGCCCACCACCTACGGCATGGACCTTGGTCCACAACCTACGGCGTGGGCCCACCACCTACGGTGTGGGCTTTATATATGACATTTATCTGAATTTAATCTACCTTTTATACGGAAAATTAACCGGACTGGGAGTGTCGTACGAGATATCTCGAGAAATCTCAAAAATACCCACTTATAAAGCCCACACCTACGGCGTGGGCCCACCACCTACGGCATGGACCTTGGTCCACAACCTACGGCGTGGGCCCACCACCTACGGTGTGGGCTTTATATATGACATTTATCAGAATTTAATCTACCTTTTATACGGAAAATTAACCGGACTGGGAGTGTCGTACGAGATATCTCGAGAAATCTCAAAAATACCCACTTATAAAGCCCACACCTACGGCGTGGGCCCACCACCTACGGCGTGGACCTTGGTCCACAACCTACGGCGTGGGCCCACCACCTACGGCGTGGGCTTTATATATGACATTTATCAGAATTTAATCTACCTTTTAACGGAAAATTAACCGGACTGGGAGTGTCGTACGAGATATCTCGAGAAATCTCAAAAATACAAGGTAGATTAACCAGGCAGATTTAAGTTATATATATATATCTGTCCATATTTTTGTTTTTCGGCGCTTCATGAAAAATTTTTTGTAAAATATTGTCTTACTTTCGGAAAATATTGCAAACTTTAAAAATTTTTTAAATATTTTCGCGGAAAATTCGATCTCGATATCCGAGATTTTTTTCAAGGCCTCATCTCATCCATTTCTATTTATTTTAAACTTAGTTCCTAGAATAATTCTTAATTAATTTTATTTATTAAACTTGCGTTATTTCTAGTCCTCTTCTTCTTTACTTGTCCTTGAGGTAAATTTTCCTTTTCTTCATTATTAAGATTAACTAGAGATAATCGAGCACGTTCTACTAAATTATTAGCTTGTTCTTCTATTTTTGACTTAAAACGAATATTTTTAAAAAAAATTTTAAATAATTTTTTACTTCTCTTTCAGCAATTTCTTCCTCAAAAATTCCAAAATCTTTTAGGTTAATACATTTATTTTTCAATTCAACAAGGCCAGAATGAAATGGTCCTAATTCATTTTGTAAAGTCTTGAGCCAAGCAAGTAATGTTTGAGCACCACCATGACCTTCAGAGATAGCTCCTTCACGTGTTTCAATCTGTTTATTTTTCTCAGACAGCCAATTCTCAGCCTCAGATAATTCAAATAATAATTGTTCTCTTAAAATAAGTTTTTTTTGTCAAAATAATTAATTTTTTTAAATAACATGTGATCTAAAAGATTGGAATTTTAACTTTATTTGAGAGAATATTAGTGTCACCGAAACCGGTATTTTTACCAGAACCGGATCCAATTTGAGTTCCGGTTCCCGGAACTTTTCTTAGGAACCGGCCGGAACCAGAGCCGTAACTTTAAAAATTTTTGCTAGAAAATTTAAAAAAAAAATTTTAGGATAAGTAGGTTGTCGGTCTCGCCAAATTCTTCGGTTAACCGAACCGACTAACCATGGAAAGCCAACCCATATTTTTTAAAAAAATCAATTTTTAGGGGTTATAGTTAATATACCTTGAATGGGCCTTATTCAACAAGTTTCGGCGATTTATTGATATTTCCATTAAATTTTTCCAAGAATTAGATAATTCCAAACATTTTGCATCGATCTCCTGATGACAAGAATGTTTATTTATTCCATCAGCATTTGCCAATTTTCTTCCTTTATTTAATAATTCGGTAACTAAAGGTTGATGACAATCTAGTTCAGCAATTAATTGTTCGTGTCGTTTTACTAATTGTTGAACTTCTGTTAATGAATGGCCAAGTTGTGGACATTCCACGATTAATTTTTTTTCCTTAAAATATAGATTATTTAGTAAAATATAATCTGATTTTGTTGGTAATTCCAAGTCTGGACCACCTTTTTTCTGTGACCATTTTGAGCTTGTTTGCTTGATATATAATTTACAATATATCATTCGAAAGAGCTGTTCGAGCTGAGTAGAATGATACTAAGATAGGTTCGATTTGGAGATTCTGAGCAGAATTATGAAGCTAAATCCTCAACGGACATGCTTTTTGTGATGTTGAAAGGGGTTAAAACAAATGGTCATAACTATGTTTATCTAAGTTGGATTTCGATGAATTTAGTACCGTTCGACTCAGCTTGAAGAGCTCTTTCGAACGATATATAATATGCCATAAAAGCTTAAAAAATCGAAAAAAAATAGAAAGGAAAAAAGGGGTACCAGCCTTGGAATTACCATTTTGTTTTCCGGACACAAAAAAAAATAAATTAATAACTAGGGGTGAGAAGTAGGGTTGTCGGGCTCACCAAATTCTTCGGTTGACCGAACCGACTAACCGAACTAAACTTTCGGTTAACCGAACCAGAACCGACTAACCGAAACGAAAAACATAACCGAACTACTCAAATCCGCCCCCCCCCCTCACCCCTACCAATTACGTATAATTTTTAATATTTTTTAAAATAAAAAATATAATATTTACCCCAATCCACTGTAATTCAACATCAACATCAAAAGCTAATTGATGCCAACCCATTGATTCATCTAATTCTGCTCTCATTCTTTCCAATGGTTCATGTAACGAGTTAAAGCGAACAACAAGTTCCTCTACTTTTTCAATAAGTTCAGGCACAGCAAAATGTTTCTTTTCGTTCATTTTATTTACTTTTTTAGAAATTTCATTCAACCGATCTTCTAATAACTGAAAAAATTCAAAAATTAATTTATTCATTTTCCTTTGTTTTTTGCCTGAATTTCCTGTCCAGTTTGTACATTTTTATTAATTAATTGTTTAACACCACGTAAATCTTTCCCTTTCGTTTTGTCTGACAAACGATTTTCAATTTCTTCAATTTTTCCATTAACTTCATTTATTGCCTCAAGTGATTTTTCAAAAAATTCTTCTTTTTCATTTATTTCATCTTGATCCACAAAATCTTCAAAAAATTTATTAGTCTTATTTTGAAGATACTGTGGAAGCAAAAAATCGGCGTCCTAAGAAGAAAAAAATTTTTTTAATTAGTGAAAAATAAAAGACCAAATCGTCACTGATCACCCAACTGTTTCTCCTGTTAGAATATCCAGCCCATTTAATCAAATAATAAACATCACCATCCTCGACTTTATCGTCGAGGATGGCCTCGACAACATGCCTATTTGCCCTATTTGCCATTTCTAAATTATATATAAATTAATACAAAATAAATAAATCATTCAGAAAAATGATCAGTAAAAATAAAAATTCAAGGGAAATGGTCCAAAATGCACATTGAAAATCGGTACACGACGAATAGGCGCGGTCGAATAGGCGCGGACGAATAGGCGCGGCCGAATAGGCGCCGAGACAAATAGGCGCGAGACGAATAGGCGCGGGACGAATAGGCGCCCGAAGTTATTTTTTCCTATAAATTTTTTTTTGTTCTGATGTACTCCGTAGCAGCACACACCTACATACTCCGTAGCAGCACAAAAACAGTTTTTACGGTGAAGATTAAGATGGTCATAACTTTGTCCATGATCATCCCATCGAGATGATTTTGGTGTCATTCGACTCAACTCGCCGAGCTCTTTCAAATGATTTATTGTTTGTTCGAATTTGTTTCCGGGACTTATGATGGAATTTTGCCCTTTATCCTCCGCTATCTCACCAATTCAGCACTCGACATACAACTTACATGTATCACAAAATCAGAACAAAAAATCAGAACGAAAAAATCAGAACAAAAAAATCAGAAGGAAAAATCAGAACAGAAAATATATATAGGGAATGGGAAAGGCGGTAGGATGGCAAAAACATAAAGAATGTATTTGATTAATAAAATTAAAATAAAGGTTGAAAGGCAACAATTTGAATAGGCTGGAATGAGAAAATTTGAAAAATGAACCGAGGGAGTTATTAAAAATATTAAGAGCTGGGAAAAAATAGATTAAACCATAAAATGGTAGAAAATATTTGCTCTGTTTGTATTGGGGATTAAGCGTTTCGAATACCTTTTGAACCTACCGTAAAAACATGTTGAAGGGATTAGAGGATTTCAAACAATTTATCCTTTGCTGTTGCCGAAAAACATGTTGAAAGGATTAAGGTTTGTTTGTTTAGGGCGAAGGTCCCGTTGGGTTAACTACTCTAAAGGTAAATCTGCCCGAGCTCGAAGGCTTCCCAGGGCTAAATTCATTATCAATTATTTGTTCAACATCCATGGAAGTGTTATGGATGTGCGGACGTGTATAATGCTCAGTCTGCTCCTGCTGCACAGACTGATCATTGCCCTGAAGAGGACAGTTTTGGTTTCCCAGATCAATATTCGGAACAGTCTGCTCTGGTTGGACAGACTGGTCAGAGTCCTGAAGAGGACTGTTTGGGATAGTGCGCATGTCGCGTGCTTTCTTTCGCTTTAATCGATCTCTAGTAGGCATTGAATTAATTTTATTTCATATTTTTAGCCCGGACGAGGCAAAGGTTGCGGTTGGGAGTGCGGAGACCTTTTGGGAATCCGCCCGCATGGAAAGGTTCCAAAAATTAGGGGAAGGCGGAATCCCCCTCATTTTTAATCCGCACCTCAAGACATTATTCACGGGGTACAATAATGTCAAGAGTTCGCGAATCCGAAAAGTATATATTTCAACGATCCGGATTCCCCAGTGCACACGACGAGGACGTTTGCGTAGGAAAATGAGAAACCTCGTGCACCGAGTATGTGTAAAAACACATCTGAGAGGCTAAGTTACAAAATATTTAGGCGTAAAAGCCTTTCGGATCATCTGTCAAATGACAGCTAAGAGGCTAAGTTTCTGTCAGAAGACAGCTAAGAGGCTAAGTTACGATCTGTCTCTCCCAAGACAGTAATTTGGATTATTCCATTCTTTACCCCGACCAGACAAAAAAACTTCTGCGACAGTAAAATTTTCCTAACCGTGAATGAAGCGCAGTAATAAGATAAAGCAAAATTGAGTGAAAGCATAATCGTGTAAAGAAAAATTAGAGTAACTCAAAATCGTGTAAAAAGCATGATTCAGAGCTATAACCGTAGAAATATTTCGTTTTCAACTCATACAACTATTAACAACAGCGACTCAAATTTATAGACAAGTTTTATTAATATTTAATAGATTTATTAAAAAACAGCGACTCAATTTTATAATACATTTAAATTTCAAATTCATATAATTCTTGACAACAGCGACTCAAATTTATTTAGCGTAGTACAGAAAATCATTTATGTTCACATATTTACAAACAACAGCGACTCAGATTTCAATTTAAATATTTACAAACAACGGCGACTCAGATTTCAATTCAAATATTTACAAACAACAGCGACTCAATTTTCAATACTTCATATTTAACAACAGCGACTCAAATTTATTTAGCGTAGTACAGGCGAAGCTTTAATATATACAATGTTTTAAAATTTTAAAGAATTTTTCTGCAATGAATTTTTAATCTAATTGCAGCTCATTTTTAACCGCGCCTCCAGACAAGCCAGAGTTCGCCCCCAGACATAATGTCCAGAGCCCAGCACACACGACGTGGACGTTTACGGAGGATAATGAGATCCTTGTGTACCATATTATATCTGAATTTGGAAAACTGGTGGAGCCCTTTATGTGAGTATCAGATCCAACCTCTACCGAAATAGAGTACCATGAATTTATAATTAGACATGGCGATATGAAAAAGACCCCACAACCAAACCGCTTCCACACATTGATCACTCCCTATATCTCGGTAATTGCTGTTTCCAAATTGCCGCGCTAAAAACATCCCCCTCAGAGGTTAAGCGTTGACCGTCCGGTCACCCCAGCACAGAACCAAAATATAGTTTGCCGGCTAGTACCTGGCTCAGGGTCAAAAACAGGCAGTTATAGGGGGCTTTCAAAAAAAATTTTGGCAGCACCCCTCTATCCTACGTTGTTTTTGGCCCCTGAATAAGGAGCGGAAAGCCGCATGGGCCACTTCTTTTCATCAGGACCCCCCACAAGCTGCTTGTAAGGCAGACCCAAAAAAAATTTGGGCATGACCCGTCCGCACAGACCTGTGTTAGGCCCCTAGATTAGAAGCGGAGAGTCCATACGGGTGCCCCTCCTAATCCAGGTCCAGCCAAACCAATGGCAGAAGCCACCAGTAGGCTACATATAGTGGCTCTGCAGAGCTTAGGGACCGGAAACTGAACGGGAGTGAGACTTCCTCCCCAAAATGGGTGTATCAGCAAAAGCCGAAACGGTCGTCTGACACATCGTTCAGCCCTCGGATTTATCACGGGCCATTTACGGTTATTCGAGTTTAACCCAGCAGTGCGGTCCTTAGCCGTTGCTAGGCGTAGTAGGCAAAAGCGTACTCCGCTCGAACAGAGCCGTTAGGATAGCCATCACGCCGCATAACGTGACTATCTTTGCGTACCACTTCCGCCGCATGATGTGGTCGTGAGTGTTAAGTTCACGCACCGAGTAACCATGCTAACGCAGTGGGATAAACTATCCATGACCCCCACTATATGGACGAGCTACAGTCCTGGGAAGGTGGCCCAGGGGTCTGGCAAACTTTGCCCAAAGGGACAATACACCATACCCCCATATAGGGGAAACAGTCTTGAGCCGACCTTTGGTGCCCTCAAAAGCACTGGGACGCTCCGGGCGGTGATGGTACTTGGCTTGCAGCCTTTCCCGTCCTACCTCGGTCCACGAAATGAGCCATATCCAGCAATTTGAGGGCTGCAAGTTTGCAATGCCCGTGCGCAATAACCTGAGAAGTGACTCAGAGTAATGCAACTTAGGGTTTTAATGGATCGCCCTCACTGGCTTCTGCCTAAGGCTACTTACCCAAAACCATAACATTCAAATAAATCAATTAGGGTTTTAATGGATGACCCAAAACCAAAATATATGGTTAAAAACCAAATATTGATGAAAAAATAAATTTTTTAAATGAGGGAATTAGGGTTTTAATGGGTCACCCAAAACCATTCAAAAGCATTCAAATTGGGCAAGTTATGGCTTTGCGCCTACTTGGCCGCGCGCCTACTTGGGCTGTACCCACCGAACGCGGCTTTGTGCTGCCCCCATTAGAACCCCTATAATGCATATGCAATGATTTAATCTAATTGCAACCGCCCCAGACGGTCCATTACAATTATTAATATGAAGGTGCTATTTGAATCGCCATTGATTCAATTGTGTTTGTGTGCTGCCCCTTATTGAAATTTACTTAGTGTGAATTTCGCTAACCCAGTAATTTTTTTTCAACCATAGGCTGCCCAACAATCTGAAACTATAATAGAACCTAAAACAGTTTTTAAAATATTGCAAAATGGGAATTTGAATTAACAATCACGGTTGATAGCAGCGAGCTGTCCGGCAGATTTTGCTTTTGACATTTCAGAAATTGAAATTGGAAATTAAATAAACTAACATAGGCTACTTCTAATAGGCTACTTCTAACATAGGCGTCTTTGTCTCCATAGTTGAATTTGAACTTACTGCTTTTAAAACGTACCCTGGGGGTTAACTACTTAATAATTTGTTTAAAATTATGTTTAAAATTATGCCCATCTGAATTAACAATCACGGTTGATAGCAGCGAGCTGTCCGGCAGATTTTGCTTTTGACATTTCAGAAATTGAAATTGGAAATTAAATAAAATTAGTGTTTATAAACTTCAATAATTCAATTTTAATATTTTTCGATACAACTAAAGGAATTCAAAACACGGTCCAGGCAGGTCAAAGCCGGACACACGGCTCTACTTTTGGACATGCGTTCCATGAACATTTATGGGTAATAGTTAGGTTTGAGTTTCCCCTTTTTTCTTCGGCTGTAGTATGGTGTACCGAAGTAAAGTTCGGAACGTGGAATGTCATTCGATTCGTCTCGACGAACTGAGTAGAAGGTACCACTCACAATTTCAGGAAATGATTCTGGACCGAGTTATAGGCCCCGAAAAATTGAAAAACCATAGGGGGAGAAAGGTCGATTTTGGGGTGAAAAATTCGAATATGCAAATAATAACTCGGTCCAGAATCATTTCCTGAAATTGAGTGGTACCGTTCGACTCAGCTCGTCGAGACGAATCGAATTACATGTCACGTTCAGAACTTTTACCTCGGTACACTACAACCGAAAGAAAAAAAGGGGAAACACAAACTTAACTATTGCCCATTTATACGTTCCAACAAAGTTTGAGAATTTCATAAGTTCCCATCAGAGTAAATGTGTATCACAAAAAAGTATAAGCGAGACCCTAGAGTATATGTTCTAGAAAAAGAATATGCGTCCCATCAGAGAATCAGTCCAGATCCTCTTAGGCTGACCAAATCCCTCAATATTCATCACAAATCACAAACCCAGAATCTGAATGACCCAAAACTAATTAATCCTCAGAGTCCTCGATATTTGTTAATCTCCTAAATACACTTTTAATTACTCCTAAGCCCTCTATAGCCTTCCATTAGAACTACCGTTTCATACCGCAAGCAAAATTCTGAGATTTTAGAAGGCCAAGAAACCAGATTCCTTCCATTTTCAGTGCCTGTGGAAATTTGTGGGAATAATTAAAAACCTTAATGGACCCGTCTCGATCTCTACTGCTAGCTTATACTTTTTCAGGGACGTTTATACTTTGAAAGAACGCATAAAGTTCAGAGGCGCATTTTCTAAAGTAGCGCCATCCTTTTTTAGGAACTTATGCAGTTTTGTACCCAAACTGCATAAGTTCCCTTTTTTAAGTTAGCTAATTAATGAAAAAATTAAACTTGCGAAAAATACCATCTGCAGCCACACACTTCCAATGGTTGGTTGAAATACAGTCCAAAACTTTCACACAAGTCACTCCTAAATAAAGAAATGAGTAAAAAATAGAGACTTTTTAAATGAAAATATAAATGGAAGTAGGGTTGTTGGTTCTTGGAAAATCTTCGGATATCCGAAACTAAACCGAAAAATCATTGGTTCGGTTCAGAACTGACAACCTTAAATTGAAGTAAACAAAATCTTACAAGGGAACATTTCGAACTGTGAGTAAAAAGTTCGAAATAAAAGTTATACCATCGTGTAGAGCATCGTCGAAAACCTTTATGGTTTCCGGCTTTTTCGGCTCCGACCCCCATTTCGAAAAGTTATAGGTCTTCAAAGTTTTCGACTTTTGGAGCGGTTGAGTCGCCCTCACAAAGAGAGAGTTTTCTTTTATTAGGAGAAAAATAAGACTCCCATCCTCCTTTTTTCCTTTCCTTTTCTTTTTCAATATTAGTTAAAGAAAGAGAAAAGGAGGAGAGAAAAAGAAAACTAAAGAGGCACCTCTGCCTTGCAGCTAATGTCAATTAAAAAGGAAAGAGGAAATGGCAGACATGCCTCTTTTCCTTTTCTTTCCTCTCCTCTTTTTCTCTTTCTTTAACCGACATGGGAAAAGAAGAAGAAAGGAAAAATGGAGAAAAGGATTTTTTCTCTTTGGTAAGACAAATAATAAGAAAAGTGAGGGCGACTCAACCGCTCCAAAAGTCGAAAACTTTGAAGACCTATAACTTTTCGAAATGGGGGTCGGAGCCGAAAAAGCCGGAAACCATAAAGGTTTTCGACGATGCTCTACACGATGGTATAACTTTTATTTCGAACTTTTTACTCACAGTTCGAAATGTTCCCTTGTTAGAAGGACAGAAAGTCAGCAAAATTCAACATAATCCTAGAACGAAAACCGCCACTTCTTTGCCTCCCGAGCAGGCCCGTAGCCAGGATTTTTTTCGGGGGGGGGGGGGGGGGGGGGCCAAGAAGGGAAAATTTTTTCTGCGCCAAATTTTTGGCGCCGAAGGCGCCAAAAATTTTTATTTTCAGCGCCGCAGGCGAAAATTTTGAGAATTTTAGAGGCCGTAGGCCAAAAAAATTCACTTTTTTTGCCCCAGCCCTTCCCCAAATTTTTTCCTTTTTCCCATTTCGGGGGGGGGGGGGGGAATTCCCCCCCTCACCCCCCCCCCCGGCTACGGGCCTGCTCCCGAGCCAAGTAAGCACCAGCGTAAAAAAGCTCAACCATCGACGCCATGCCTAACCTATCCCCTTATTTCATTGAAAGGTTCCTCATTGGCTGAGCGAGCTTTCAATAACTAGTGAAACGGAGGAATAAACTTATTAAGGGCACCAAACTTCACCCCAATATATAGAGCATTTTCAACAAAATCTAAGTAAAAACCCCAAAGCTGTTTGGAAGCCCAACCACCAAATTTTAAACTAAACCTTGTTGGATTCACAAGAGTAGAAACAACATCATTGCCATGATTCAGATCCACCTTCTTAACACAATTGAATAAATTGAGGTGAAGAAAAATTTAATAAATGAATCTGAAAAAGAACAAATTAATTTAAAAAATCAGGTGAAAGGTAGCACAATCTCAAAAACAGAAAATCGAAAACTTAAAGCAGAAAAGGAAGCCATTTTTAAATTTGAATAAGAATGGTTTTTCTGTTTCTCTAATACTATTTCATTACCAAGTTAGGACAGGACACTTTGTCGTTGGCTACTTTTTTCGCCCATTTCGTCGCAGTGATTAAAAAACGGTTTTTTGCTTCCGAAACCCATCCAAAGTTAAGGTTATTTAATAAGAGGAGTTTAAGGTTGGGTTTAAGGTAAACTGAGAGAAATTAGCTAACGACAAAGTGGGACGTACCAATTAAATTTAATTTAGAAATAGTACTTGTGGGTTGCCCAAAATCAGTTTTTGCTGACTTATATGCAAAACAGTCAAGTAGACTACAAATAACAGTTAAATAGGTAATCGGGTTGAAGAGAGTGGTTGGGGGAAAATGCTAGAGATGTCCGAGACCGAAATTTTTCCAAGACTCAAGACTCAAGACCCAAGACAAAATTTTTTCCAAGACCAAGACACAAGACCAAGACCAAAACTCCAAGACTCAAGACAAAAAATCAAGACCAAATTTTTAAATCCCATAGGTCAAATTTTTGGTTTATTTTTTGTTATTTTGATACGATCACAGTCAACTTCAGCACAATTATCTATGATTTCGAAAAATTTATGCGAAATTCAAAGAATTTCGGGGAATTTATTCTGGAAAATCAATAAACTAGGTTATTATTTCAGAGGGTTTGGGTGGATTAACGGGATATTAGTGATATCAAAAGATTAAGAGGGATAGCCGTGGGATTTAGCGCCGCAGGCGAGAATTTTGAGGATTATGAAAGCAAAGAAGCCAAAAATCTTCCTTTTCCTGCGCCGCAGGCAAAAATTTTGAAAATTTTGGAACGCCGTAGGCCAAAAGAATTCACATTTTTAGCGCCGCAGGCGAAAATTTTTTGAATTTTGGAGCTCAAGAAGCCAGATTTCTTCCATTTTCTGCGCCGCAGGCGAAAATTTTGAGGATTTTGGATGGCCAAGCACTAGGTCCAAAAAGGCCAAAAAACCAAGACCAAAAAATAAAACCAAGACAAGACCAAGACAAACACCCCAAGACCAAGACCAAGACCGAAAAAAAACCAAGAAAAGTCTTGGTTCCAAGACCAAGACCAAGAGTCTCGGACATCTCTAGAAAATGCCATACAAAATTTTGCCTTCAGACATGAACGCTTTTATAATCTGTTTGAGAATTAGTCCCGTCTACATTTACATGATTGTGCAATGGAGGGAGTGTGCCCTGCTCAACTTATTCAGAAAAATAAATTGATTGACCCAATAAATACCTAATAAATCTAGAATATTCATCCGCACGTTAAACCGCCAAATCGTTGCATTTTCAGAAATACACATATCAGGGTCGGGTTAGAAAAATGGATAGGTTCGGTGATGTCAGAAAACCAGATTTTTCCTTTAAAATTATGGAAGGTCGAAAAGACAGCTTTCTTTTACAAAAATTTCTTTGAAAGCAATGTTTCAGACCTATCTTCAATCATCCTTTTCGAGACGAAAAGACCAGGTTTCGGTTAACCCGACCCGCCCTGATACGTGTCCAAGGAATGCATGTCCATGCAGACAAAACTCCTACAAAACCCCAAACGGACAAAACCCCTACAAAACCTGATCCGGTATTTCAAAACCCCCAAAAATTTAGAAAATAAACCTCACAACAACTGGAAAGCATTCATCATTTAAACAAAAATCAGAATCTATCGCCAACAAACGAGAACCATCATTCAAGCAAGAACCATCGCTCATCCATTTCATCTTATCATAGGCACTAGTAGAATGGTATAGCAGTATAATATCATTTTTGAAAAAAATTTTTTAAATCTCTAAAAAACAAAAAACTAACGAAAAAGAAAGAAATAATGCAAACTGGAATTTGAAAAAAGAAAAGAAAAACAGTCAACTTCCTTTCTATGTCTTCTTTAGTGTCTCTAAAATAAATGTACATTATGCCAAAATTGTACAAATTTAATTTAAAATTTCCCAGCAAATTAAAAATTTAAAATGGCTAAAAGAGGAACTACTATCAGAGGAATAATCAATAAATCTGAAAAGTCGTTGACCCTCGCTGACATTCAAACTCTGCGACAGAGTTGGACTGAAAGAACCACTAAAAAGGCGTCAACTACACACAAAAGTCGAAATTCTAGACATTAAAAATAGTCGAGATGATAGACACGGTTTACGGCTGTTTGGTATTTTCGGCGTTTTATATCCTCAGGGAACCTCTCACACACACACCCCCCCTCTTCAATTAAAATTTATTAATTTAATTAGTCACCTTAGCTTAAAAAAGTGAGAAATATAAGGAAATAAAAACATCCTTTCAAAATTAAACCGAAAAAAATTTTTTTGTCAAATTTTATATCATTTTTAAAAATAAATTAAAGCGAACGAGAGATTCTCTTAAACTAAATAAATTCCAAAAAATTTTTTCCTCTCTCCCCAAAAAATTTCCTCTCAACAAACATCGTCAATAATCGAAAAATGGTCATCATCCAAAGTTGTATAAATTTTTCCTTCATCCAACAAAAATTGAATATCAGTTATAAAATTCTGTCCAGGTTTAACTGATGAACGGATTTGTTCTACATGAACGCCTCTTCCATCTTTTTTTGAAAAAAAATTTTTTTTTAATTTTAAAAATCAGTGAAAAAAGGGAAACTTTATAAAGACGTTTAAGAATTTTTTTATTGATATCCTTCATAATTCGTTCAATTCCCTCGATATCCTTCTTAACCCGTCCAATCGATGACAAAATCTCCCCTTAAAAATTCCCAAAATTTCACGAAAATCAGGAAATTTTGTTGTTGTTTTTTTTGCCAGCAGGATCCCCGATTCAATTTTTTGAAGTGATTGAATAAACGTGTCGGGCTAACTCAAGGAACGGACAAATCAAGAAACGACCAACTCATAGGATAATTTAAAAATCGGAATTTTTCGAAAAATCTGAATATTTAAAAAAAAGTAAGAATTAAAAACAAAATAAAATACTTCAGAAAACAGAATTGAAAAATTTTTTTGAAAAATTCAGATTCTTCAAAAAAAAAATTATTCCATGAGTTGATCGTTCCTCAATTTGTCTGTTCCTTGAGTTAGTATTCCTTGAGTTAGCCCCCACCCGAATAGAAGGAAAGGAAACGATTTAAAAATAAGGAACCGTTATAACTAAAAAACCAAAAAAAATATTTTTCCCCACAAACCTTTATTTGCATCCCCAAAGCGTTTAATAAAATCCATTATCTAAAAATTGAAAAATATTTTCCTCCTTGTAAAATAAAAAAACCTTTGCTTGTTGTTGTGATAAATTGGCATATTGCTTTGATGGTTGTTGTTGACGGCTTGGAGTAATTGAATTTGACATAGTTATAGTTGAACGACTTGGAGTTGTTGCTGTTGCTTGGGAAGACATTCCTGGACGGGGCAATGTTTGTGCATTGCGGAAAATTGTATTTTCTAATCCGTGGGTATTTTCAGGCAAATTCTGTTAAAATTTGGAAGGTCAAAAACTTTGACCTTCTTAAAGATTTGAAATAAGCCTGCTTTCTTTTACTTTACCCTATAGGTTCACGAGAGAATTTACGTCTTATGGCCCTTAATCCCCTTAAGCCGAACAAATCCATCTTAATCCGCTCAAATCCACTGATATTCCCTTTAAACCCACAAGTCTTATTAAGCAAATCCTTCTTTATCTCCCAAATATTTGGATTTGACCTCCTAAGTCTTGCTCTCCTAGGATTTGACTTTCAGTGTTAATACCGGTTAATGTTGTGAGAGCTCATCATCGAGGATTTTTGTAATTTTGGGACTATACACACTTAAATAACGAACATATTTAATCCCAAACTCAAAAACCCCTTCGACAAAAATATTTTTCAAACCTTAGAAAAATAATATTTTGCAAGTTTACACTCCATTTTATAAATTTCAACTTCTTCCATTGTAACATCACGAATGTGAAAACTGACAAGACTGAGGCGGTTATTAAACTTTAAAAAATAAACTTCAAAAAATTCTAATCCCTAATGGCCTCACAAAACATGTAAAATTGGTATATTAAGAGTTGTTTTACGGTTCCGGATACTTTAAGATTTTCCAGAAAACGTCTACCTCAGAGTTCCGTTCCTCTTTAAAGGGGTCCCTTTACTTGTTCGTGTCATGCCCTCGAGTTGTTATTCTCCAAAGAATGGGAAAGGAAAGGGTTTTGCATTTTTTGTGAAGCCCTATTTACTTAAAAAAATAAACCAGTCGAAGTTTTCCAACCGCCTGAACTGTTTGACCCTCAGAAAAGACTTGCTCCATATTTGGTTGCTAAAAAATTTTTTTTTAAATAATTCTCAAAAATTAAAAAATAACCAAATCAGTTCCTCCATAACGAATAACAGTAAATCGTTTAGCTACGCGTGGATCATCAGCCATTCCATCACAAATCTCGTAGGTAGTACATTGATTTGAATCGGTAAACACACTCACAATCCTGCCCATAATTTTGACCTAAATTTGATTAATATAACGTTTAAAAAATTTTTAAAAAAATTTTGGAAGGTTAAAATAACTTCTTTAACCTATTAAACATTTAACGTAAGCCCTAAAAAAGATTTCCCCTGGAAGGGTTCGAACCATGACCCCTCAGAGTTGATAACCTAAAACTATCCAACTAAACTAAATTTTCGACAAAACTTGTAATAAAACTTCAAATTTTCCTATGTAAACCCGCCCAGCCAAACAACAATTCACGTTTCAATGAAATAGACACCCACAACGGTTCGAACCATGACTCATAAAGCTGATAGTAAAAATTATCCAACTAAACCAGAACCCAATAAAATTCTCAACCGAACATTTTAATGCCTTTAGAAGGTCCAATTGACTTTTTTAGGCATTTAAATGCGTCTAAAAAATAAAGCACCCAAACGAGTTCGAACCTCGACCCCCCCCCCCCCCCCCCCAGAGTTGATGTTCAGAAACTATCCCACTAAACCAGACCCGAGAAAATTTTTAACCAAAAATTTCATTGCCTTTATAAGGCCCCAACTAATTTGTAGCCAGCTAAAACCTTCTAAAAATAGATTACCCAGACGGATTCGAACCACGACACCCTCCTCATCTCAAACTTAACAAAACCCACTACACCAAACTTGTCAAAACCTTTTAAAATTTAAACAAACCGTATTGAACGAGTATCCACCAATCACATACTTTTCCTCATCATTAGACATTGTCAACAAATCTTCAACAATTGCTGGGATTGGAATTTTATCAGTTATGTGGCTTTTTTGAAATGGTGTAGGGATATTAAAATCTTGTCCTCCTCCTCCTCCAGATTGTTCTCCCCATCCATAACCTCCAAATTGATCAAAAGACGCGTCCATTTAAATAAACAAAGGCTTTAAAAAATTTTCTAGAGTAAAAAATGAAATTAAAAATAAACCAAAAAATAGTTAGGAACTTGTCTAGAGCGTCGGACCCCATTTATTCGCAAGCTCAAAATCCTGCCAGGGGGTGTTCTTGGTCGATTATGGGGATCCTGTTTGGCTTAGGAGAAGCTTGTGTCACGCGTTTTTCTGAAGTTAACGGTTGCCATTTTCCTTAAGAAATAGCCCAAAACCTAGCAATGCCTCACTCCTTCTCATAGGCCTACTCCTTGCGAATAAATGGGGCAGGTACCTCTAAACTAGACAAGTTACCAAAAATATCCAATTAATCACCCAATAATTAAGCCAAAAAAATTTTAAAATGCGTGTCATTTATTCATGAGATCAAAAATTATATTTTTAAAAAGACTAAGCACTCAGCATAGGAAAAACCCTAAATATATTGTGTCCGTTAAAATTATATAAATAAAATTGGTACAATTTAAAGGGGAAGGGGGTATTTCTTAGAATATTTTTTTGTTTTATTTGAAAATACTAAAAAAATAGAGAGACCGAACTTGCTGATCAAAAATATTAAACTCTGGGATTTTTGACAAACTGCCTATAAGACAAAATGCCCATAAGACAAAATACCCAAAGGGACAAAATGCCCATGCGACAAAATACCCAAAGGGACAAAATGCCCCAGAGGTCAAAATGTCCAAAAGACAAAATGTCTGTCAAATGCCTATACGACAAACTGCCCATACGACACCACTTCGTTGGCCCAGTTAAGCCCGAAGACGCTTTTGGTTTTACTTCCGCTCCCACATAGCCAAAGTTTGTCCCTAATAGTATCGTTAAATAAAGCTTCTACTGTATTTAAAAGTTCGGACCCTCCATTTTTCTCAATTATAAATTGAAGCGTTTATGTGTTTATATTTAATATAAAAATCTCTTTCTCTCATTTTTCCAATCATTGAGGCAAGGAATCTTCTTCGTCTTCATTAACCTCCCCAAAGTCAATAGTGCGCTGTGGTTGTTGATCCGCAAATAAAACAGGACTGTTGCATTCTTCAACAGGCGAGGGGTCTGGCACTGAAATTAGAATTTTTTAAATATTTTTTTCTTCTCTTCTTAATCCCGAAGACTTTAGAAAAGTATTGCCTATATACAAAAACTCTATCGGATTTTAGTTCATGGGAACCAAAAGATCTGGATTTTTAAGACCAAGAAATCAAAAAAAGGATCCCCAGTGCCCCCTCATATACGTCATTTTCCGTCTTACTCTATGATCATACTATGATTCTTCTTTTGCCCTCTCATCGTCGCTACACAAAGATTCCACTGTATCTAGCAGGGGTGTGCCGAAATAGATTTTAAAAAGCGAAATGCGAAACTAAATTTAAAAAGTGAAACTCGAAAGTCGAAAAAAATACGAAATTGGCACACCCCTGGTATTTAGTGTCTCGTATCAATCAGAGGTGGGTCGGAACAGTAAGAGGTGTCGGAAATCGGAAATGGCTCAAAAGTCGGAACTCGGAAATCGGAATTCCGACCCACCTCTGGTATCAATCACGCAAACTCACATTCATAGCATTCACGTGGAGTATAAATTTTGGTAGGAGTATTTTGCGATTTTGATCGTCCTTCTTGTTGGTAACATTTAACTAAAGACAAAGCTGAATCGACCGATTTTGCCATATCGTTTTCAAGAGAAGGCTGAGAACGTCCCAACGACAAACATGAAGAATTTGGCCTTTCTGCCGTTGTAATTAAAGGTGTTCGAGTGTGAAAGTTTAAAGGAGTTGTTGTAGTTGAAGAACGTGGAGATTTGAAACTAAAAAATTGGTGAAAAAAATTTTTTGGTTTATGAAAATAGCACACGCTTGATGGTGCTTCAACTGTGCTTCATTTATGAACTACATATGCTTCTTTACATTTTAAGCAAAGCACGCTTCGTTAACTTAAAGAAGCAAGTTTCTGAGACTTTTAGAAACATGCCTTAAAAGTTAAAAAGCATGCTTCAGAAATTTCAAAAAGTATGCTTCAATAACTTTGAAAAATGCTTCAGAAACTTCAGAAATATGCTTCAAAAACTAGGAAGCATGCTTCAACAACTTAAGAAACATGCTTCAGATACCTTAAGAAGCTTGCTTCACAGAAATCCAAGAAAGCATGTTTCAGAAAATACAAGAAGCATTCAAGCATGCTTCAAAAAACCAGAAACATGCATCACTAAAAACACTTGAAGCATGTTTCATTATTGATGAAGCTTCAAAAACCCCTATGCTTCAAAACCCTCAAAATCCCCCAAAAAACACTCAAAACTCACTCATCAGTCAAACGATATTCCAGAATTTCCTTGTCTTTTTCAATTTCTTTAGTTTTGTTAATAGCCTGACTAAGTTGATGATTCAAAACATCAATTTGTGAAATTAAATTTTTTTCAATTTGTTTTAGACGATAAACTCCTTCTCGAAGTTCCGAATTTTTATTTTCCAATTTAATTATTTGAACGTCCTTTTCTGCTATTGTTTCAACTTTCAATTGCAACTCGCGATTCTCACTTCTCAGTTTGCCAAGCTCTTCATTTTTTAGTTGAAGTTCGTAAGAGCGGCTGGTTAATTCATCCATTAATCTCTTTAAAAAAATTAGAATATAATTAACAAGAAGTTAAAGGATTGTTTCAGAAACATTCAGGAAAAGCATGCTTTAAAAAATAAAAGTTTCTGAAACATGCTTCAGCAAAAATATTTCTGAAGCATGCTTTCAAACACTAAACGCTTCTGAAGGACGCTTCCAAAACTCAATTTTCTGAAATTATCCCTATAAAACTAAAAGTTTCTAAAGTTTCCTCGTCAAAAAATGTTTCCGAAGCATGCTTCAAAGCAAAATTTTTTTGTTATTGAAACATTTTTCAAAAATGTTTTAGTTTCTAGTTTTAGTCGAAAAAACAACCCAAGGTAATGAGGCGTCCCGGATTCGAAAATTCTGAACGAAGTTATAGCGCTGCGGTAAATTGGGCTTGCGGTACCTTGGTCTACTCCCCTCCCTTTTAGACACGTATTTAAAGCTCAAGTTATTTTAGAAGCATGCTTAAAAAATAACTTTTAAACTTCGAAACAAAAATTACAAAATGAGAAGCCTCTCAAAGAAAAAAATAATTTTTTACCCGATTCCTTTGCGATTCATTAAGTAAATGCTTCTCTTCTTGTTCAACAAATTGAGACTTCATTTCAGCCACTTTATTCTCATATTCTTTTAAAGTTTGTTCAAATTCAAGTTGTAACTGTTCCAATTTTGTTTGTTGTTCAGCTTGAAGCAAATTACGAACATCATCAACCTATTAAAAAAAGAAATAAAATTTTTTATTTTTTTGGTTAAGTGGCTTAAATCTTTCAAAGTGAACCGAAAAAAAGGGTTCGGGTTCGAACCCGCTTGCCGAAATTAATTTTTTTCTTCAAAGTCGAAAAGTTTTTATTAATTTTTATTAATTTAGTCAGTTACTCGACCATACAAAAATTTTTAAAAAGCCCTTCTTTGGTTAAGTGGTTAAAATTTTCATTTTGAGGGAAAAAGGGGGTGCGGGTTCGAATCCGCTTGCCGAAAAATTTTTTCCTTGTATTTTTTGATGAAGGAAATCCTTTCAATAATTTTAATTCATTTAACTATTAACTTAATCATTAAAAAATCAATAAAACCATATTTCTGGTTAAGTGGTTAAAATTTTAATTTTGGGAGGAAAAGGAGTACGGGTTCGAATCCGCTAGCCGGAAAAAAAAATTTTCGGCAAATTTACATATTTTATTTTCATTTTCCACTCCTTAAAATTTCAAAAAAAAAAATTCTAAAAATTTTTTCACCTCATTTTTGTGCAACTCATCAACCTTTTGAAAATCATTCTTCCACTTGTCATCAACTACAAAACGTAAAAATAATAATAAAATAAATAAAATTAAAATAAAAATGAAGCAAATAAAGACAATTTTAGACAAATTTAGAGTTGTTAAAAATAGTAGATTATTAAAAAAATTATTTTTAGATTCATTTTTGGTTTTACAAAAAGTGAAGATTAAAGGGGAATATATTAGGACAAATAGAGAAATTGTTGCCATAAATATGATAATTAATTGAAAAAATTTTTTAGGCTTAAAAAGGGAATAGAGGCAATAATAATACATTTTTTGAGAATTTAATTAATTTTAGGGAGAAAATTAATTTTTTTTTGGAAAAAGAGAGTAGCAAGAAGCAAGAGAGGATTTAATTACTAAAACTGATTGACCAGAGAGTAGCCATTCCCCTTTCCCCTCCTCCTCCTCAATAACCCCCTCTCTCTCCAAGCTATCAACCACCTCTCTCTCCTTCTCCCCATGCAGTCCTTCCCCCTATTCTAACCTCCGTCATTATCCAACCCTTCACCTTATCTTCATCATCCCCTTCCCCCCATATATCTCCTTCACTATAACCCCTCTCCAATCCTTCCCATTCTTCAATCCTTCCTCCTCCCTATCCATTTCCATAAAAAAGAACCCCATTTTTAAAACACACAAAGAAAATGCGTGTTTTTATGTTTTATTTTATTGCGCTTCTTTTAAAATAAAACGGCGATATTTTTTATATTTTTATTCCATAATTGGAATAAATAGACAATATTTTTAGAGAGAACTATTAAAAATTAATTTAGAAAAAAATCGAGTTTTTTTAAATGGTTTCTGAGAAGAATAATAACTGAGAAGAAAGATTTTTAATTAATGAGAGAATTGAAAAAGAGAGAGAAGGGGGGGGGGGTTAAATTTTAAGAATATTTAAAGAGGTAATACTTGGATACCTATACCAAAATTTTTACGTACTTGATACAAAATAAGAAAAATTTTAGGGGGGAAAACTACAAAAGCACTGAAGGACTGTCCTATTTTCGTTTTTTGTTCGTATGGTATGAGTATACAAACCTACTAACAATAAGAAGACAAGATTTTTGGCCCCAAAATTTTGGAAATTATCAATGGCAATCAGAGGTAGGTCGGAACAGTCAAAGGTGTCGAAAATCGGAAGAGCCGGAAAACGGAACTGGCTCAAAAGTCGGAACTCGGAAGGAAAAAACGTCGGAAAACGGAAGTCGGAATTCCGACCCACCTCTTCTGGGAATCCAAAATTCGTTCTATCCCCCCCCCCCCTCAGAAAAAAATTTTAAATTTTCAACTTTCATCGAAAAAAGACATAAAATTCTCAGTACTAAAATACCAAAAAGGATCACCCACACACACGCGATTCGATAACAATCTCTTCCTAATAAAAAAAGAGAAGGAATTCCCCTCCATCCTTAAAAGAGTTTTTATTAAAAAAGAAGACTAAAAAAAAGAGATAAAATTGCAATAAAACCCACGTTTTTGCATTTCTAATTCATGGTTTGAATTATTTTGCTCTAATAAATTCTCCAATTTATTGACTTGTTTTTGAGCATTAATATTCTAAAAATAGAAAAATGAAATTTTTCTTTGATAAAAAAATTTTTTTTTTATTTAATAGTAAGAAGGGAAAAAGTTTAATCCCAGACTGGTATCGAACCTAAGACCTCCTGACCTTTTGTGGTTCAGTGGGATAATCCAAATTTTAGAGGGAAAAAGGGCGTAGGTTCGAATCCGTCCGGGGTAAATAATTTTTTTCTTGAGTAAATTTTGCTGTATTTGAATTATTCAAAGTTTAATCGACTTTTTAAGTCCGCCAAATTTTTTTTGAAAATTTTATAAATAAAATCGCAAACCTTTTCATTAAAATTTTTGCACAAAATAACAAAGAAATTGGCCATTTTCTTCTCATTTTTCAATTCCTTTTCAAGTCTCTCAATAATTTTGAGTTGCTCAGTCAATTTTTGTTTCTGCTCAATATCCTCCTTATTAACCAAACTTGCAATAATTTTTGTTGAATTTTTTGTCGGAGTTTTTAAGGAAGGATTTTCTTTTGTTGTGTTCTCTTTAGACCCCAAAACTTGACGTGAAGTAACGTTCCTTCCAGAAGATAGAGGTTTTGAAGGAGTGTTGCTGTTAGTGAGTGTTCCTTCAAAAAAAAATTTTTTTTTGGTAATATTGAAGAGTATAGACCCCATTTTTTCCTCCCCAATTTCCCCTATATTTTTACAAAATGGTCAGCCTTTTTCCTTTCTTCCATCCAATTTGCCTTCCTAATTTTTTCCTACAATCAAACAAAAAAGTAAAAAAACAAGTTAAAGGAGGATTATTTTTTGGTATTTAACAAGTATGAGCTTTGAGAAGACTCATTTTCTCTATTAAAACGGGAAATAAAACATCAAAAATAATCCGTTTTGTTTGATTGTAGACAAAAATTAGAGGCAAATTGAATGGAAGGAAGGAAAAAGTCATGATTATTTTGTAAAAATATAAGGGGAAAAATAGGGAGGAAAAAATGGGGTCTGTACTCTTCAATATTACCAAATTTTTTGGTAAAATTCAAATTCTAAGATGTCTAAAGTACGCGGGACCCGATCAATGTTGGACACAATTGCGGACTGCGCAAATTGCGTGCTTTTTGACTTTCGGACACTGCGTCGGATTTTAAGGTTAAAATTGCATCGCGAAAATTTTTTTTATTTCCGACGAATTTTGGACCCTAAACCTAAAGATAAACCAGTCAATTCCTCTAGCCACGCTGAGTTTGAATCTATAATCCTTTTTTCTATGAGACTAAAACTACAGGGAAAAATAGACAAAACGGGTGACCCCTACTCATATCAGCTTAACAAAATTCCCGAAAATGAGCTTGCCCCCCCCCCCCTCCCCATGGTTTTTCATTTTCAGGGGCTTCTTTCTCAGGTTTGTCTCCCAAAAAAAATTCTTATACATCCGAACACAACGTGACAAGAAGCCCAAATGGTACATATTTCGAATCCAGATCTAGGATCCCACTATTATAGTAACCCCAAAATTCTGAACATAAATTTAAAAAAAACGTTGAAATGTCCTAGGCATCCTGTTGTCACTACTAGGGTATTTTGCCAATTCTTTGCGACGTCCTAAAGTTGAAGTTGGTGTTGATGCATTCGTTTCTGCTGAACGACTTGGAGTTATTGCATCGCCACGAGTTGTTGTAACGTTTGTGGTTGATTTGGATTTGCCGACATCGTCTCCACGTTTTTCTAAAAAATTTAAAAAAAAATTAGAGGGAAAGGAAAGGAAGAATGAGAATGTTTTAGAATTCAAAAAAGTTGGTCCGCAAGTCAAAAAAACACGCAATCCGCAAGTGCGTGCCCTGGTGAGCAAAACGTATAGAAACAACTGCCAGCAGGACTAACGTTAGATTTATGCCCTGTGAATTTTTGGATAACTGATTAAACCTTTAAAGGAGCCCAAGCTACCTCCGAGCTATAAATTCGTTCAGAATTGTCAAATCCGGGACGCCCTGGTATGGTTCGATTCAGCGCGTCGAGGCGCATCGAACCATACCAGGGTGTCACGGATTCGACAATTCTGAACGAAGTTATAGCTAGGCGGTAGGTTGGCCCCGCGGTAGGTTTGGGGTGTACTCTTATTCTTACTCCCAAATTATTCAAAAGTAACAAAAAATTTAAATAAACCTCCTCCTCCTTTATTAGGTGTAGTAACCAATTTTGAACGTATTTCCTTCTTTGCCCGAAGTTTTTCAGCTTCCATACTAGCCTTAAGTTGTTCCATAACCATTTGCGATTTAGATGGCTGCTTGGGTTTGGATCGGGCTGCTGCTGAATGATTTTGTGTAGCCATTGGAATTGTTTGGAATATAGAAGTCTGAAAATTTTAAATTTTAATTTTAAGAGGCGAATAATTTCAATAAGCACGAGGAAAAACGAAAAAAATAATAAAAGCTTTAAAAATGAAGAAGGATAGGGAGGGGATGGGGAGGGAAGGAGTAGATGTGTGGCTTGGGGGAGTGGGAGGGGGAGGATATGGGGTGGTGGACATTGAAGGTGATGTGTGGTTGGAGGCCCCGGAGCCGATGTGTAGTTGAAGGGAGCCCTCCATCCCTCTTCATTTTTGTGTGGACATTGGGCAGTGCTTCAGCAAAAAATGAATTAAGACTTGAAAAAAATTTTTTTTTAATAAAACTCGACAAGAAAAAAAAGAAAAGCTTTAAAAATGTCGCGGCAAGCAAGAAGAAAACTAAAATTAAAAATGAAGAGGGATGGAGAAGGGGATGTGTGGAGGGAGAGGATATGTGCTTTATGTGGTTGTAGGTGATGTGGACATTGGAAAGGATGTGTGGCTGGAGGCCCCTCTTATTTGTTAGATGTGTATTTGGAGGAAGCCCTCCCCCCCCCTCCCTCAATTTTGTGGACATTGGAAATGAAGAGGGATGGGGAAGAGCGTGTGGAGGGAGAGGATATGGGAGGGTATCCTCTCTTCAATTTTTGTGGACATTGGGCATTTGCTGCAGCAAAAATGAAGATTAAAAATTATTAATAAGCAAAAATGTGTGTTAAAAAGAAGAGTCCTTTTCCCCTTCTCCAAAACACTAAAGAAACGAAAAGTAACGAAAAGAAAAAAACAAGAGCGTTAAGACTGTTTGTCCACTCAAAAATACACACACACAAAAACAGGGACACGCCCAAAACGGCGCACGGCCATAACGGCGCAAAGCCCTAATTTGCTTCAAGAATTTCTAATCTTAACAAATTTAGTATCAAACGTTTCCACTCATCGAGCTAAAGAGATTGGTACCAAAATTGACAAGGGCCAGAAATTTTGAAGCAAGTTATGGCTTTGCGCCGTTATGGCCGCGCGCCGTTTTGGGCTGTACCCACAAAATCAGCCCCCCCCCCCATAAACTTGCCCTTGTCTTCTTCTCTTCTTTACTAGACGCTTTTTCTTCTCGGTGAGGATTTGCATTATTATTGTGGCTGTTTGAAACATTTGTTGTTCTCAAATAACAAGCATTGTCAACGACGATCTTTCCATCAGCCATTACTTTGTTTGGCTAAAAACCGTAAAAATCATTCGTCTTTAAAGGATACTTAAGAGGAAGGAACCAGAAAACGAGAAAAAAGTAAAAATTGATAAAACAAAGATCGGAAACTCTTCCTATCAGTCAAAAAAAGTGAAAAATAGAAGCCTATTCTCATTTAAAATCCAAATGTCTTTAATTAAACAGAACGCCAAAAATGTTTACATAACGCCAAAAATGTAATTTTATTCAAAAATTTAAACAAGCCAGTTACTTATTTGCCTATAACTTTTTTAATTTTCAGCCAATCTGAACAGAATTATATATCATTCGAAAGCTGTGAATGTGCTCTATATTTTTCTTAAAAGGGTCGAACCGATCCGATCATTTCCTTAAAAGTTATAGCCTAATAAATGCGTGCAATCGTGATTTTTCGTAATTATTCTTTTCTATCTTTTCGGGGAATGATCGGATAGAAAAAATTTTAACAGAAAAATAATCCTCATTCAAAGAGCTATCGAATGATACATAAATTTTTCAGAAAGGTAGAAAATCAAAAAAGTTATGAATTTTTAAAAACCACCAAAAAAGTACCCCTACCCACACTTTTTCTTCCTTACCAATTTATTCTCTTCTTTATTTCCTTGTTCTAGCCCTTCTAATTTCAAATGACTTCTATTTTGTCTATTTTCAGATTTTAAATTTATTAATCCACTAGTAAAATTTTTTGTTTCAGCCATTGGCGTTTCTGCCATATCTTCTTCCTCTTCAGGTTCTGGACTTGTAATTACTGGCAAATCCATTCCTAAGCTAGGTCCATCTAATATTACTGATTCGTCTGGACGAAAGGTTCGAGGATAGCCTGTACAAATGAGAAAAATACATTTTGTTTTTTATTTAAATTACAAAAACACAAAAATATATGAAAATACAAAAACACATAAAAAACACAAAAAAAAACAAAAATACACATAAACACATAGACACACAAAAACACAAAAATACACAAAAACACATGAAAACACAAAAAAGCACAAAAACACATAAACACGCAAAACACATAAAATAAAAAAAAACACATGAAAACACAAAAATACATAAAAACACAAAATACAAAGATACATAGAAACAAAACACATAAAAACAAAAATACACAAAAACACACAAAAACACAATTTTACCATTTTCATTCAATATCCACCCAATAATTGCCGTTCTATCATCATCATCGTCTTCCTCATCCAATCTAAGTAGAGATGATTCACTCAATTCCAAATCTGACAACATTGGGCAGTCTGATTCAAAGACGGTATAAGTTGCTTGTGAATTGGCCATTAAGTCGATATTATGGTTTCGAATCTAAAAAATATTTTGCTTAGTTTGGGACTCTAATAGTTAAATAAAGGCTTGAGTAATACACAAATTCATGTCTTTCTTGTCTTATACGTTCCCCAAACCCTTCCGGATATCCCAAAAATCCCCTAAGATCCCAGGACATTCCCACACACTCCCAAATCCCCAAGAACTCCCACACCTTCCCGAGAATCCCTAGATATCCTAAAACTCCAGACATTCCCCAAAATCCATCAGATACCCCAAAAATCTTCTATAATCTCCCAGAACTCCTACACCTTCCCAAAACCTCCCAGATATCCCAAAATCCCCCTAAGACCTCCCAGGCATCCAACACCTTCCTGAGAACTCCCAGACATCCCAACCATATTCCTAAGCTCAGTGTTACCCCATACATATTTGAAAAAAATTTTTCCCATATATCACAGCCTTCAAGCTATACCAGTACTCGGGTCTCTCCTTAAGGATGTGATAAGCTAAAGATCTAAGAATAAGACAGAGACTTAAGAAAAGAAAAATTTAATAAATTTCCCTTCCTTGTCCCTGTCACATTTAATTTGAAAAAAAAATTTCAGAATGATAAAATTTAAAAAAGAAAGGCAATTGTTGCCAGCTAGTAGGTAGTGATCAGTCTCTCCTTTCTATTGACTTTAAATATAAAAAAATATATAAAAGTGCAATAAAAATGGGGGAGGGAGAGAAGGTTTTTATTTTCGCATTTTTATAATCGGCCAAAGTAATAAAATTAATAGAGAATATAAAAAAGTAGTAAATAATCGTTCTTTTCAAAAAAAATTTTTTTTCTGAAATTAAGGCAACAAAAAATATTTTTATTGACATAAAAGATTTTTTTATACAAATACCAGAATTTCAGTCTTAAATATGAAGAGCAAACAGACAGACAAAAATAAACTTGGAATTATAAAAATAAACCTTAAAATAATATAAAAATACTAAAAATACTTTAAAAACACAAGAAATACAAAAATTAAACTTGAATTATGAAAATACACGAAAATACAAAAGTAAGAAAATACAAACCTAAAAATAGACTGAAATTGTAAAAATAAACTTGAAAAAACACAGAAAAATACAAACTTATAAAAATAAACTTGGAAAAATACAAAATAATAAACTTGACTTAAATGAACCTGAAAAACACAAAAATACAAACTTATAAAAATAAACTTGAAAAAACACAGAAAAATACAAAAAATACAAAAAAATACAAACTTATATAAATAAACTTGACTTAAGAAAATAAACTTGAAAAAACACAGAAAAACAAACTTGAATTAAATAAATAAACTTGAAAACCACAAAAAAATACAAAAATAAAACTTTAAATACAACAATAAACTTAAAAACACAAAATAAACACAAGAAAATACAAAATAACCCCTAAATTTTTTTTTCTCATAGAATAGGGACATAAATTTTCTTGTCAAAAAATAAATGAAAAGAATTTGTAGAAAAATAAATGCAACCTAATTTTTCCGGTTGTTAATGTCAACTAAATTAATTTATATATCAATGGCCTTTCTTTTTTAATTAGTTTATTTATTTACTTTTTAGTTACATGACCTTGGATTTACATTAAAATTTTGGAGAAAAGAATGTTTTTATTGCGAAAATATCCTTTTAGTTTTAATTAGAAAATGGTCACAGATTTGAATAATACCCAAAAACTGGGCAAGCTAGCTGACAAAATTGACTTTAAAATGTCCTCACAATTAGAGTGTCTTTAAATGCCCTTATGCTCTTACAAGATGTCCTTAGAAATGTCCTTACAATTAGAATGACCTTATAATTAGAATGTCCTTATAATTAGAATGTCCTTATAATTAGAATGTCCTTATAATTAGAATGCCCTTATAATTATATTGTCCTTATAATTAGGATGTCCTTGTAATTAGAATGTCCTTATAATTAAATGTTCTTAAATATCCTCGTTTTTATATGGTGTCCTTACAATTAGAATATACTTGTATTTTCCTTTATTTCCTACCACATAAGACGAATCAGAATTATTAGAAACAGTAGACATAGACATTAAAGACCAATCCATAGGCATCTGAGGGATTTGAGTTGAAGTTGACGGAATTTCACTAATATTTCTGTCAATGTTTAATGAAGGCATTGCTGATCGAGAAAGTGTCTTTAAAGGAAAATAGAAATTTTTAAAAATATTTTTCCAACCCTTTCAGCTTTAGCTATAAGTGAAGCTTTTCCTCCCTTCTCTGTTGTTTGTCTTCTCATTGTTTCCATTTGCACTTTATGACAGGGAGCGAAGACACCATGGCCTGGGCGACAACCAAAATAAAAGGCTCCTAAGAATGGGATTTTAAAGAAAACAAAAAAATTTTAGGGAAAAAAATTTTGGAGAAATAAAAAATTCTTTCGGTCAGAGAAAAATCTCTCAATTTCCCATTATCTCTAATTAATTTTTCCTTCGGTCAGAGAAAAATCTCTTCACTTCCTATTGTCTCTAATTTATCTTTTAAATTTACCCTCATGTGTCCCATCATTTTTCCCTACGGGCTGATCCAATTCTATCCCACAGAAAATTCCTTCCTTGCCAGCAACTTGACCCATATACCGTAAAACACCTCCATAGTGACCGTTAACTATCACTCTTTTTCCTAATCCACTTCTTGAGACAATTCCAGAGTCGGGTTGATTCTAAAATACAGAATTTAAGTAATATTGAAATAAAAATTGGCGTTTTGTACATAAAAAATTTTTGGCGCACATCCTGGCAGAAATTATATTTTTAAGTGTGCGCCAAGTTTGTTTAAAAACGCCAAAACTTGACAATATTCATTTTAAACTTGAGCATTTTTTAAAACTTGAGCATTAAAACTTGAATTAATTCAAGTTTATTTTCCACAGACTTACTAACTTAAAACTTAAGTTTACAAAATCAAAACTTGAATAATTAATTCCAGGTTTATTTTTCACAGACTCGCAAACTTAAAACAAGTTTATTTAAAAAAAACTTGAATAAATTCAAGTTTGCAAACTTAAAACTTGGATTAATTCAAGTTTATTTTCCACAAACTTAAGTTTATTAAAACTACTCACAGTAATACTCCTATTAGTTGTTGATTTATGCATATTTACAGATAAACCCTTGTTGTTCATTTTTCTTTAAAAATAAATTGAAAAGAGATACTTTTCCAATTTTCTTCTTTTCTCCTCTCCTTTTTAAAAATAAAACAACAAAAATGTCAATTCAACTTCATTTTGCCAAGACTTTATCTCTAATATAGCAAATATAAGGAAATAAAGTAGTGTTTTGTGCCATAGAAAGTGTGGCAAAAAAGAATGATGAATAAAAGTGAATCGATAAGAAAAAAAGAAAATAGAAGAAATATTGCCGGAAAAGGCCAACACTTGGCGGCAAAAGCTTCATTACATTTTAAAGTAGTATAGTGGCCCACCCACAAATTCATCATCACCCATGCATGATAATAAAAACAAAATGTTTAGAAAAAAAATATTTGTAGGCGAATTTGTGTATTTTTAAGATTAATCTTGTATTTTCAAGTTTGTTTACTTAAGTGTAAACAAGTTTATTTTTAAGTTTATTTTTTGAATTTAAGATTAAGCTTAATTAACATTAATAAACTTAAGTTTAATATTTTAAGTTTGTTTTTTCAAGTTTTTACAAATTCAAGTTTATTTATTGTATTACAATTCAAGTTTGCAATCCAAGTTTAATATTTGTATTTTCAAGTTTATTATATACTTGCAAGTTTATTTACTTAAGCTTAAGTTAAGTTTAATCTTAATTATCAAGTTTAATTATTTAATTCAAGTTTATTTTTGTAGTCAAGTTTATTTTTATGTTTTTAAGTTTATTCTTTTATTCTTAAGTTTATTTTATTTAAGTCAAGTTTAATTTTATAATTCAAGTTTATTTTTTTGTTCTAAAAATCTAAAAAAAATAACAAAGACTTAAAAGAACCAAAAACAAGTTTTATTTCATTTCATGCATTTATAAAACCTCAAATTATTGACATATATTAGCAGAGGCAATGCAAGGCCTATTTCCTGGCACTATAAAGACTTTTGGTCTTTCTATCATTACTGCTGACGAGCGACAAAGGCAAACGCGAAAGGCCTCCACAGAAGCTATTAATGCTGGTGATGGGCTTAATGGCAAAGAAAGCCATTTACTGCCGAGAAAAATTTGTTTTGATGTTAAGCGGATAGAGCCGTCTTCCTAAAATTAATTAATTGATGTGGAAATTAATTTAAAAATTAGAAAATATTACTAGGGATTTAAATATATTTATAATTCAAGTTTGTAATTAAAGTTTATTTATTCAAGTTTACAAATATTCAAGTTTATTTTTAAGTTCAAGCTCGCAATTCAAGTTTACGTTTCAAAACTTGAGTTTGTAATTCAAGTTTAATTTATTTTTGTGATCCAAGTTTATTTTTTAAAGCTTAAGTTTGTAATTTAAGTTTATTTTTTGTTATTCAAGTTTATTTTTTAATTCAAGTTTGTAATTCGTATTTTTCATAATTCAAGTTTATTTTTTAAAATCCAAGTTTGTGGTTCAAGTTTATTTTTATATACTTAAGTATATTAAGTTTATTCATCCTCACCGTAGTAGAAAATCGAATGCCTGTTTTTGCTGTAAAATTAATTGCTTTAGCCTCCAGTTGAATCCGTTCATTCCCTCTTAACCCCAAATCTTCAGCTGTTATATGAATAGATTCATCTATTGGAGATCTCAATTTATTAGTAATAATGTGTCCTGAAGATATTTTTTTGATTCGTCTGTCGATGGAAACGAGTGGGTGGCGAGCACTAAACAGCACTTTATCTGTCCCTGGCTGTCTAATCTAAAGGAGGGAAAAATATTTTTTGTCAGATTTACTTATATTTTACTTGGAATTGTTTAACCCCTTCAACTTTGCATTCTCCTCCTTGTAAAACAGTTTTAGTTTCATTTCCGGATTGAATAAGCACACGAGAGCCAAGAATCTCAAGCTTAAAAGGAAATATAAGTTAGATAGTAAAAAAAATTTAGAATTTTTTTAAAATTCAAGTTTGCGATTCAAGTTTATTTTTTAAAACTTGTTTGTAATCAGGTTTATATAAGATTAGACTTGAAAACAAAAATAAACAAGGAAAACAAACTTGAAAATAAAAAATCAACTTGGAAAAAATACAATTTGTATTACAAACTAAACTTGAAAACATAAACTTAAGCGTAAACTTTAATATACAAAAATAAACCTGAGAATAAAATATAAACTTAAAATACTCGTATTACAAACTTAACTCAAAATATAAACTTGAATTACAAACTTAAATATAAAAAATAAACTTGAAAAACTAGTTGTATTACAAGCTAAATTTGAAAACGTAAACTTAAGTGTGAAACTTGAATTACAAACTTGAATATATAAAATAAACTTATGTACGAAACTCGAATACAAAAATAAACTTGGAATACTAATATGAGTTACAAACCAGGGTTTCGATCTCGAATTTTTAAAAATCCGCAAAATTGATCGAAAAAATCCGCATTTTATATCAAAAATCCTCAAAAAATTATCAAACACAAAAATTGAATTAAAATCTCTTTATGATTGTATTTTTCGTCTTCTATAGTACAATTGAATTAAGCAATTTTTTATTACTAATGATCATCTTATGAAAATACGACAATTATCTGAAAAATTGTATTTTTGTCGCGGAAGATGTCGTAAATTTTTATTTCTTCCATTTTCAGCGCCGCAGGCAAAAATTTTTTTAAATTTGTAAGATCCTTAAGCCAAAAATCGTTCATTTTCAGGCCTGGCAAAAAATTTTTTGAACATTTTGGAAGATCAAGGACACGGATTCCTTCTTTTTTTGCGCCGCAGGCGAAAATTTTAAGGATTTTAGGAGGTCTTAGCAGAAAAATAATGACATTTTTGCCAAAAACCACAAGAAAATATAAAAAATCCTCATAATCTTCAAAAGACCACAAAAATCCGCAAATCCGCATTTTAAAAAATAATCCTCATCGCCTTATCAAAAAACCACAAAATGGGGAAAAATCCGCAGAAATCGAAGCCCTGGTTACAAACTTAAGTTGAGAATGTAACTTAAGTGTGCAAATTGCATATGAAAATAAACTTTACAAAAATAAACTTGAATTGTAAAAATAATGTTTTGACCTACATTTACTCCCCTCTGTCCAAGTACTTTACCACTATTTGCCACAACCTGTCCCAAATGAGTTTGTTCAGCAGAAAAATGAACGGCAGGTTCAGAATAACCAGTCTTTGGGTTTGTATAAGAATAAATACGTAAAGAACGCATTCCTTGAGGGGACATTTGTAAAACTAGCACGAGAGAAATGTTGAGCTGAAATAACAAACTTTAAAATTAAAAAAAACAATTGGGCTAAGATAAAAATAATAACAATTTTAAGTACAAGACAATAACTAAAAAAAACTTTGAACAATTTGTAAACTTAAACTAACTTAAAAATAGAAAATAAACTTGGAATAATTTACAAACTTGAATATAAAGTTGGAAAACCTGAAAACTAAAAATAAACTTGACGAGTCTAAAAAACTTGGAATAAGTTTACAAACTTAATTATAAATATGGCAAGCTTAAAAACTTGAAAATAAACTTAAGATAAGTTGTAAACTTAAACGTTAAAATTAAACTTGAAAAATAATCCTGCAGATTTACAAACTTAAAAACTTTAAACACTTACAATAAGCAATATTAAAGCCAACGTAGCAACAACCCCTAACCAAATAAACAACAAAAGTAAAGAATTTCTTCTTAATCCGGCTAATCTAAGGCTTTGTTCATCTTTTCCCCTTGTATTTTTTGAATAAATTTCTGAAGACTTTAAAAAACTGTCAGTTTTGTTATCTTCACTTTTTAAAGAATCTTCTCTTTCTTCTTCACCCCCAAATTCTTTTTTGTCATCTTCAGGGGTTGTAGTTGCTAATGAACGTCTCCAATGACGGAAATATTGGGGGGTATACATTTATTTTTGAAATTTATTTTTCCCTTTGTTAAGAGAGAAGATCCCCTTATGAGAGAGGATTTCAACTTATTAAAGTTTATTCCAACATTTATTGATTTAATATTTGGTCGAGAATAGGGTAATAAACAAACAACTGTTCTGTCTTCCTCAAAAAGGTTGTAAATTTATTGGAGGAATTTTTTAATAAAAACACAAACTTGAAAAGGGTACAGCCCGAATAGTCGCGCGGCCATAAGGTCGCCAAGCCATAACTTGCTAAAAAATATCTGGCCCTTATCAATTCTGGTACCAATCTCTTTAGCTCGATGAGAAGAATCGCTTAATAATAAATTTGGAAAGATTCGGAAATTTTAAAGCAAGTTATGGCTTGGCGACCTTATGGCCGCGCGACTATTCGGGCGTGTCCCACTTGAAAATACTACTCTCTGAAGTAGGGATGGGTCGGTTACTCAAAACCCGGCTTTTTTCGACTCGAACCCCAGACCCAAGAAAATTTTTTGTACCAAAATTAGCAAAAAAAATGCGAGCCCTTCCGGCTAAAAACTTTGAAACTCGGATTTTATTAAAATATACATGGTTTCCAAGCTAAGGCCCGGGTCAGGAGTAAATCTACTCGAAATGGATCTGGGCCGGTCGGGTTTTTAAGCTTAGATTCGGGCTGGCTTCTGGGCTAAAAACCTTGAAACTCGGAAAGAACCTAATTTTATCAAACAAAATTTATCAGGCTATAGGCCCGGGTCAGGAGTAAATCTACTCGAAATGGATCTGGGCCGGTCGGGTTTTTAAGCTTAGATTCGGGCTGGCTTCTGGGCTAAAAACCTTGAAACTCGGAAAGAACCTAATTTTATCAAACAAAATTTATCAGGCTATAGGCCCGGGTCAGGGATAAGCACATTGCATTTTCACGATTACCTCTTGGGCTCATCCCTGGCCAAATTAAGTAGCCGGCTAACCCCTTTCTAATTTAAATGTGTAAGCTTTGTGAAAATAAACTCAAGTTTTTTTTAAAAACACAAGTTTAAGCTTAAAAAGGTTTAATTAAAAAATAAATTAAAGGAAGAATGTCAATATAATAATTTAAAAATAATTTTTAAAAATTAAAGTGAAAATTTTTAAAAAATCACAAAATTTGGAAGGCATCAGAATTAAAAAAAAATAATTTAAAAATTTAATTAATTTTGTGTCAAAATCATTTCTTCAACAATTTTTTTAATTTTAAAAATTTTTGGTCTTTCTTGAGGGGAAACTTTAATTAGCGAAGAAATTAGGGTAATTATGTCATTTGAGAAGCTTTAAAAAATTTTTAGGGGAATTTTAAAAATTTAAAAAAAATTTTTACGGTGCAGACGAGTTAAAGGAGAGTTTGGCAGATTGAACGGCTAGAGCTACTACAAAATTTAAAAAAAAATTTCTGACTAGAGAAGAGAATGCATAAGAAAAAGGGTGAGAGAGGCTCGGAGGTATTTTTAATTAAAAAAAAAATTTTTTTTAATGGAGAGGAAAGAAAGAAAAGAGAGGCTAGAGGAGGGCGTCTTATCATAAAGTTATTTTTTTTTTGTTTTTTGACTTGGAAATAGGAAGAGTGAGAGATAAAGTTGCTCCCCGTCCCCGCAAGTCGGGGGATTTGAGACATTTTTTAAAAATTCCACGCCCCCGCCCTCTCCCCCGTGAAAAAAGAAAAATATCCCCGCCCCTAGCCCCCCCCCCTCTCGAAAACTTCCCCCGTAGCCCTCCCACCGTCTGGGAATAACTCTGATGAGAGCGAGAGAGGGGGAGGGCTAGAGGGGTAATTTTTAATTAAAACCCCCTTTATTATTTAATTAAAATAAAAAATTCAAAAAATTAACCGCTATCTCCTCGTTCATGTACTTCATCAAAGGGTGAAACAAAATAACAAAGGGCATAAAATACACAACCAAGCGACTTTAAAAGAGATTAAAATTAAATTAGTAGATGGAATAAACTAAATTAGTAGATGGAAATACATAACTGTCACCCTACGGGACGGAGTAGCATTGACGTAAAAAGGGCAGTTATAGAGAGCTTCCTAGCTTAAAAATTTTTTTTCGAGGAAGTAGCTCATAACGCGTTAAAAGATAGCCCCAATCAAAATTCAGAAGCGGAATCCTACCCTCTTCTCTATAATTTAATCAGGGGTCTGCAAATAAAATTTGCCGCAGCCGGAATTTTAATTTTTGCGGACAACCCTGACAGCAATCCTCCCCCCCCCTCCAAAAAATAAAAAAAAATTAAACCCAAATATCAACAGATTCGTCTATTTCCATTCCAACTTCACAAGTAAACAATTCTGGTGCTCTATAAGGCCTTTAAAAAAATTAAAAAAATTTTCTATTCAAAAAACTAAAAAAATTCCCAACATTGTACAATATTGACCAGCTTCGTCCAACATTTTTCTGCTAGTTAAGGCATCTGAAATAACTAAAGGGCATTCCATTGCTGAACCAAAGTCGATTAATTGAAGTGTATAAAAGTCTTGATAGAACATTAAATTGCCGGGTTTTAAATCTCTGAAAATTAAAAAAAATTTTTTTGCGGACAAAAATTTGTCCGCAAAAAATTTGCGGACAATAAATTTGCGGACTTTTACATTTCAAACAGAATTGAACTGGTTAGACACCCAGGGAAGTGCCTAAACTCATTTTAAGAAGCTAAAGAAGAAACACCAAAAAAGGCGAAATTGGGCGAAAGACGAAACTGACACCCCTTAGGAAAATTAATTTTAAAAAATTCAAACCTGTGAGCTATTGCAGGTTTAGCACTGTGCAAATGTTCAATAGCTTCGCTAATCTATAAAAAGAGGAAAAAAAATATTTTAAAAAATTTCTAAAACAATTTTTCCAACCAAAAATGCCCTCAACTAAAAAATTTTCAAAAATGACCAAAATGGTCAGAAGGTCAAAAATTCCAATTTTCCACAAATAAATTATTCATTTCGTCACAAAAATTTTTAAAAGAAACCTGTCTAAAAAATTCAAGCAAAACTTTTCTTTCAAAAAATTGTCTATTTTGTCGTCGATTAGCCAAATCTTCTTGTAACGATCCACGGCGGCAGAAAGGAAAAACCATACAGAATTCTGCAAAAGTTGGATCAACAGAGCGGCCTTCTGCAACCCCCAAGAATGGTAAAATGTGCGGTAAATGAGCAAAACGAGTGAGCAGCTTAAAAGAAAATTTTTAAAAAGAAAAATTTGTCCGCAAAAATTTGCGGACAAAAGTCCGCAAAAAATTTCTTGCGAACAGAAAAACTTCTTGAGGACAAATTTTGCAAACTAACTGCATCCAGTAATGTACCAGATAAATTTAACAGGAAAGCCAATACATCAGAAATTTTCGAAAAATTTTTTGTCCGCAAAAATCAAAGTTTGTCCGCAAATATTTTTGCGGACAAAATTTAAAAAAAAATTAAAATTCCTAAAAAAACCTCAATCTCCCTCCTAACACATTTAATTTCATCTTGCCCATGACAGAGAATTTTCTTGATTGCAAATTTTTCGTTGTTTGAAGCTTCCTCTGCCAGGTAAATTTGACTGAATCCTCTAAAAATTAAAAAAATCTCTTCATTAAAATTTAAAATAAACCCTGTAGCAATTACTCTTTTCAAGCGTAACAGTTTTCCATCAATTTCAACGTCTACATCTCTACTACTCACACATCCTCCCATCAATCGAAAAAAATTTAAAAAAATTTTTTTGTCCGCAAAAAACTTGCGGACAAAAATTTTTGTCCGCAAAAATTTTTGCGGACAAAATTTTTTTAATTTGAAAAATAATTTTAATGGAAATTATGCCTTTAGAATAAATAAACAATTTTTAAAAAATTAATTTATGGCACTTAGAAAAATTTTTTTACAAAGATTAAAGCAATTAATTAAAATTAAAGCAAATTAATGGGTATAGGTATACAGAAAATGTTAAAAATGAGCAATTAATGAAAGTAAAATTACAAAAAAAACTTCTCTATGTATCAAAATTTACAAGGGATATTCAAAAACAATTAGCTAACTATCAGAAATTTTGTGGATTAAAAAAATTTTTGCGGATTAATTTTTTGTCCGCAAAAATTTGCGGACAAAAAATTTTACCCAAAAAATAGTCCGCAAATTTTTTGGGGACAAAAAAAATTTTGCGGATAAAATATTTTTTTTAACTAAAAAAATAACTTTAATGGAATTCCAATTTAAAATAGACTTCCCCAAAATTCTAGAAATTTTTCCCCAATTTAAAATAAGATCATATAGAGAAGCTTACAATTAACTAGAAATTAACTAACCATCATTTATGTACAAAACTAAAGAAAGACTAGAATTCATCCTTAAAATTTAAATTTTCAACAAACAATTCATTTTTCAAAAAATTCTTTTCCCCTTCTTCCTCCTCCCCTCTATTACCCAAATAATTAAAATCAACTTGTTCACTTCCCTCTGTATCACTCAAAAAATCCGAATGAGAAGAGTAACGTTCAGGCTCCAAAATTAGTGGGTAAACAGCAAAGGCGTTCAATTTTTCTTTTTCCTCAAAAAATCTTGACCAAATTTGGTTGGGATGTTGAGAATACATTATAGGCAAAAATTCATCTAGAGTCAATAAATTATTTAGAGGATCTGCTTCAATTAGTTTTCTGGCTCCAGACAGGCTTATTGCATAGCCTATAGTCCAGTAAGAATATGAAATTGTGCTGAGGTGGGAATGACCTTTAAAATAATTTTTAAAAATTATTTTTTAATGTTAAAATGACCTTTTTTAGCCCTCTAAACATTTTACTTAAATTTTAAAAAAAGATTCCCATGACGGGGTTCGAACCATGAGCCCTAACGGTTAGTAACCTAAAACTACCCAACTACACCAAATTTTTCACCAAAAAATTTTTTTATTAATTTCTCCTAAATTTTCTGTTCACATAAAAAATTCGCTTTGCGTCTTGCTACAAAAATATAACATTCAGATGACGCAAAGATAAAATAGTACAGATATTGTCTCTCCTCTTTTTCCATTATATTTTCTGTTGCAAGAAGCCAAGCGATTTTTTATGCAAGGCTTGTGATTAAAAGGTAAATGATTATTTTCAGTCACAAGAAGTCACCTATTGCAAAGTGATATCCCTGTTTAACCTTGGGCCCTTTCGACCGAGATTAAATAACCTTGGACTGAGTTATGGACTTCGAGTTTAAGTGCTAAAGAGGAGAGAAGGCTGGGGATAGGAGAATGCCTAAACAATTAATAAACGATTAGCAAAATTATTTTCCAGCCTCAAGAGGGTATCTTATAGTGAAAAAGAAATTAAAAAATATAATCGAACAAACCTGGTACAAAAAATTCTGGAATTCCCTTATTGTTTATCTTTCGTCCAAAATAGATAAAATCCCAATCCAGACGTGTCTTCATTAAATCTTGAACCATTTTGTTGAGTCTGAAAAAAATTATTTTTTTTTAATTTTTTAAGGGTTCAAAAAATTTTAGAATTTTTTAAAAATATCTTAGAAATCATTAAAAATCATTCTAAAGCCTAAAAACATGCCCACTAAACTTCTGATCCCCTCATGGAATCGAACCAACAACATCGCCCACAAAAAACCAACAATGCTAACCACTAAACCAAAAAGGCTGTAACAAATTAAAAATGCCTGAAACCCTACCCGCTTTACCGACCTATAACTTTGTTATTTTTTAGTCTTTCTGGATAATTTTTTGATAATTAAAAAGCTAAAAATGTCAGCTTTATTTTATATAAAGGGACCTATTAAATCCAATAACTCGATAAAAAATTATAGACTAATAAATCAAGAAAATCGTACTTGTTCACTTAAATGGTCATAATTTTTTTGGGAAATGCTCAAATCGGTAATGTCCTTTTGGGTAAAATAATCTATACATTCTTAGCTTTCGAATGATACCAAAATTAGTTGTACAAGTCAAATATACACTAAGATAGAGGTCCAAATATTCCCTTATGTCAGCCCAGAAAAATGCTGTCCGTGTTCACTTAAATGGTCATAACTTTTTGGGAAATGCTCAAATCGGTAATGTCCTTTTGGGTAAAATAATCTAGACATTCTTAGCTGTCGAATGATACCAAAATTATTGATACAAGTCAACTATGAACAAAGATATGGGTCCAAATATTCCCTTATGTCAGCCCAGAAAAATCGTATAATTGTTCACTTAAATGGTCATAACTTTATGAAAAATGCTCATAATGGTAAGGTCCTTTTGGGTAAAATAATTTAGACATTTGATACCAAAATTATTTGTATAAGTCAATTATGAACAGAAACCACTAGACCAAAAAGCCGCCTAAATATTCCTTTAAGCCCAGAAAAATGTTGTCCGTGCTCACACAAATGGTCATAACTTTTTAGGAAATGCTCAAAATGGTAAAGTCCCAAGGAGAAAAATAATCTAGACATTCTTAGCTTTCAAATAATACTAAAATTATATGTGCAAGTCAACAATGAATAAAGATATGGGTCCAAATATTCCCTTAGGTCAGCCCCCCAAACTACCCCCATCCCCTTTAAAATTAAAAAATAAACATTAAAGTTCCATTTTGCGTAAATTTCATATCATCCTCCAAAACAATCGCTCTATCATATCCATTTGCCACAACATCTTTCCAAACCTTATAATGACTCAAAAAACATCCAATTTCTCCCAACTTCATTGGCCGTTTATGCCACGGGTCCAAATAACCAGGCAAAAAGTTGAGTGAATCGAGTTGGCGTTTTGTCAAATTTTGGCCATCTACAGCTTCAAAACGTTCAAATTTCATTCCTACAAGGCGCAAAATTTGTGACATTTTGTTTAAGCGTTCGGGTCGTCGAGCGAGATTTATGAGGTAAATTTGATCGAAGCCAAACTTTAAAAAATTTTTTTTAATACAAAGAAAGCCAAACCTTTGTCTCGATTGGATACCATTGTGGAAGAACTGATGAAGATGGGAATGGAATTGAACCAGAATCGGAGATGAAATGGGCCAAGAATGTTGAATACTGCAAAAAATCGATTAAAAATGAGATTTGCGGACAATCCGCAAAAAAAAGTTTGTCCGCAAGTTTAGTCCGCAAATTAAATTTATTTACCTCTATGCTTTTTTCAAACTTATTATTAGGAGAAGAAGTCTTGGAAAGTTAAATAAGTCCTTAACGGAACGTCTTATAATGCCAAGAGCCTGAAATACCAATCCCCCCAAAAACGCTTGAAATACCAAACAGTGGGCAGCTTAAAATAGCAAAAAGTTTTAAGCTTTTTCTCACTGCATGGTATTTCAAACGTTTTTGGGGTTGGTATTTCAAGATCCTAGTATTTCAAGTCTTTATTTACCCTATGAAATTAGGGAAAAAATAAAATCGATTAGAAATGAGATTTGCGGACAATCCGCAAAGAAATTTTGTCCGCAAGTTTTGTCCGCAAATTAAATTTTTGACATTTCCACTCTCTCTCACCTAATCCTAATACAAAAAAATTAAAAAAACAAACTAGAGATGCATGTTCACTATTCAACCTTGAAGGATACAAAAAATATCCATAATAGAAGTGATTAGAAAATAAAATTGGAATATTCATTTTGTAGGCGGAAGCAGCAAAAACATCTATTGGATCGTTAGAACCTTCATATCCAATTAAATTGTTCTCTTCAAATGTTAAATAAGAAGAGTCTGGATGTTTTAGATTTATCAAAAGTGGGCCATTGGAATAATAAACCTAAAAAATAAAAAAAAATTTTTTGTCCGCAAAAATTTTTTTGTCCGCAAAAATTGATTTTTGCGTTTCTTTGCCCTACTAAACCTATTGAAATTTAAAATATCTAAAAAAATAGATAAACACTGAAATTTAGTTCACAAATCTATTGCGTCGTACCAAAATTTAGGAAATCTCCCAAAATCTTCACCCGCTACAAAGGGCGCGCGGCCATAACGACGCAAAGTCATAACCTGCTAAAAGACTTTCGAATCCTATCAAATTTAGTAATAAACGATTCCTCTCATCGAGCTAAAGAGATTGGTACCGAAATTGATAAGGGCCAGAAATCTTTCAGCAAGTTATGGCTTTGCGCCGTTATGGCCGCGCGCCCTTAAGGGCTGTACCAGCCGCCCACCAAAATTGGGGGACTGGGCCCAGCCCCACAACCAGTACCCAGTCCCCCAACCTAGAGGGCGGTCCGGATGTCTCAGACTCGTAAAATATTAAAAATTAAAATATACCCTAACAAAATCCAGCTTCTCCCTCCAAACAAACTCAAAATCCAACTCCAATTCTTGTGCATTATTAACACTTCCTTCCATCGGAGAATCCAAAAAAGGCGATAATACGACGGGTAATTCAGCAAAAGAAATTAATTGACGAAGAGAATCCCGCAACAAAAAATTATTGGTGTCCAAAATTAATAAAAAATTGCAAGATCTGCGACGTCCAAAGTTTAAAGAAAGTTCTCTCCAATTTTGATTTTCGTTTTCTGTTAAGCTGATTGAGAGGTACAATCCTTTGGGGAAGTCTTGAATCCATCTAAAATAAAGAAAAGATGGGAAAAACCGAAAAAAATAAAGAAAAATAAATTTGCGGACAATCCGCAAGTTTTTGCGGATTGTCCGCAAGTTTTGATGCAAATATTATTTTTGCAGTTTTTGGACAAATAATAATGATCAGATGCGGATAAGGGGAAAATTGGACAAAAAATGGAGTGAAAAACCTCATAAAGCTATTCCAAGAAAGTCCGCAAATTTTGTCCGCAAATTTCATTTTTGCAGTTTTTAAGGATTATTTGGTGGATAACACTGAATAGGATGCAAATAATCTGAAAAAGGCAAAATTTTGGGTCCGAAAACTCACAAAATGTCCTCAAACCCCCCAAAATCCGCAAAAACTGTCCGCAAAAATTAAAAATCCGCAAAATTTTAAAAAATCCGCAAAAATTGTCCGCAAACCCCAAAAGTCCGCAAAAATTTAAAAAACCAAAAAAAAACCTTATAATCCCACTATCCTCATTTTCAACAAAAAAATTTAAATGAATTCTGTCCTTTGGATAACGCCAATCTTCAATTAATCCCATAAAATAGGGCAAAACATGTTCATTTTTGATTAAAATTGAAATACAAAATTTTGGGTAAATTAAATTATAATTTATATTTGCTGCTATAGTCTAGAAGAAAAAGGCAATAGTTAAGTTTGTGTCGGACGGTACCACTCCCAATTTCAGGAAAAGATTCTGGACCGAGTTATAGGCCCCGAAAAATTGAAAAACCATGGGGGAGAAAGGTCGATTTTGGTATAATATAACTCGGTCCAGAATCTTTTCCTGAAATTGGGAGTGGTACCGTCCGACTCAGCTCGACGAGGCGAATCGAATGACATGCCACGTCCTGAACTTTTACCTCGGTACACTACATTACAGCCGAAAGAAAAAAGGGGAAACACAAACTTAACTATTACCAAGAAAATTTAATTTAAATTAAATAAGAGCACTTACCACTAAATAATTCCAATAAATCAGCAAGAAAAATATGAAATAAATGCTATCCATTTTTAGTTGAGGAAAAGTCCGCAAGTTTTTGTCCGCAAAGATTTGTCCGCAAATTTTTTTTCCTACAAATTTGCAGAACTTTTAAGCCTGAAAAATATTTTTAAATGAAAAAATTAAAATAAATAGAAGATATTTATAGGATGTATATTGTAGTGATGTTCGAGAGTCAAAAAATCCCGAGAGTCGAGAGTCGAGACCGAGACCGAGAATCAACCCCGAGACCGAGACCAAAACGAGAGTCGAGAGTCGAGACCGAGAGTCGAGACCGAGAGATTAAGAGGGATATCACTTGATGTCCCTCCTAATCCCCAAAAATCCCTTGATATACCTCAAAATCCCCATACTCGCTTGAATCCCCTTGTCCACAATATATATTCAATGATATTCACATTAATCTCTTAAAATCCCCTCATATCCTTCCATATCCCTACAAATCCAACAATATCTTTTTGATCCATCGATGCACCCATCCCTTGATATTAAATTTTATCCTTCAGAATCCACAGTATCTAATATACCACAAACCACAAAATCTAATCCTTTAATCTTATTAAATTCAAATTTTTGCTGCATTTTTGGCGCCGCAGGCGAAAATTTTTTGAATTTTGGAGCTCAAGAAGCCAAATTTCCTCCATTTTCAGCGCCGCAGGCGAAAATTTTGAGAATTTTGGAGCTCAAGAAGCCAGATTTCTTCCATTTTTCAGCGCCGCAGGCAAAATTTTGGGAATTTTGGAGACTTTTCCTTAAAAATTTTAATATCAAAGTACGCAAGGTCCGAGTAAAGTTCAAAAAATTTCCGTCATTAGGGGTGTAAATTTAGTCTCGTTTTCCGAGACCAAAACACCGAGACCGAGACCGAGACCGAGAGCTCAAAAAACCCGAGAAATTTCTCGACTCGAGAGTCGAGACCGAGAGTCTCGAACATCACTAGTATATTGTCACATCAAAAAACAACAGCTGTTTATAATGGATAGACCAAAAATCAATTTTATTATTATACAGCAAGGCTGTGCTAATTTCGGGTACAGCCCAAAACGGCGCGAGGCCATAACGGCGCAAAGCCATAACTTGGTGGAAAATTTCTGGTCCTGATCAATTTTGATACCATTCTCATTAGCTCGATGAGAGGAATCGTTTAATACTAAATTTGGTAAGATTCGGGCATCTTGAAGCAAGTTATGGCTTTGCGCCGTTATGGCCTCGCGCCGTTTTGGGCGTGTCCCGCTAATTTCGCATTTCGCGTTTCGCATTCATTTTTCAACGCGAAAAGTTTCGCATTCCGCATTTTGCTTTTTATTCTTTGATTTTGCCCAGCCCACAAAAAATAAACAAAAAATGGGAGGATATGTTGGATTTGTTGGATTGGGTTCTATGGGCGGGCGTATGGCCAGAAACTTGCTAACTAAAAATATTCGCTTGGCTGTATTCGATAACAACAAAGAAAAGCTTTTGGAATTTAAAGAAAAAGGTTCTAATATTTGTTCTAGTGCAGCAGAATTAGCTTCAAAATGTGAAAAAATATTTACAATGCTTCCGAATGGGGAAGATGTGCTTTGTTTGTATACAGGAAAAGAAGGAATTATGGAGTAGTTATTTTTATTTGTTTTCCGGAAGTTTCCGGAAGAATTGTAAAAGTTTAAGGATGGGTTGTAAAAGTTTCCGGAAAAGTTTCAGAATTGTAAATGTTTCCGGAAAAATATTGTAAAGTTTTCCGGAAAGGATTTATAATTGTAAAAATGTTTCCGGAAGAGTTTTCCGGAATTATAAATATTTCCGGAAAATGTTATGTTTTCCGGAAGAGCTTCAGAATTGTAAAATGTTTCCGGAAAAATTTGTTGTAAATGTTTCCGGAAGTTTCAAAATTGTAAAAGTTTCCGTAAAATATTTATAATTGTAAAATATTTCCGGAAAATATTGTAAAGTTTTCCGGAAAAGTTTTTATAATTGTAAAAATGTTTTCCGGAATTGTAAATGTTTCTGAAAAACTAGTTAATAAACTAAGAGTTTCCGGAAAACTTTTGGAAAGAGTTTATCAAGGAAAACTGTAAGAGTTTTCCGGAAAAAGTTTCAGAATTGTAAATGTTTCCGGAAAAGTTTCAGAATTATTTCCGGAATTATCTTCTCACAAATTTAATTTTCCGGAATTATTTCAGAATTAATTTTAAACAGAACGCTTCAACAAAACACTCTATGCGTTGATTGTAGCACTATCGATCAGGCAACTTCTATTCAACTTTCTGAACTTGTACAAACTAAAAAAGCTAGTTTTTTGGATGCCCCTGTATCTGGGGGAGTTTTAGGTTTCCTTAAAACATTTTTGCTTCAAGAAACATTTTTTTGCTTCATGTTTCAATTTTGCTTCAAAAAATATTTTTTGCTTCAAGAAACATTTTTTGCTTAAAAAATTTTTTTGCTTCAAAAAATTTTTTTTGCTTCAAGAAATAATTTTTTTGCTTCAACAAAAATTTTTTGCTTCAAGAAAATTTTTTTTGCTTCAAGAAATATTTTTTTTGCTTCAAGAAACATTTTTTTGCTTCAAGAAATATTTTTTGCTTCAAAAAATAATTTTTTTGCTTCAACAAAAATTTTTTGCTTCAAAAAATATTTTTTGCTTCATGTTTCAAATTTTAATTTTGTAGGTGCAGAAAAGGCTACTTTAACATTTATGATTGGGGGTGATTTGAATGATATTAAACGAGCAGAATATTTATTTGAATTAATGGGGAAGAATATAGGTTTTTAAAGAATATGTGTTTTTATTTAAATATTTTTAAAGTCCATTGTGGAAAAGTCGGAAGTGGACAGGTTACCAAACTTTGTAATAATATGCTTCTTGCTTCTCAAATGATTGCTTTGGCAGAGATTATGAATATGGGGGAAAAGTAGAATTTTAAAAATTAAATTGGGAATGTGAAGCATGATCCAAAGAATCTGAAGCATGCTTTTAAGAACTTGAAGTATGCTTTTGATAATTTGGTTCATGTTTCTAATGACCTAAAGCATTCTTCTAATGACCTGAAACATGCTAATAATGACTTGAAGCATGCTTCTAATGACATGAAGCACAATTCTGATGATATGAAACATGTTTCTAGTGACTTGAAGCATGCCTCTAATACTTTGGAGCATGCTTCTGATGATATGAAACATGCTAATGACTTGAAGCATGCTTCTAATAATGGGAGCATGCTTCTGATGATATGATACATGTTTCTGGTGACTATGAAGCATGCTTTTAATGGTCAGAAGCTATTAATTATTTTATTTGACGTTTATTTTAATTATCTGGAGCATGTTTCAAAAATCCCATATTGGCTTCAAGGTACTTGAAACATGTTTTTAAAAATTTGAGAATGATTTCAAAAACCTGAAGCATGTTTCAAAAATCTCTTAAGCTTTAACATTTACTTAACAAAAACAATTTTATTTTTTACAGACTTGGATTGGACCCACATGTCCTAACATCAGTAATCAACTCCAGTTCTGGTCGTTGCTGGGCCAGTGATACCTATAACCCTGTTCCAGGCGTAATGCCGGGGACTCCTGCTTCCAATAATTTTGAGCCTGGTTTTACTTGCACATTAATGGCTAAGGTTTCTTGTTATTTCAAATAGGACTACCCAAAGTCTACCCACAACGGTCAACTCCCTATCAATAAATGACCCTTAATGTCAATTTAAGATATTTGGGCGGACAAAGAGGGATATATGGGATTAAGTATGCCTGAGGGGCATACGACGGAAATCCTCTGGTGCACTGTCAGGTAAGGCAAAAGGGAGTAAGCCAACATATTCTTGAATTTGAGAACTCTTACGTTATACGTTCAAATATTTTGAGTTGACCTTTTGAGTAATCTGACCTCTTTGGGGGTTGACCTTTTGGGAATTGACCTTAAGGGTCATTTGATCACTAGGAAGTTGACCTTTTGGGTGTTAGCCTTTTGGAGGTTGGCTTTTTGGAGGTTGACCTTTTGGGGGTTGACCAATTGAATGTTGATCTTTTGGGGGTTGGCCTTCTTTGTGTTGAGAGGTTTCAATGATTTTTTCTTCATTTTTAAAGGATTTATCGCTCGCCCAAAACTTGTCAACTCGAAACAAAATTCCAATACCAATGGGAGCGTTGGCACATCAATTCTATCTTTACCTCCTAAATAATCCCAACTACGCGTCTAAGGACTTTTCTGTCATTTACAAATTTTTTAAAGAAAATGGGGAGAATTGAAACAACAAATTTTGTATTTTCTTGTATTTATTTGCTTGAAAATTTTTTTATAAATTTACTAATTCACTTAAAATATTTTCTAATTGGGTAAAATTTTATTATAATTGTCCTTTTTGCCGGTTTAATATGCATTAGAAATTTGCATTTTTATTTTTTTCTGTTTGTTTGTTTATTTCGTGAGCAGGCCAACGTACCGCAAGCCCAACGTACCGCAGAGCTATAACTCTGTTCAAAATGGTCGAATCCGGGACGCCCTGATATGAGTCGATTCAGCTCGTTGAGAGGCATCGAACCATACCAAATCGTCCCGGATTCGACCATTTTGAACGAAATTTTAGCTCTGCGGTAAGTTGGCCTCACGGTACGTTGGGGTGTACCCGTTCATTGCACCCATAATTTTTCAGAAAACCTTGACTTCAACGAACCAACCGTGCTCGAATTTCATTTGTTAATTTGCGGAACAGGATCGTTGCGTCCCTATGAATTATGAATAATTCTGTCAACAATGGGGATGGATTCCCGCTTGTACAAAATACACAGCAGCCAGCTACAACAGATCCGTGTGCTCAACTTGTCCATATTTTGATGTGTTACCATCAGGTTTTTAATTTTTAGTTGGCCTTTTTTATGTTTTTAATGGCGTTCTTAAGTGTCTTTACTTCCTGTATTTTAGAATAGGATCTTGGGCTATGTTTTTCCGAATTGCTCTTCGAAAAGTCAAGTTTTGGGTTTTCTTCGCCAAGTTACCTTCTCACAGATTTTTAAGTTTACCTTTTGATAGAGATCGGAACGGGAATTCTCGGTTTTCCCGGTCCGGGTCCCTCCCGGTCAACCTTCAGAACCCGGTTCCCGACCCGGTTTTTTTTAAATTTCGATCTCTACCTTTTGAGGCTTTTCCAGTCTGGTCATAAGCCCTGAAACCCTAATTTGTTTAATTGTTTTCAGCTGAATTTCTTAATTCTTTTTTATCTTTATTTCAGGGCGGTGATGACCCCGAATTCATTCACAAGGCCATCGAAAGTTTGGTCAAAAAACTTAAAGACAGGCGCGAGCAATTGTTTGGATTCCAATTTTTTCCTCTAATTTTGTTTTTAGAGATGCCCTAATTTCTGCGGTCACTTCTGCTGGAAAGCAGCCCTCTGGTTGTGTTGCTATCCACGTATTTTTGTTTCAATTTATTTAAACTAATTTTTTATAGAGATCACTGGACGGCCGTTTACAAGTTGCTGGACGTAAAGGAGTCCCAAATGTTGTGTATGCAAGGATTTGGAGGTGGCCAAATGTGAATAAATCAGGTTATTTTGAAAGGTCATTTTTCTAAAATTTGCTTCTTTGTGATTAAATTTGCATATAAACGCGTCCCAGGTATTCTTTGCTAGATGCGACAAAATCGCATGACTTAAGCCCCGTAATGGGGTTTGATTTTCTATTATCGAACAGAAATATCGCTGGGTTAATCAGTAGTTGTCGCTTAAGACCCGGGATTTTGAGCAGAGCTGCACGAAAATTTTTCGTTTCGTGTTCCTCTTCCTTTTAGCTTTTAGGAAAATATGAATTTCCTTCCTCTTCTTTTCCTCCGCCTTGAGGAACTTAAAGAAAAATTCCTCTTTATTTTCTTCCTACCTATATATTTATTTTCGTCCATAAAACGAAATTTTCGTGGAGCTCTGATTCCGAGGCGGGATCCCGTAATATCCCCTCCTGTGATGCGCTCCAGGATTCATTTTAACCTTTATTAAATTCAATTTTTTACCCTTATTGTTAGAATTGGTCAAATTGCCTGTTTGCCAAACACCAACAAACCATCCAGATGTAATTTGTATTAATCCGTATCATTATGATCGTGTGGTTTCTTACGGTTTTTTATTTATTTTTTTAATGAAAATTTTAAAATTTAAAAATTTAAAGAGCTTTCTTCGTTGCAAATGGACCCTCTTCCTCCTATTACTTCAACTCAACATGTTTTAACAAATTTGGATGGCCCTTCCTCTTCTCAACAAAATTTGGAAAACTCTGTTTTTACTGAACAAAAGTGTCAAGTAATCACTCATTTGCCTACAGAAAATCAGTTGATTGGGAATGAAATGAATTTTTATTCGAATGAACAGGTTTTTTCTTTTAATAAATATTTTTGGTTAGTTGGTGAGGGGCAACTCAAGGGATTCCAAGTCATGGACCGTACCAACTCAAGGAACAGACAATTCAAGGAAAAGACAGGTCAAGGAACGACCAAATCATGGAATATTTTAAAAATCGGAATTCTGTGAAAATTCTGAATATTTTTTAAAAATAGGAATTCAAAAAAATTAAAATACTTTAGAAAAAGAATTTAAAAAAAAATCTGAAAATTCTGATTTTTAAAATATTACGTGTTTGGGTCATTCCGTGAGTCGATCGTTTCTTGACTTGTCTGTTTTTTGTCTTGTTCGTTCCTTGAGTTAGCCGGACACGGGTTTAGTTGGGGTATTTTTGGTTAGTTTTCTAGCTATTTGTTGGGTTAAAGGTTCGAACTCCACTCACTGAAAATTAATTTTTAATAACCTAAAAACAAATTTTTATTAGAAAGGGTAATCAAAAAATATTTAAAAATTAAAGAAAATTTTTTAGTGGCAATCTTCTCCTTTCGAAACTTGTAGCAACATTTCTGGACCTTGTAATATGAATGGTTTATACCCGCAAAGTAAAAATTTTCTTTAAAAAAATTCTTTTAAATTTTTTCTTATTTTTTTTTGTGTCTTTAAAAACAACTTTTTGGGTTATTTAAAATTAATTTTCGTGAGTGGGGTTCGAACCTTTAACTTATAAACTGCGAGGATTAACATAAGCATTTTCCAACTACACCAACAATTCATTGATTTTCCCCTATAGCCTAGTTTTGGTCTTTTTCTGTTTTTGTTTTGTTTGTTTTTTTTTTGTTTTGAATTTGTTCTGATGTTTTTCTGGTTGTTTAAATTATTTTTCTTTACTTGTTCAGATTTTATTCTGATTTTTAATTTTGTTTTAAATATATTCTGATGTGTTTTTCTGCATTTTTTAAATTTCTCTTTTAATGTTCAGATTTTATTCTGATTTTTACTTTTGTTTTTCTGATTGTGTTTGATGTTTGAATGTTTTTCTGATTGTGTTTTATTTCTTTTATTTTGTTTTGTTTGTCTGATTTTTTATTTGGTTTTGTTTTTATTTAATTCTTATTTTATTATTCCGATTTTTTTGTTTCTAGTTTTATTTTTATTCTGATTTTCCTATTTAATTGTTTTTTAATGTTTAGATGTTGTTCTGATTTTTGTTCTTCTATTTATGTTTTTTTTCTGTTTTGTTTTTCTGATTTCTTATTTCATTTTGTTTTTATTTAATTCTGATTTTATAATTCTGATTTTTTGTTTCTAGTTTTATTTTTATTCTGATTTGGTTTTTTATGTTTAAATGTTGTTCTGATTTTCTTTGTTGTTGTTGTTTCTCTGTTTTCCTTTATTTAAATGTTTTTCTCTTCTTCTTATTTTCCAAAACATGCTAAATTAATGTTTAGATGTTGTTCTGATCTTTTTAACTTGTTTCTCTATTTTTCTTTCTCTAGAGAACTAGTTGTGCCCATTGGGGTATGGCGGCGAATAGCATACTCTGGCAGTTTATTTTTGCTCTGGGTTTGAATTTGGCTTTGCCCGTTGGAAAGCCTAACGGCTTTGGGGAGCGCTTCGCGCGCCGCTAGAAACGGTAACATTTGCTCTGCCTTTTATTGCTCCGGGCCTTCGGCCCTCGCCGGTAAAGTTATGCCCTGCCTTTTAATTGCTCCGGGCCTTCGGCCCTCGCGATTCGTTTTGGAATGGATCTTAAGCTCGGGCCTTCGGCCCTCGCGATTCGTTTTGGAATGGATCTTAAGCTCGGGCCTCCGGCCCTCGCGATCCATTTTGGGATGGATCTTAAGCTCGGGCCTTCGGCCCTCGCTATCCATTTTGGGATGGATCTTCAGCTCGGGCCTTCGGCCCTCGCCGGTAAAGTTTAGCCCTGCCTTTTCATCGCTTCGGGCCTTCGGCCCTCGCCAGTAAAGGTATGCCCTGCCTTTTAATTGCTCCGGGCCTTCGGCCCTCGCGATTCGTTTTGGAATGGATCTTAAGCTCGGGCCTTCGGCCCTCGCGATTCGGTTTGGAATGGATCTTAAGCTCGGGCCTTCGGCCCTCGCGATTCGTTTTGGAATGGATCTTAAGCTCGGGCCTTCGGCCCTCGCGATCCATTTTGGGATGGATCTTAAGCTCGGGCCTTCGGCCCTCGCGATTCGTTTTGAATGGATCTTAAGCTCGGGCCTTCGGCCCTCGCGATTCGTTTTGGAATGGATCTTAAGCTCGGGCCTTCGGCCCTCGCGATCCATTTTGGGATGGATCTTAAGCTCGGGCCTTCGGCCCTCGCGATTCGTTTTGGAATGGATCTTAAGCTCGGGCCTTCGGCCCTCGCGATCCATTTTGGGATGGATCTTAAGCTCGGGTCTTCGGCCCTCGCGATCCATTTTGGGATGGATCTTAAGCTCGGGCCTTCGGCCCTCGCGATTCGTTTTGGAATGGATCTTAAGCTCGGGCCTTCGGCCCTCGCGATTCGTTTTGGAATGGATCTTAAGCTCGGGCCTTCGGCCCTCGCGATTCGTTTTGGAATGGATCTTAAGCTCGGGCCTTCGGCCCTCGCTATCCATTTTGGGATCGATCTTCAGCTCGGGCCTTCGGCCCTCGCCGGTAAAGTTTAGCCCTGCCTTTTCATCGCTTCGGGCCTTCGGCCCTCGCCGGTAAAGTTATGCCCTGCCTTTTAATTGCTCCGGGCCTTCGGCCCTCGCGATTCGTTTTGGAATGGATCTTAAGCTCGGGCCTTCGGCCCTCGCGATTCGTTTTGGAATGGATCTTAAGCTCGGGCCTTCGACCCTCGCGATTCGTTTTGGAATGGATCTTAAGCTCGGGCCTTCGGCCCTCGCGATCCATTTTGGGATGGATCTTAAGCTCGGGCCTTCGGCCCTCGCGATCCATTTTGGGATGGATCTTCAGCTCGGACCTTCGGCCCTCGCCGGTAAAGTTTAGCCTTGCCTTTTCATCGCTTCGGGCCTTCGGCCCTCGCGATTCGTTTTGGGATGGGTCTTAAGCTCGGGCCTTCGGCCCTCGCGATCGTTCTTGAATGGGTCTTAAACTCGGGCCTTCGGCCCTCGCACGGCGGGCCTCTGGCCCGCCGTTTGGGGGCCTTCGGCCCCCAAACCGTCTACACCCAAAATTTCGACCTTTTGTAACTTTGTACAAAATGGTCAGAAAATTCCAGAAAAAATATTTTCGTGCTCAGCTCGATGAGAGCTTTCGATTGATATAACATTTGCCTTATTTTATGTCATTTTGGAAAAAATAAAATTTTGGCCGAAAATTTTGACCGAAAAATTTCCGTATTTTTTCAAAAAATCATAACTTTTCAAAAAGTGTTCCTTTTGAAACATTTTAAAGGCTTAATATATAGCAAAAATTCTGCTCTATTTTATAAAAATATTTGCAACTACCCTCAGCCTCGATATACCCCACAAATTTTCAAAAAACCGAAAAATTTTGAATTTTAAAAAAATCGACCCTACCAGGCCTCGGGTGAAATTTTTCAAAAATTTAAATAGTTAAAAAAATTTGTAATTTTTTGCACTATTTTATAAGCTTTAAATAGTTTGGCTACGACAAAAACTTACAAAGTTATGCCCAATTTAAATTTTACCAAAAAATTTCAAAAGGGAATTTCAAAATTTTACCTTCAAAAATGGGTCAAAAATTCGACCTCGAGAAAAATATGTTTTATGGTACTCCAAAGGGTGCTGAATACGAATCTGAAGTCCGTTTAATTTTAAAAATTTTTTAAAAAAAGTTATACGCAAAAAACCGACCACTTTTTGCCCCAAAAATGCCACTTTTTGCCCTATAACTTTCCCAGACTCAAGTGTACCCCCAACAAAGTATATATTTTTAGAGGTTTCAAGGGACGCTCTACAAGATAGGATATTCAAATCGAGTTTCAATTCACGCGTTAAAAAGTCGGTTTTGCCGAGGTCACTTTGGTGCCCATAACTATGTCAGGAAAAATTCCCAGACTCAAGTGTCCCCCAACAAAATTGTAGTACATTTAGTGCCCTAACATACTAAAAAAGAGTTGAAACCATTCGCCCTCTCATAAGCAATTTTATAATTACATTCGATGGGAGCCACCCTTCACGTTAGGGGTTCTGGACATTTTGGACCTTTGGCGTTCTATAACTTTGCCCAAAATGGTCAGAAAAAATCAAACCAAATTTTCCCATAACCAACTCATGGAGCTCTATCGAATGGCATATAGTTTGAAAATTGTCGGTGAATTTCGTCGGACACCATGTGTCATTTTGGGAATAGATGTGCAATTTTTAGCCAAGGCCACAGCCTCAGGCGTTAATCCCAGGCCCCCCAAATTTTTCATACGATATAGTACCCATCCCAACTTAGGTTCCTCCCAGCAAGCACTTTTTGATCACACTTCACCCCTCCTCGCTATTTCCATTTGAAAAACCACACATGGCCGTTTCAGTGCGAAAACGACGTTTCAGCGCCGAGGTTAGAGTTTTCCTGAATAGAGCGCAAAAAGTTGTAGGACAAATGTATCACTCAAAAAATTCCAGCCGCCGGCCTTCGGCCGGCGGAATTTTTAAAAGGGATTTTACCCACAAAAATAGGGACAAGTGTGGGTTTTTTATATAAGTATTAAAACATTTGAATATTTTTTCCTCTGTTTATTTTAAAACATTTTAATTCATAGATGCTCCAAAATATTGGTGTTCTATTACCTATTTTGAATTAGACACGCAAGTTGGTGAAACATTCAAAGCTCCATGGAATATGTCTAATATTTATGTTGATGGAGGTTATTTTTTAATTTAAAAATATTTTTAAAATTCTTCTCGCAGTAAGTGGTAGGGAAAGAGTTTATTTTTTAACTTGAGTGGCCAAAAATCGATTTTCTAGATTCCGAATAACGTCCGAAATGTACGGCAACACGAATTTTGTAAACTTGATTCTATAGAGGTTGGGGGCCCGATCCGGCCCTGTTCGAAAGATCGAGTCTGGCAATTGAATTTTGGCCCGAAAAAGCTGCGGTCTGACCGGCTTGAATAAATGACTCGAACGACGGCTCGACTCGAAAACCCCAGAACTAGTTATTTTGAACGAGACCCAGTCTATGATGCACACTTGTTTTAACCAAAACAAGGAATTTTTAAGTTTGGAATTTTTGAAATAAGGTATCTAAGTTTTTAAAAATTCGTAAACTTAACCTACAACATTTATTTTTTCTTAAAAACCACAGAAATTTTTTTTGTTTTTTCCAGGAATGGATCCAAACGGATCAGAAAATGGACGTTTCTGTTTGGGAGCACTTTCAAATGTTCATAGAAGTGAATCTTCAGAAAAGGCTAGATTACATATTGGAAAAGGAATTCGTTTACAAATTGTTGATTCTTCTGAAGATTGCAATATATTTGTTGAATGTTGTTCTCAAAAAGGAATATTTGTTAAAAGCTGCTTTCTTGATTTTCAAAATGGATTGGGCTATGGAAGTGCTGTACATAAATTTTGTTTTGGGGCTGTTAGAAAGGTTATTTTTAAATTTTGTTTTTGGGAAATATGGGGAATAGGATTATCGCAGATTTATTTCTTTTGTTAAGACCCCCCCCCCCCCCCATAGGTGGGGTCTTTCTTATTCTGGTTAATGTTTTGATTTGGATTTGGGTGAATCGTTTTGGGTGAATCGTTTTGGGGAACTATGGGGAATAGGGACAGATTTCTTTTGTTAAGACCCCCCTCCCTCTTCATCCCATAGTTGGGGTATTTCTTATTCTGGTTAATATTTTGATTGGGATTTCGGTGAATCTTGAGGTGGACTCAACATTTTGGACTTTAGGAAAGCTTGTGAGGGGGGAAAGCACCCACCAATAACTGCAAGGTGATTGCAATTCTTTGTAGTAAGAATTTGATTTTTTCCTTTTCTTTGGGCTAAACTTTTATCTCTTACTTTTGGAAATGTGTTTTTGGAAATGGGCTCTTTATTTTTATATTTTTAACAAATTCCTCTTTTTAGGTTTTTAATCTTAAATGGGCCTATACAGAAATGGTTGAGAAAAAACGAAGAGCGAATATGGCAGGTTTATTAAATTGAAATTTTTTTGTATTTTTTCCAATTCTTTTAGCAATGGTAAAAGCCTATGCAGTAGCCGGCATTGCCCCTCAAAATGGTTTGGTTCAAGATTCTGGTACGGGTGTAGATGATCTTAGAGCGGTATATATTTTTAAATTGTGGATTATTCAAATTAGGATTGGGTTCCGTCATGAAACCATGGATGGGTATGGTTGAGTAAAAAGCCGGGTCGGGTTGAGAAATTTTTTAGGATACTTTCGGGTCGATAAAATGTCTAGTCGAAATGTCTTCTGTCCTCCACTGCTTTGAAAGTTTCGTCCTCGACGACTTCAATAATTTTCATATGGCCTCAACCTTTAGTGATCTGATTTCTCCGATTATGCTTATTTTTAAGAATTCTTGGAAAGGAAATTTTGAATATTAAATAAATTTTTAGGCTTGACCAATTCTTTGGTGTGAAAATTTGTCTTTTTTCCATTTCCTTGGACAAGAATAGAAAAATGTCTATTCTTGTCCAAGGAAATGGAAAAGGGCAGATTTTTTCCGACTAAATCCCCACGTCTCCGAACTTTTTTTCCTTTGGGCAGGAATTGGTTTACCTTGAAAATTGGTAGCCTTTCTTACCTGCATTTCTTTAGTTACTTCCTTATTAATCCTCAACATTTCAAAAAAAAATTTTTTACTCCTTTCATCAATTTTTTAATTAAAATAGACTTGCTGTACAATTGCCATTAGTTTTGTAAAAGGATGGGGAATTGGTTATCCACGTTCAACCATTAAAGAAACTCCTTGTTGGATTGAGGTTTATTTTTTAAATTATTTGTTTTAATTAAAAAAATTTTTTTAAAGATTCAACTCTTTCGCCCTCTTCAATTACTTAATGAATTGCTTTCTTCCAATTGAAAGAAGTTTTTTGCCAAAAAATATTGGGTATACTTAAAAAGTGTTATTTATTATTTTGCCAGGTTTTTATTAATTTTTCTCTTATTTTAAAAAATTCGCAAAACGGCCTTATATTATTTTAATATTCTATTAGCCCAGATGCCTAATCTATAAAATAATTTTATTTTTTTTTGGTAATTTTCCGTTATCTTCTCCCCAGTTTCCTTCTTCCTTTCTCTAAAATAAGGTTTGTGAATTTAAAAATCAACTGTAGTGCTAGTTTAATAGCTGCATTGGCTAGAATATTAGTATTGGGTTTCCCCTTTTTTCAATATGGATTAATCATGTCTGCTCTTAATTTTGAAAAGTGTGCTCTGTTACCTAATATGGCATTATTTTCTTCTACCCTTTTAACTCGGAATAGATTATATTGCTCACAATTACCTATATTCTAAAGAAAGGCAAAAAATAAGTAAATGAGGGGGTGGGGGAGGATAACGGAAAATTGTACACGTTTTTTATATTTGTACGTAAAATCTTTAAAAAAAATTTTTCTTTCATTTTTGATTGTAAATGTTCAATTATATTTGAAAATTCTTTTTTTTTTTAATTTTATTTTTCAGCTAAAAATTTTTTTCGATTTTTAAAAGAAAAAATGGATGACCAACAACAACAACAAATAAATACAACAAATTCTTCTCACTCAATTTTATCTCCCCCAAACACAACAACTACAGCATATACACAATTAAGAAGTGTTGTAGCCCCGCAACAATCATCAACAACTACAGCGACAAACTTTTCTCCTTTACAACAACAATTGGGGGGAAATGAAGGTTTTGGACAACAAGTACAACAACAATCGCAGCAACAATTAAATAATAATAAAAAAATTATTTATTCTCCACAACATAACAAACAACAACAGTGGATGAAGGTTTGTTTAATTTTAAATTAAAAAAAATTTTTTTTTTTGTATGAGGAGTGGGGAAGGGTGGATCGTCTATCCAAATAAAATTTCGAAAACTACCTAAAACTCAATTTCGGTCAACCTTTTTTTATTTGCATAGAAACACGATTCTCCCCCAATCTCAAAAATTTTTTTTTAAAAAACTCAAAATTTTAACAACTTTCCTATTCCTGATAGGGGGCCAGGCATCTTATTTGTTAGGGTAACAACTTGAAGGATAGAAGGGGTATTTTTGATTCGTTTTTGAATTTTCACCAAATTTGTTTGATTTTGGGCAGTCAGAAATTGTTTTCCCAATTTCGCTACCAAAACTAATAAAAGTAATCATTTTCTAAAAGTTCCTCCTATGACAATTTGCTTCACCTCAAGATTCGATCCTAAGAGGTGTGTTTCACCTTCATTTAACTCCCCCTCATATATCAATTTTCCTCTTATATATCAGTTAAAATTGAGGAGCGGAGTGTGTTTATAATAAGAGAGGTTTTGACTTTGTAATAATTTCTTTAATATTTTTAGAACCCAAGTCCTTCAATGGCAGCACCCCCAACTCCTCTCCATCACTACCAACAACAATCACAACAACAACAATTTATACCTTTGCATCATTCACAATCTGAACATTCAATTTTACAACACAATTCGCCTACAATTTTACAACAATTAAATTCAGCTCCGTTGGCTACAACAAATGTTTCTACTACATCCTCTCCTTCAAATGAAAGCGTTGAACAACGTCAACAACAACAAATTTCAAATAAACAAAATTATGTTCAGGTGTGTTTTTAATGTTTTTTTCAATCAAAACTTGTTTAAAAATTAATGTTTTACTCAATCAAAACATGTTTTTAATGTTTTTCTTAGTCAAAACAAATGTTTTTTTCACTCAAAACAAATGTTTCTGTTCAATTTTAGCAACAACAATTTCAACAAAAACATCGTCCAATAGAGATGTTGTATTCTCAAAACAACAATAGAAACATTCCTCTCCAACATGAAACTTCGGAAACTCCAACAGATATTGGAACAACCGGAAACATTGTTTTACAATTACAACAAAACACGCAACAACAAAATTATCCTTCGAGTTCATCAGGGCCTATTCGTATAAAACAAACAAAGTTTGTAATTATGAACTTATTAAACATGGGAAAAACATTTATTAAAACATTTATTAGAACATGAAAAAAACATTTATTGAAACATTAAAACATTTAAAACAAGCATTATTAGAAACATCCATCAAAACATTTAAAACAAAAGCATTATTAAAAACATCCATTAAAACATTTAGTAAAACATGCTGAATATTGTTTGTAAAACTTTAAAGTTTGCAACTTAAATATATTTGTTGTTCAAGTTTTATTAAAACTTGTTTTAATAATTAAAACTTGTTTTAATAAAGATGTTTTGTTTTTAATACAACTTGTTTTAATAAACTTGATTTAAACTTGTTTTAGCAACTTTTATTAAAACTTGTTTTTATATCATCAAAACTTGTTTATTAGATGTTTCTCTATAAATTTTCTTTTTGTTTTTATTAAAATTTGTTTAGCAACAACAATCCTTTAAACATACAACAACATAATTCGTCTTTTGTTCCTCTCTCCCAACAACACCAACAACATCCACCACCACAACAACATCAACGTATTCTTATTCATCATCAAAACAATCCTTTAATGACATCACCAGATCAACTAACAACAACAACAACGATAAATCCAACAAACATTCACCCCCAACAGCAACCTATATACTCTTCTTATATTGGTTCACAACGTTTTGCTATGTCTGTTTTAAATGATATGGATACACAAAGTTTATCTCCAAAAACAAAATATAGAGAATTAAAGAAGAAATTTAAATTTTTGGTTTATGTAAGTTTTTAAAAAAATTATTTAATTGAGGAGTTTTTGAGTTAATTTTTGAATTTTGATTGTGACCTCACCTAAGCGAAATGTTTGGGAGAAAACTTTTATTTAATATCTCTTTTAAATTTGGTTTTCCATTAGGTGAAGGTGGCTGAAAAGATTTTAAAAAGCAAAAGGTGAAGCACCAAAAAAAAGACAAAAATTAGGTGAAAGTTGAAAACGGCCCCAAACTTTTTGCGAATGTCCCTAAACGATGCCTTCTATTTAAAATACACCTTATTATAAGAACGCTTTTTCCAGACGCATGGGTTTATCTTATAGTGAGGCTTTCGACTTTATACCTTTTTTCTAAAAAAAATCTTTTTTTAAAAAGGAGAATGAATATTATCAAGAAGAATTGCGTAATTTACAACGTAAACTACTCAAATTATCTAGAGATAAAAATTTTTTGCTCGATAGACTTGGACAACATGAAAATTTGAGTGAATCTAGTGATGATTCTGATACCTCTACGAAAACTTTGGATGATAAAGGGATTCCTAAACCTAAACGGTAAGGAGGGAAATTGTTTATCATAGTTGTCCTTAGATTGTTTATAGTCTAACAAGACAATCTTACAGATAATTTAAGGACAAATAAGAAATCAAAAAAAGACAAATTTCTTATTTGTTCTTAGTAGAGATTGGTCTGGATCTGGATCCAGTCCGGATTTTTCCTATATCCCAAGTCTAGATCCAGACATTTTTGATCTTCCTGGATTTTTTGTGGATCTAGATCAAAAATCCAGTCCAGGTCTCTAACCTAAATCTACATCCAGATTTTTTGATGATACCGATCTCCAGTTCTTAAATGTGTCCTTAGATTTTCATTAAATTTGTTCTTAAAATTTCTTTCAAAAATTATTTTTTTAATTTTTTTAGAAAACGTCCTTCACAAGCAAGAAAAAGACCAGCACCAAATACAACAACAACACCAAATTTATTAACAAATAATACTTCACAAAAGCGTAAGACTGGGGGTGGAGGTGCTGCTAGGAAGAAAGGTAGTGTTTTATGGTTGTTAAAGGGGCAGGGAATATTTGCCTGTGATGCCTCCCATCTATATTCTCTATTTAGCCGTAACAAGCGGAATTAACCGGTCACCAGAGGTGAATCGGAATTACGATTTCCGATGTTTTTTCCTTCCGATTTACATCTGCCGGTCACCAACAATCTTACTATTAGCATAAATGTCTGGGTGTAATAAAGTTAGAAAGATTTGATTTTTATTCAAACAATTTTTCAGAAGAAACAGACAAAAATATTCAAAAAACAGAAAAAGAAGATAACCAACAAGAACAACAAAAAATTGAAATAATAAAAAAAGGTGAAGGAGAATTAATTAATATAATTGGAACTAATGTAGTAAGCAGTAGTAGTGGAGGAGGAGGGGGAGGAATTAATAATTTAAATAATGACCAACAACAGCAGCAACAAATTTCACCTCCACAACAGCAACAAAAGAGACAAAAAGTTGAATTAAAAGAAGAACAATTGGAGAATAATAATTGTGTTTTTGAGAATGTTTCAAGTACAAGTAATAGTGGATTAAATGAAGGGAGATGGATTGGAAAATATTGAGTTTAGACAATTTTTTTGCATTTTTTTATGATTTTTTAAAGGAATTTTGGACAGGATACTATTTTTATTTTATCTAAGATGTTTTAATGTTCAGAAAACATTGAAAAACAAGTTTATAAAATAAAACAAGTTTATGAAACAAGTTTTTACAAACCTAGCAGAAACATTTTACAAACTTACGTATCTCATTTTCAGGTTTTAAATTAAAACCTGTTTTACAAAACCTAGTAAAAACACTACAAATTTGTTTTTTTGTTTTCATGTTTAAACAAAAACAAGTTTCAGCAACTCACTAAAAACATTTTACAAACTTATGTTTTCTTTTATTTAGGTTTTAAATTAAAACTTGTTTTTACAAACTTTGCAAAAACATTTTTTGCTTTGTTAGTTTGTTTTACTTAAAACTTGTTTTCTAGCATTATTCTTCTAGTTTAAATTTTGTATCATTTTTTCAGTTTTTACTGCTAAATATAAATATTTTTTTTTAAATTATTTTTTTAAATTTATGAAGTTTTTAATTTCTTTTATATTTTCAAAATTTTTTAGTCATTTTAAATAATTCCAAGTTTTTACTAATGCCTGCAAAACAACTAACACTTATTGAATTGTTTTCAAAATCTGCTGGGAAGGAAAATGTTGGAAATAAACGTGTTGTGGCTTGCCGACCAACTGGGGATTCTCCAGAACGAAAAAGGCTAGTTTTTTTAAGAGTTTGGGTTGACATAGTAAACTTGAATAATTTTTATAAAAACATGTTTTACAATTATGCTAAAACTTATTAAACTTGTTTTACAAACTTAAAAACATTTTCAAACTTGTTTTCTTATTTTCAAGTTTTTAGTCAAGTTTTAATTGCAACATGTTTTACAAACTTGACTAATTTATTATTAAACTTGCGTCTTATTAAAACTTGTTTTCTTAAGTCTACAAATAAAAAAGCTTATTATTTAATGTTTTTAGACTTCCTTCTATAAAACTCAATGTTGAAAATATTAATTCAAACACATCAACAACATTTGATAATATTCTTAAAGAACAAAATCAACAATCATTATTATCATCCCCGTTGCCAAATGAACAATTGGATTCAATTTTTTGTACTTTAGTAGAACCTGAATGGAGGAAATTGTTAACATCAGAATTAAAAAAGGAATATATCAAATCAATTCATCAATTTTTGATTAGCCAATATGAAAAGGTGTTTTTTTTTAATATTGTTTTACAATTTTGGAATCATATTTTACTAAAGTTTTATTAAAACTTATTAAATGTTTCTTAGAAACATGTTACGCAAACTTTTTTAAGTTTGCGAACTTGTGAACTTGTTTAACAAACCTAAGCGTTATAAAGTTTTAATAAACTTACAAACATGTTTTATCAAAACTTAGTTTTTTTAAGTTTACAAACATGTTTACGAACATGTCTTATCAAAACTTAATTAAGTTTGCAAACTTTTCTCAAAACTTGTTTTGACAAATTAAAACATTTTTAGGTTTTGGTAAAACAAGTTTGTAAGTGTTATATTAAAAATTAAAAACATTAATTTCTTTAAACATGTTTTAAGAAAAACATTCTACAAACTTGTTTTAATAAAACTTATTTTCTTAAGTTTACAAACTTGAACCTTTTTTACAATTTAATTAATTTAAGGGTACCGATATTTTTCCGCCTCGTTCTCTTATATTTAACGCTTTCAACTTGACACCTTTTAATGAAATTAAAGTTGTTTTGCTTGGTATAATTGAGTTTTTATATTGTTAAATAATTTATTTTTACAGGCCAAGATCCTTACCACAACGTGTCTCAAGCGCATGGACTTTGTTTCTCTGTTCCGCAGGGAACGGCGCCTCCTCCATCTCTCAAAAATATTTATAAAGTTAGAAAAAAAAATTTTTTAATACTTTTTTTAATTTATTTAAAGGAGCTTTCCTCAGAATTCCCAGACTTTAAAATTCCAATTCATGGAGAATTAACTTGCTGGGCCAAACAAGGAATTTTTATGCTTAATGCTACTTTAACTGTCGAAGCACATAAACCAAATTCACATTCCAACATTGGCTGGCAAATATTTACCGATTCAGTTATTAAATGAATTAGTTCAAAATCAAGTAATGGAGTGGTGTTTTTACTTTGGGGTGGGTTTGCGCATCGAAAGGAAAAGTTGGTTGATAAAAGTCGTCATCGAGTTATTAAGGTAATTTTAAATATTTTAAGTTTGCAACTTGGTTTTGAGTTTGTTTTTGATTTATTTTTAAGTTTCCAACTTGTTTTACAAATTGTAAAAAGTTTGTAAACTTTTTAAAAATTGTTCTAAAAACATTAAAACTTATTTTTACAACTTTTTTACAATTTGTAAAACAAGTTTTAATAAACAAAATTTATAAACAAGTTTTAATCTTTTTACAAACTTGGAATATTACCAACTTGTTTTTACAAACATTTTTATTTGGGATGTTTATTTTATTTTTAAAAACATGTTTTCCTGAACTCGTTCAAGCATGTTTTTCTTTATATTTTTCGCCTCCTAAACATTTTTATTTAAAGACTGCGCATCCTTCTCCTTTAAGCGTTACAAAATTTTTTGGTTCAAAATGTTTTTCAAAAACTAATGATTTATTGAAGGAATTGGGAAGAGAACCTATTAATTGGAATGTTGTTTTACCTTGAACAATTCAAAAATATTAGTAATGTTTTTCAATTTATTTTTTTTCAATTTCTTCAAATTTTCCTTCTGCCCCAAAACTTACACACATTTTCTTTATTAAAAATTTTAAACGAAATCTCATTAAACAATAAAACATATTCTCTTTGTTTTGTTGGGTAAAACCTCTAGCCAAACAAACAAACTTTGTTGCTTTTTTTAAAACTAAAACATGTTTTACAAACTTCTTATTTTATAAACTTTATAAAAACAAGTTTTTAAAACAAGTTTTTAAAAACTTGTTTATTTCCTAAAACATATTTTACAAATACAAACCTTATCAAAACAAACAAGAAAAGTTTGAATTGTAAAAAATGTTTTTCTTCAAAAGCAACAAAGTTATGTTGTTTTTAATGTTCGTTTTCAAGTTTTGTCTTGTTTAAAACTTAAAAAACATGTTTTTAAGATTGCAAAGGTTCTTCCCTTAACAAATAATTATTGGCATATTTTTCGTATCTTCTTATAAAAATATTTTAAATCATTTTTTCATTATTTTCATTCCTCGAATCTCTCTCAACTTTTTTTTTAATTTTTCAATGGGCAGTTGTTGCCCTATGTCCTCCCCCAACTTCATAATCGGCTGGCGGTGTGTCTGGTCTAGCCTTTCCATTTACTATTAATTCTGTTCTGCTAGTGCTCGGTCCTGGTTGTTGTTGTTGTTGTTGTGTTATTCTTGTTTTAGTTAACGTTCCATTATCCCCATCACCGTTCTTTTTATTCCCGCCAGCGGGACTTTGTCCTCTTTCTGCTTTTGGTGTTATATTACCTGCATTATTGCGTGTTTTTCTAAATGTATTTGCCTCAACACCGCTTTCCCAATAATCAGCACTCGCATCGGAATCAGTACGGCTCATAACATTCTAAAAAATTTGTTTGTTTTACAAACTTGAGATTCTCTTAAGGGTTTTTAAACTTTATTAGTTAAAACATGTTTTACAACTATGTTTTTGTTTTTACAAATTTTGTTTTGTTAAAACATGTTTTGTTGGGAAGTTTATATCTTTTTAGAAATGTTTTTGTAAACTTTGTTTTTATTAAAACTTGTTTTACAAACTTAATTAAAACAAAAACATTATTAAAACATTTTTGTTTCCTTAAAACTTGTTTTAATAAAACTTGTTTCTTAAAACTTGTTTCTTAAAACTAGTTTTACAATCTTACTTATTTTACAAACTTTGTTTTGTAAATATCTTTTCTTTACCTTTCTCTCTGTTGTTCTTTGCTGTCTATATGTTTCATAATAATGTTCATAAAGTTCGGGTGAAAATGATCCTGGTTTATAACTAGCTTGAGGGGGAACTGTATTATCCGTAGATGGCATATACTAAAAAATTTTTTTATTTTTAAATTTTTTTAAAAATATTTTAACTATAGGTTCTTCATAAGTTGTTCGATTATTGCGAGGAAATGTATCATAAGCTGTCTCAGTGATTATAGGGCCACCACCCAATCTTTCAGGGGATTTGGGACGTGGATGATGATGTCCTCCTCCTCCCATAAAATGGGGTGGCATGACCATAAAGAAGGGGCGCATCATAAACGGTGGTGGAGCGGCAATACGTCCTTAAAGAAAATTCTTTTTAATTTTTCTGAAAAAATATTAAAAATAACCAAAATGTGGTGGTGGAGGAAACGGCGGAAATGGTGGCCTAGGAGGGAAGAAATGTGGAGGAGAGTGGTGATGCATTGGTGGTGGTTGGCGAAAGAAATGTCCAGGCGGTTGTGGTGCTAATCCTGGCGGTATAAATACAAGGCCTGGATGAGGAGGAGGTGGTGGTGGGGAAGACATTGGCCCTCCAAACATGAAAGGATTTGGCATAGGAGGGCGATGTCCAAATTGTTCAAAGTGGTCTGCTGATGATAGTTGTCCAACAGGCGGGCGTAATTCTGTATAGGTTAAACTTTTGTAATCTTAAAACTCTTTTTAACCTGTCTTACTTTTTTAAACTTGTTTTACAAACTTAATTTTCCTCAAACTTAAATACTTCCTAAAACTTGTTTTTAAACTTTAAACTACAACTTGTTTTACAAACTTGTTTTACTTATTTTATAAACTTTTTTGTAAAACTTGTTTCGCAAACTTATCTCTTAAAACTTGTTTTACAGACTTTACAAAAACTAAGTTTACAAACCTAGTTTTATTTTCCCTAAACTTGTTTTACAAACAATGTTTTTCTGATTTAAAAACAGTGTTTCTACAAATAACCTTTATTATTGTTTTTACAACTTTTTTGTAAAACAAGTTTTACAAACATTGTTTTCTCTACCTGTATGACTTGTTGTTCGTCTAGCATTATTAAAGTTGTTATTAGCAACACCGTTCCCATTTTCTCTGTAAGGTACTAAAATACCCCCTTCATGTTGTTGTTGTCTTTCTCTACTATAAACACCTCCACCTACACCTCCCTTTTTAATTAAACTTGAATTTAAACTGCTTCCATCATATTCCCCAGATTGTTGTCTTCGCTTCCAAGTTTTTTGACTTATCGCCCTATCATTCCATTCTTGTGTTCCCTCAACTATTACTGACGGCCCCGGTGGTGGCGGTATTCCGCTACCATTTTCTTGTTCGCTAAAGTTTGGTTCACTGCTAGGAGTGCCACTTCTGCTTTGTATTTGTTGTTGAGGTGGTGGTTCTCTTATACTTTTTAATCCTCCCGGTGAGGGCATTTTTTCATCCAATTTTAAATACATCTTTAAAAATTTTTTTCAAATTAATTTTATTTTTCAAGTCTTTACTGTATCTGCGTAAGCATGAAAACAACAACGAACGAGGGCATTTGCCGCCTTTTCGTTTGTGCAAACAAATCCATGGCATTCCAAAACCTTTAAATTATTTTAGTGATTTTTGTGTTGACGAAATGATCAATTTTGTCATTTGTGGCGAAATGTCCCGATTTTCCCTTAGTGACGAAATGGCCTAATTTTCTCTTGGTGATGAAATGTCCCAATTTTCCCTTGGTGGTGAAATGTCCCGATTTTCCCTTGGTGACGGAATGGCAAATTTTTCCCTTAGTGGCGAAATGTCCCGATTTTCCCTTAGGGGCGAAATGTCAAATTTTTCCTTAGTGACGAAATGACCAGATTTCCCCCCTAGTGACGAAATGGTCAACTTTTGCGTTTTTTGGACACAAAACAATTCGGTCAAATAAAAATTTTCTGCAAAAAAGTAATTAAACCGACCTTGACCCCCGTAGTGCGTCGAAAGATAGCAGCAAATATTGGGGGATGTGGAGAATCAGTTAGCGCAAATGGCGAGTCCAACGGGATAAATCTTTCACCACCACCTTCTACAGCAAATCCCCCCATATTAACATAACGAACAGCAGCACAATAATGTAACGAATTTATTGCAAAGAATGCACTGTCTGTTCTCTTCTCTCCATCCACATATTCTAATAAGAGTCCATTATACCAAACGGAAAGCCTGGAGGGGAAAATGGGGAGAGATTTTTTGAGTGATTATTTTTGGTGCTATTAGAGTCTGGGGTTTATTTGTTAGGGGGTATTAGGGTGGAGGGGACATTAGAGTCTGTGCCCATTCTACATTCCCCCTTAATTATCACTCGGTGTGACATTTAGTCTGATCTCTAATGAATTTGTCCTTTGTGGCAAAATGTTAAATTATCCCTGAGTGACGAAATGTCAAAAATTTCCCTGAGTGACAAATGTCAAAAATTTCACTTAGTGACGAAATGTCAAAAATTTCACTTAGTGGTGAATTGACCGAGATTTGACAAAATTAAATTAGTGGGTCTAAAAGAGTAGAAATACTTGAACGGGTGTCAGTATGGTTATGTAGGGTTATTACAGTCTCATTTTGAAATTGAGGAGCATTAGAGTCTAGTATTAATGCGAAGGGTCTTTAGAGTCTGGTAGTGTCAATTTTCTGTTATTTTGAGTCCGGATCTGAGGCATATCCCTTCGATTTTAAGTTTCTTAACAATATTTACCAAGAATCGATTCCTCTAGCTTCTGGACTCTCACTGGCTGGGTATCGTTCTCGCAAAGGTTGTTGAATGCCCTGAGGGGAAATTTATTTATTTTGTGTTAAAATTCCTTCCCTACTTGAAGTCCCTCTTTCGTAACAGTGGGGACAGCACATCCAATATATAAAACCCTACAGCGACACAAAGGAGTAGGAGGACTACCACCACCACCTGAAGCAGCGGAAGTGCCTCCCAATGTGCCCATTTAAATATTTAATTTTTTAAGAAAAAGTAAGGGGAAAATACTGTAGAAATGACTACTGTAGCAAACTAAAAATTATTTAAAAATTTAGGGAAAAATATACAGAGGTACCCTAAGGGTGTCAAGCTTAGGAAGCCAAATGCTTCTCGATTAATTTCTCCCCCTCAGGCAAGAGGTTGAAAAATTGATTAATTTTACCAAGGTTGATTGTCCAAGAAAATTACGGTATTTATTTTTGGCGTTTATTTTAAAAAAAATTTTTGCGCACATCGATCATCAAAAAGAGAAGTCAGTTCAGATATGGACTAGTGACCGGACGGTACTTTTCGGTTCTGCCACACCCCTCCCATATATTCGCAGATTATATTTTATATTTTTCCTTCATTGTAAATTTCTCCTTCATTCAATTCACCCAATTTTCCCTGTGGCATGTTCAATGAGTGCCATTAATAAAGAAAAGATGATTTTTTACTCAGTTTTCCCTTCAATCAATTTTTCGTAGAAAAGAGGAAGTCTGACCATTCTGTACGTATGAAGGAAAAATATAAAGTATAACCTGCGAATATATGGGAGGGTGTGGCAGAACCGAAAAGTACCGACCGGACTAACGGGATCGTAAGGGTATCGAAATACGATAGTCCCGAAAAATCCCGACCTCGATAACCTAGATTTTTGTTCGAGATCTCGACTTGGTATGAAATTTAGTGTGCGCAAATTTCTGGCGTTTTTTGCGTTTACGATTTTGGACTGGCATTTTGTCTATTTTTGAGCCGTTTTGACTGATAAAAAATTTTGAAGGGATATTTAACTAATATGTAAATGATATACAAGTTTAATAAGAGAATTAATGGGTCAAGTACTAATAATGATGGAATTTGTTGAAAGGGGGAGGGGAGGGAGAGAAAATATTTTCTAGGGGAGAAGAAGATCGCGCAGGAATTTAAAGGCGAGAATCGATTAATCTGTTTGATGATGAATTGGTTGTGACTGACAAAAAGGGGGGGGGGAGGTGATGAGTAGGTAGACCAAATATGGAGTGAAGACGCGCCCCTTAAAAAGAAAAGTTGTGTGGCTGGCCAAGTTTTTACTTTAAAAATAATGAAAAGAAAATTGCGGGAAGAGGGGGAAGAACGTTCAAAACAAACACAAAAGGGTTGGGGTTAAATATTTTTTAAACAATTTGAGTGAATTTTGGGTGTGTTGGTTATTTGCGTCTTGGCATTTTTTACGATTTGTGGGTTATGTACGTTTTGAACAATTTCTGGTCTATGGGCTTTTTGTTCAACGATATGTTTTGGACGTTTTGTACAAATTTTGGGTTTTGGGCGTTTTGTCTGATTTCTGGGTTGTGGGTGTTTTGTCTTATTTTTGGGGTGTGGGCGTTTTGTTTTATTTTGGGTTGTGGGCGTTTTGTCTGATTTTTGAGATGTGGCGTTTTGTCTGATTTTGTATTGTAGGCGTTTTGTCTGATTTTTGGGTTGTGAGCGTTTTGTAAGAATTTTCGGTTGTTGAATTCTGAACTATTTCTGAGTTGTGGACGTATGAGGGATCAGAACAATCGAACCTCACACTCTTGAGATCGTACCTTATAACGAGGTATACGATCTCAAGGATGTCTTTCCCATCCAACAGCCAAAGAATTTAAAGAAGTATCTTAAACAGAAGGGGTTCCTATATTGGGTGTATCTCTATAATGAGGGGTTGCTTTCTCAAAAATATTCCCAACAATTAAAATAAACTAAAAATACAAACAAGGAAAAAGATCAAAAATAAAAATTCCCTTCTTTCTTCTTCTTCAATTGCTCTTTTCGCCACAGGAATTCGACACAATTGACACATATTTTGTCTTTTACTTCTCACACGTTTGTTCATCACTTCCTTTTTTTGCTCCAAAAATTCTACGAAAAATATGCCTCTTTTTGGGTTTTTCTTTGAAGAGAGAGAAATCCTCCTTCCCCCCGACAATCTCGCGCTGCGCAGACACACACAGAGAGAAAATGATTTTTTGGTGTGCGCAAAAATTTTTGGCGTTTTATTTTTTCTTGGCATTTTGGGTCATTTTGGGTAATTTTCGAGGGTTTTTGAACAGAAAATTTTAGAATTATTTTAGGGAGGCTTCTAAACGGAAAAAAACCTAAAAGACATTTGATCCCACAATTTTGGCGTTTTTGGCGTTATTGCTTTTGCCTGTTTTTTGGTTGGCATTTTGAGCCATTTTTGAGGATTTTCTTAACGAAAAATTTTAGAATTATTCTAGGGAGTTCTCTGAGCAAGAAAAAAATACTAAGAGACATTTGATCCCATTTTTCGCGTTTTTGGCGTTTTGCAAAGATTTTATTGCGCACACCTCCATAAAGTCTTCAATTCCCCATAAAATATGTGCATAGAAAATAATCGCTGGAATGCAAAACGGATAGAAAAAGAAAAATGCCAAAAGGAAACGATTAACGAGATTAAATCAGTGTCAAGATTAGTAAAAATAAAGAAAAATTTGAGAAAATAACGAGAAAATATATAAATATTTTTGGAGATTTTTAGTTTTCTTGGGGTAAATTAAACCGCAGTAAAATTGGGAAAAATTTCTTTAAAGGGATTTAAATAGGAGAGGGAATAACCGTTTCAAGGCTTGAAAATTTTTAAAGTCTTATACCCCTCCCTATAGTTTTTAGATTTTCGAGGGCTGTATCTCGGGTCCATGGTGGTCGCTGCCTCTTAGTGGCGAGTAAGGAAATAAAGTTATAACCATAGCTGCCCTTGGCTTCCCCGCTAATTTTTTTAATTGGCTAATTCTTAATTCTACAAATAATTTGCAAAGCTTTATTTTACTTTTGATAGTAAAAAAATAACATTCATATGTGAGTGTTGAGAAAAAAACAAGTTTGATACAGCACATTTTAAGGCTTAAAAATAAAAATTCCTTTTTCTTTTTTTGGCAATATTTTTTAGATGAGATACAGTTGGGGACCTCAACTCTTGTGACTAAAAAAGATTGTAATAAGGGAAAATATCTTTTAATCAAATCAACTACCAGCCCAAATAGAGGTGTATTTAAGATTGATATCGAGGGGCGTATTAAAGCGAGGTGTGTCTAGTATTGGGAGTATATTATAAAGAGGTTCAACTGTATATGGGGTTAATAAAATAAAGGACTTGCTTGATAATAAGGAGAAAAAATGAGGAAAAAAATTTTTTTTGCGGACAAAAAACTTTTTTTTTGCGGATCAAATTTGCGGACAAAATTTTCTGTCCGCAAAAATTTTTGCGGACAAAAATTTTTTTCTCAAATTTTCCAAAAAAAATTCTTTTCCTCTTCTAATCTTCAAGTTTTAAATTAAATTCATTAAAACATTCTTGTGCCAATCTCTTCATTTCATTTTTGTGTTTATTCAAATTTGAAATAATATTTATTTGTTGCTTTAAATGTTTTTCTTTTTGGTGTGCTTCAACAGCTAGACGTTCATGTGTTGAAGAGAATAAACAATATTTACATTTATATATTGGCTTTTTTAAATGTTTTTCCAATAAATGAATTAAACGACGCTTTTTACTGAAAAATTAAAAAAAATTATTTTTGCAGAAAAAAATTTTTGCGGACAGAACTAGCGGACAAAAAATTTTTTGCGGACACAACTTGCGGACAAAAATATTTTTGCGGACAAAAAATTTTTTGCGGACACAACTTGCGGACAAAAAAATATTTCAGCGGAATCAATGTTTGTCCGCAAAACACCCCCACATATTTCCAAATTGGACCAAATGTTTCATTGACAAAACGTCTCAAATGTCAATGAAGTGTCACATGGACAAAATGTCCCAGGGACAAAATGTCACCCCAACAAAAATTTTACCTTATAGTCATTCCACAGCCTCTACACTTTGCCCTTCTGCTTTCATCAGCAATCGTAATATTAGATAAACGTTTAGGCCTTCCAGGAAAGCATTGATTGTGTAATTCAGAAAATTCACTTCGACGTTTTTCAACGTTGGCGATTGGTTCTAGTCCCTTAAAAAATTGAAAAAAAAAATTTAGGAAAATTTCAAAAATTAAAAAACCTCGCATTCCGTTAACGTATGATTATTTCGCATATGTCTCTGAACTAGTCTGGCTTCGGCAGCGCCATATTCACAAAGTGGGCATTGATGTAGAGGTATATGTAAATGTTGTTCAGCAATGTGCCTTAAATTTTAAAAATTAAAAAAAAAATTTTTTAAGTGAAATTAAGGGGTTACAACATTAAAAATAAAATGCAGAAAATTTTTTTCTACTAAAAAAATTTTTTAAAAGATGTTTTTGGAAGTGATTGAGAGAAAAAAAAACAATTCCGCAAGGCTGGATTCGAACCGTCACCCCATACGGGAAGGAATCAAGACCACTACCAACTACACCACAAGGGTGAGGGGCAAAACGAGGATTTGCATAACACAGACAGACAAAACACAGTCCAGATTTATTTAAAAATCAAAAAAATTTTAAGTTTGGAAATGTGCAAATTTTTTTCTGCGGACGGTGTCTGTTGGCCTGGCACGACCGGGCCTCACACCTTATTTAATTGAAAATTAAATAAACCTAGAAGTTTGTCTAACATCCATTCCACAAAGACGGCAACTGTTGAAATCCTCAATTAAACTAGCTGGAAGTCGGCGATTTATCCTTAAAATATTTTTTAATTTCAAGAAAATTAAAAAAAAATTTTTACGGACAAAATTTATTGTCAAAAAAATATTTGCGGACAAAAAATTTTTTTGCGGATGAAAAAATTTTTTGCGGACAAAATTTGTTGTCCGCAAAAATTTTTATTAAAAATTTTCTAAAATTAAAAAACAATTTTTTTTCACACCATCCAGGAAAGCAACGTTCATTCCATTCAGCAATTTCTTTAGAAAATTTCAGCAAATTTGCTCTAGGCATCATTTCAGATTGATTCTTGTGTGCTCTCAAAATATGATTTCGAACATCAGAGGAACATGCATAATGAGAAAAATCACAAATTGGGCACTCATATAGACGAGGTTCTCGTAAATGGTGGCGGTAGACGTGGATCTGAATTTTTTAAAGAATTATTTTTGAAAAAAAATTTTTTAGAGGTAATGGTAAGGCATCAATCCTCGGTTAACTTATAAGCTCCCAGCCACCTAGACAAACTGAAAAAGTTAGTTAGGTGAAGGAGGAATAGCTAAAAATAGCTAGCATCCGCTCTCTTACCGAAGAGAGCAGAAAACGTTTTTCTAGTCAGTAAAAAATTTTTTTTTGAAAATTTGCGGACAAACACTTGCGGATCATCAGTGCTGGAAAAAAGACCTTTGATATTTGGTCATGGGTCACTATAAGGTTTTTGGGTCTTAAGCATGGTTTCTGAATCGATATCAGATACCAATGAACGATTTAAAAAGTACAGGAAAGAAAGCCGCAAATAGAAAATCCGCAAAAAAGAAAATGTCCGCAAAAAGGGGAATGTCTGCAAATATCGTTCTGAAGCTACCCAAAATAACAAACAGTTAAAAGGAATCCCTCAAAAACTTTAAAAAAATCCCTCAGAAAAAAACCTGTCTATCCTCAGTTTTCATTTCCTGCCAACATTCTTTACATCTAACTTTAGCTTCATCCAAAAAATTTTTATCATTTTCCAAAACCATCAAAGCTTTTTCCCCTCCACCAGCTTTAAAATCTTTGTGGGGAAAGCATTGTTTCCAAATATTTTCAATTTCTTCAATATTTTCTTCTAAACTGCTAAGGGGTTCTAAACTTGTATCTGCATTGTGTGAACGTAGCATATGTGAACGAACTTGAAAATTAGAAGAAATTTAAATTATAAGGTAAAAGGAAGTCTACAAAAACCATCATTTTTGACCTTGACTATGAATCAGGGATGGGAGGGGTGGGTTGAAATACACGATACCCAAAACCCAACGTTTTTTGACACAAAATTCTACTCAAAATTTAAATTTAAGGGTAAAAAGGAAGTCTACGAAAAACCACCATTTTTGGACTTGACTATAAATATGGGATGGGGGTCGAGTTACCCTATACCTAAAACTCCGACCTTTTTTTACGCAAAACCCGGTCCAAATAAATTTTGAAAATCCGATTCGACTTCTTTTTTAACCTGGTCCATGCCTTCTATGGATACAAGAAAAATAAAAATGTGGCATACCTGGGGTTATAGGGAGGACTAGAAATCCTGAGGATATACGTCTCAGAGATAGATCATGCCAAATTTTAAAAGTAGAAAAAAGCCTATCCTTGATATACCTGATTCAGGATATAATAGGGGGTGGCAAAAAACGGGTAAGAGTCGAGAGACAAAGGAAGACCCTTTTTACTGGTATCCAAATCGATAAAATTAAAAATAGTGGACAGAGGTCACCTAAGAATAAACTTTAAAAAAACCTTCATAAGCACTATGAGCCCCATGATTTTCACAAATAGGGCATTGATAAAGTGGCAAATTCAAATGATCTTTAGCTACGTGCCTTAACAAGTTTGTGCCTGGTCTGAGAGCTACCCAGCAAAGCTGTAAAATGAAGAAATTTAATTAAAAAATTTTTAAAGTGTCCAAGGAGGAGATAAGTAAAGGAAGAGTTGGAAGTAGGATTGTCAGTTCTTGAAAATGCTCGGAGATCCGGAACCGAAAATTTTCCAACCGAAAATTTTCCAATTTTCCAAGAGAGCCGAGAAGATGTTTGATTCTCGTATAATTCGATTCATATCAACAACCATAGTTTGACAGCCATAGTCCATCCCCAAATCTATAGTTGGACAGTTTATCCCTCCCTTATTATTATCCCTTATTCCTTATCAATATAGCTTATCCCCTCCCTCCTAATTATTTAATCATTTATAATTAATTCAAAAAAAATTTTTTTCGTTACCCTACAAGTCCAATCCAAAGCATTAGAAGATTCCGGAATCAAATTATTTCCTCCTCCTCCTCCTTTACTTTCCTGCCCTTTTTGTTGTTGAAAAAGTTCAGCCATAGTTTTCAATGCTTTCTGCATTAATTCAAAGTCTGTCGCTTCCTCCCCCTCAATTTTTTCCTCATTTCCTCCCTTTTCTTCTTTAAAATCTTCACTTTCTGGAGAAGAAATGTGCCTTTTACGCTGCCAACCAGGAAAACATTTTTCATTTGTTGCATCAATTTCATCTCGAAAACGTGCTTCGTGTGATATTGGTTCGAGGGGGGAAGAACCGTTATTGTTGGCTACAAAATCTTTGTGGTCCCATCTGGAAATTAAGAGGAAATATAGAGGGGGAAAATGGTAATGGTCTAAGGGGTTTTTGAAATTCTGATTTTGTTTAAAAATAAAAAAATCAGAAATTCGTATTTTTTCCTAAAGTTCTGTTTTTTTTCTAACAGAATTTATTCCGAAGTTCTGATTTTTTCAGAATTCTAATTGTAAAAAAAACCAGAAAAAACCGGAATCTTCGGAAAAAATCAGAATTCTGATTCTTAATAAAATCAAAATTTCTGATTTTTTCCGAAGGTTCTGGTTTTTTTCGACGAGAATTTATTAGGAAATTCTGGTTTTTCGCAGAATTCAAGATAAATTCGTTTTTTCTGAAGGTTCTGATTTTTTCTGAAGGCTCTGATTTTTCCAGAATTTTTCTGATTTTTTAAAGAATTTACCAAAAAATAGTATTTGATTCCGATTTTTACAGCTCATATTTAATGATTTCAATTTCTTCCAGAATTTCAATTTCTTCCAGAAACCCCCTTATATTTAATTAAAGTAACCTTACTTTATATGCCATTTGACTCTATGTATGTCATAATTTGAAGAGAACTCGCATAGAGGGCATTCAAAAATCTTTGAAAAAATTTTCAGAAATTTCAAAAAACTCAAAGTTCAACTTGACTTTATGAGTCCAATCAAAAAATAATTGCATATTTCTTACAAATTAGTGTTGGAAAGTAGGGGTATGGTTCCAAAACATTTCTTCATGTTCGGGACCTACGCCCACTGGGGCTGGGACCAGTCCTTACCTCCTCTCCCTCGAAATTTCTGAAAGTTAGTCAATTTTTAAAAATTTCGGAAATTAAAAAAATTGAAGAAAAATCCAATTATTTTTTATTGGACTCATTAAGTCAGGTAGAACCAAAAATTAAAAAAAAACCTTTCCCTTCCTCAAATGTTTGTGGTAAACATGTCTTTGCCTATCGGATTGAGCTACATCGGCCCCACACATTCCACAATGATGCCGTTCACGTGGCCGGCTTTTTCCTACAGCGTTTAGAGGGCGAACTAACTTCATTTGTCTGTTGGGAAAACAACGAGCCTTTAAAGGAAAAAATTTTGAAAAAATTTAAAAAGTTTAAAAGAACCTGTAAATCACGAATCTGATCAGCATATTTTTCCAAATTACTTATTGGTGTGAAATCCGAAGCTTCTGGGTGTACTTTTTTAATGTGCTAAAAGGATAATTTTAAGAAAAAACGTAGGGGAAGAGTAGTAAAAGAATTAAGAAATCGGACAGATGGCATTTTGGAAGTTAAAAAGGAAACTCCCTGCCTCAAAGGCGCAGCCAGGGGGTCGAAGGGGCCATTCTGCACATTTCAGGGGGGTTATAGTCGCCAAGACCGCTTGATCGGGAACTGGGCTGATCGACCAAGGAAAATAAATCCTACGACAAACAAAACGCGTTCATTATTTTTCCTTTGGATTTTAAAGTCAGCCTAGTAGGGAGCCTAGAATTTCACTTCAACATGTTCTCATGTGTCTTACCACAAATAGCATTTTTTATAAATTTTAACACCTAAGCTATGCGTTATAGGCTGTTTCCCTTCCCAAGAATATCTCCAACATATAAAAATAAAAAAGCAATATTAAAACTAAAAACCTTTACAACAGTACAACTTTCATAACTTCCAAATTTAAAACAAACAGGGCATTCATAGAGAGGTTGATTTAAATGGCGTTGAGCAATGTGTCTGCCAGGATATTTTGATTCCTCCCTATTGAATTTAATTTTTAAAAATCCAAAAAATTCAAAACAAACATGCAAAGATGACACAAACGATCATTTACATCATTACTGCTTCCTTCTCCATCCCCTCCCCCAGCACTTGTTGTTGTTGTGGATGCTCTCCCTCCATCATCTTCTTCTTCCTTGTCTTCCTCAGGCTCTTCCAATTTCTCCTCTTTTTTCATTTTTCGTTTTTGAAACACTTCTTCATTCTTGGCTTCCTCCTTTACCTCAGTTAATTCTTCCTCTGTTTGATATTTTCGTTTTTGAGGCTTTTGTTTCCATTCGGGAAAGCAAAGATGACCCCACATCTGAACAGAAATTAAAAGAATTAATTTAAAAAAAGAGGGCATGTCCGGAAAATGCCTCTACGGACTATCGGTCAATGAATCGGTCAACCTGTTAAACTCTCAAATTAGCCTATATTCCCCTCAAATCCATCTTTACCCATGAAAATCCACCGATATCCCTCTAAATCCGATGATATACTCTTGAAACCCTCCAAATCCATCCCCAGTATCCCCAATCCTCCCAAAATCTCCATATATCCTCCTTAATCCTAGGAAATTCCCCGATATCCCTCTTATTGTTAACACACCGAGTTAATCCTCTTAATATCCAAAATGCCGCGATATTACTCTTAATCCCACCAAATCCATCTGCTAATCCCCAAAATCCCTCCTTAATTACTACTAATCTCTTCATACCCCTCATTGGTCCGGGAGCATCTTGGAGCCAGCAGAGAAGGGCCTTCCACCTCAAAAACTCCCCCACCCTATTTTTAGTCCAAAACCTGAACAAATAAATTAACCTGTATTTCCAATTTGTGCTTCTCTTCCTGACTGATAGGCCTTATATCGGAGGCTGAAAATAAAAATTAAATAAAAAAATTTTAATTATAAAAAATACAATGCTGCATCCGTGTGTGCTTCTGAACTTCCCATAATGAATTTGAATTTGTATATTCACAAAGTCTGCATTTAAATAGGTCCTAGAAATAGGAAGATTAAAAACTTTTTTAATTGAAATTTTTTGATATAGATTAACTCCATGACAAAAAAAAACAAATTTATACACATAAACAAAGAAAAAAGAAACAAGAGGACTCGAACCACCCACCCTTCACCCCCGCAAGTCAGAACCGTTAACCCATCGACCACACATAGTAGAATCAAAAAAGCAAAAATGGCTTGTATCGTGTCAAAAAACCCATAAAAAATGGAAGCAAGAAGACTCGAACCCACACTATACCCAGGCGGGTATAGTACAAGTCAAAATAAAATTCTAAACAACCTTCTTCTTCAAATGCACCATATATACATGCCGTTGACGTGCTGTAGAACAAATATCCAAATCGCATACCTAAAAATTAGAAAAAAATTCTCTCCTCATTAAATTAAATTTACTTGACAATGAGCTTTTCTTATAGCTTTGGAATCCACAACTGCAGCACGTGAAGGTGTGGAGGTGCCACTTCCTTGGGCTGAATCTAACGTTGAAGAAAGTAGCAGGGATTTGAGGGGAGCGAAGAAATCAAGCTGAAAATAGCGAAATTATGGATATTTTGAGTCCCCGGCCAAATGGTAGGCGACCAACTGTCAATTATCAAATATCACTGACCAATTGTCACCGACCAATTGACACTGACCGTTTTGGTCTTTTTAATTTTAAAACAGTACCCCGAAGTTGGATGTGACAGAATGTCAATGACCAAATGCCACCAAAATGGTCAGTGACATTTGATCGTTGACATTTAGTCACCGGTAATTTGGTCAATCACCTAATTGCCACTGACCATTTTGGTCATTTTTATTTTTTAAATGGAATCCTCTGACTGAGGAAGGAAGCCATCGTATTCTCAAAAAAGGGACAAAAAATTTTTTTTACCTCGTCAGTTGCCTGCTGCTGTTGTTCCTCTTCTCCACTAGCAACTAAAATATTGCTAGAAGTGGTTGGCTGTTCTTCTTCTTGTAATTTTCCGTCCTCTACCTCTTCAGTCACCTCCTCATTCACCTCTTCTTTCATTTCCTCCTCCCCTCTTTCCTCCTCACAAAATTGTTTTTGCTGCCCACCATCATTATTTTCAGCAACAGATTCCAAGAAGCCTTTGAGTAACATTAACGCGTCACCTTGTTGGTCTTTGGTTTTGGTGTTTTCGACGTTGAATAATTCAGTATTTTGCTGAAAAAATTTTTTTCGTAATTTAAAGAACTTGGAATGTTAAAAAAAAATTTTTAAACATAAATGCTAACACCCAAAAGATCACCTTCTCAAAATATCAAATACAAAAAAACCCCTCCCTACCCAAAAGATCACCACTAGAAAAGGAAGCATCGTAATGGTGATCTTTTGGAAATCCCTCTATTTTTTATTTACCTACCCAAAAGATCACCATTAGAAAAAGAAGCATTGTAGTGGTGATCTTTTGGACTTTACACAAAATTAATTAAAACTTCACCTTATTCGTTTGAATATTTGTGTCATTTGAAGTGGACTGTGTTGAATAATCCACGCTGGCCTGTACAAATAAATTTTCAAGAATTTTTAAAATTTTCTGAAAAATTTTTTAACTCACCAAAAGCCATAAATGTATTTTGTCATCAACTTTGGGCGTTAAAAAAGTTTGGGCGACGATTTTTGAGTGATTCTAGAAAAGTGGGATATTTTGTCATTTATTTAAAAAATTAAAAATTTGCCTCAATCAAGTGTTCTCGTAATTGTTTTCCGTTTTCAAAGTGAGTAGCTTCAAGTCCCTGACTGGGACAAATTTGACAAGTTTTCATTTTTAAAAGAAAATCTGGAAAAATAAGGGGAATAAAGAGGAAAATTGAAGAACCGCTAAGGTAAAAAGGGCATTAGGACATATCGGGATATTTCAACGTCCGAACAGTTAACCGACTGATTTCGGGACCTACGGCCACTGGGTCTTGGGCTAGTACATTGCCCTTTTGAAGAAAAGAACCTCATAGTTTTGGAACTGACAAACGCTCAAAAGGTTATTTCTCTTGTAGAAAACCCCTGAAAGCCCCCCCCCCCCCCCCCCCCCAAAGCCCCCCCCCCCCCCCCCAAAGCCCCCACACCGCAAAAACAAGGTAAAATACCGACCAGAAACCCTTGTCGTTGTTGAAGAAAAAAATTTTTTTCTTCTAGAAAATATGTAGGAGAGTGGCAAGCAGCAATATATAAATGTCTATGTAGTGGTAGAAGTAGAAAATGGTTGGTTGGTTGGAGGTGGAGGACTACTTGCTAGCTGTTGTGTGTTGGAGAAGAAAGGCAGCACAGAAAGGCTGTTGCTGTTGAGCGTTTATATGTTGGTTGGCTGCTGTCGTTGTTGATGATGAAGGCAAAAATGGGAGAAGGAAAGCACAAGGCAAATGAAAGGAAGAAGGCTATATTTTTAGCAGCAGCTGGGAGAGAGGAAAGAGTTCTTCTCGTTTGGTGTGGTGGTGGCTGTCGAGCAAGGCCGACAATGTCGTCGTCGCTCGATGGATGGAGGCGCTGATGACAACGGGCAAAAAGAAGGAAGAAAGGAAGGGGGAAAAGGAAAAAGAAAGAACTGCTCGTCGTCTACTGACACACATGAGTTTGTTGGTGGTGGTCCTCATGATGGAGAGGGCTCCCACATATTTTACCAATAACACATTTTGCCAATAAGGCTAAAAATTAACGTTTTGCCAATAAGGCTGTTGACAAAATGAGGATTTTTAGCCTTATTGGCAAAATGTGGTATTGGCGAAATATGTGGACATAGATGGAAAGGGTAGAGAAAGAAGGCAATGCTGTGGCAGGCAAAAAGAAGAAGAAGAAAGTGATGAGGGGATATCAACAACAGCAGCAGCAAGCAAACTACATTATTGCCTTGATGGCCAAAGTGAAGAGAAAGGAAAGCAATCGAACCCTAAAGGCTTTGCTGTTGTTTAGAGGTGAATAAGGCTGTGGAGAAATGATCATCAACAAATGCTTAAATGAATTTATTTGGGAAGGACTGAAGGGCAAGAAAGGGTGTTTTCAGAAAAAGGAGAAGAAAAGATGGGCTTAAAGGTTGAGACTTTGATTTTCAAATCAAAAGAATCCGCTTCATTAAGGATTCAGAGATTCGTGTCACATATTATGTCAAGACCACATTTTGCCAATAAGGCTATAAGCTTACATTTTGTCAAAACGGTTGTGTTGGCAAAATGTAAATTTTTAGCCTTATTGGCAAAATATGGATTTGGCAGAATAGAGGAAAGAGTAAAAATGAGAGAGTTGAAAAGAGAAAGTTGGGGCAGAGAAAAATAAATTTTGAAATTACGCGGAATTAATAGGGAGAATGTCAAAGTGTTAAAAAGAGAAGAGAATGTAAAAATGTCAAGAAGGGAATAATTAGGCAAATCGACACAAGTCTTTCCGTTAATTTCCCTATTTTTTATCGGTGTCGGGCTTGTTTTAGTCGTTCCGTGAATTATCCGTTCTATTTTTGCTCGACTTCAGGCTAACTCATGGGACGGACAACTCATGGAACGGACAATTCACTGAATGACAATTCACGGAACGGACAATTCACTGAATGACAATTCATGGAACGGACAATTCACGGAATGACCAAAGCCGTGATTTGGAATTCCGAGCTAGCCCCAACCTATTTTTATTTTGCAACTTTAATCTTTTTTGTCTTTTTTCTTTAGCCTGTATGTAATTTTAAATCAAATGACTTCATTAACTTCTACAAAAACAACAAAGTCAACAACTCTAAAATTTGATGAAACAACTGATTTTAAATATTTATTTTCACAATCTAACGATGTTCAACCTTTCCTTCGTGCTAGTCTTTTTGATAATGTGCCTCCAACAATACTCTTTTATGTTAAGGGAACTAAAGGTTTTTCTTTAATTTTTTGTATTTTTGCGGATAAACAAAAATTTGCGGACATATTTTTGAGGGAGGTTGGAGAGGTATAGGTGTCCGCAAAAATTTTTCCGCAAGTTTCTTGTTTGTCCGCAAAAGTTGAAAACGCATTAAAAGTCGGTAATCTTCTGCTTCATTGGTCCCTAGAAAAAAATGAGGAAAAAGTGCCAGTTAGACGTTTTTGAGGCATGCCAGTAGGTAATCGAGTGTGCTGAGTCCGAATATGACCTTAAAATTTGTTTATTTCGAACTCCGAACCTGAATTCGACCAAGTCGAACATGGGGTAAAAATTCGAAATTTCAAATTTTATGTTTAATCGGACTGGTCTCTTCGAGCTGAGTCGATTGGTATCAAAATTATTACGTTTCGACATCTTTATACTAAGTTATGGTGTCTGATTTATATACGGAAGTCTAACCAAGCGTGTATTTAATTGATCATAACTCAGTCTAAAGTTGTCGAAACACAATAATTTTGATATCATTCGACTCAGCTTGAAGAGACGCGTCAGAGTAGCGATAGCCTAATATTTTGAATTCTTACCCCGAATTCGACTTAGTCGAATTCGGGACCGGGGTTCGAAATAAACAAATTCTAAGACCATATTCGGACTCAGCACACTCGATTACCTACTGGTAGACCTCAAAAATGTCTAACTAGTACTTTTTCCTCTTTTTTCCTAGGGACCAATGAAGCAGAAGATTACCTAAAAGTCTATCCGCAAGCTTTTTTTTGTCTGTCCGCAAATATGAAAACGTCATAAAAAGTTGTCCGCAAGTTTTTTTGTCTTTGCAAAAATTTGAAAAAAGGCTGAAAATCCTGTCCGCAAATTTCCTGTCCGTCCGCAATAGTTGAAAACATTTTAAAGCCTATCCGCAAGTTTGCTTTGTCTGTCCGCAAGTCTCTTGACTTTCGCAAAAGCAAGAAAACGCCGCAAAAAATTCGTCCGCAAGTTTTCTGGATGTCCGCAAAATTTAAAAAAGTGTTGAAAATCCTGTCCGCAAATTTCCCCTGTCCGCAAAAATAAAATAAGTTAATTTTCAAGTCAAAAAACCTCATAATTATACTCAACAACTTACCTGGTGCAACAATTCATTATTAGCTTTGGTTGTACGTCACAGGTTTTTTCTTCAATTTTTCTGCAAGGTTTTCAACATTTTTTAGTTTACTCGCAAGCCATTTCAAATTAGTCGAAGAGGATCAATTTTGGTTTGGATATTGGGGAAGACATTTAAAATCAGCTCAATATCAAACTTTAAAGCCTTGTCAAAAAGTTTGTGGTTTTTTTTTATTTATAAGGCTTGGAATAGTTATTTGATTTATTTAACTTGGGCGGGTTAAAGCTAGCGAAATTTTCACCTGGTATATAGTCAAAATTTAAGAGGTTTTAGTTGGTGGGGTAATTGAGCGCAGGCCCGTAGACAGGGGGATTTCGGTTAAATCTTGCGGGTGTCGATTTTTCGGTTTGCATTCTTTGGGTACACCCCGACGTACCACGAGGCCAACGTACCGCAGAGATATAACTTTGTTCAAAATAGTCGAATCCAGGACGTCCTGGTATGGTTTGGATTTAGCCAGTCGAGATGCATTGACTCTACCAAGACGTCCCAGATTCGACTATTTGGGCGAAGTTATAGCTCTGCGGTACCTTGGCCCCGCAGTACGTTGGCCTGCTCCCCCACTCTTTTGCGTTTGGATTCTGGAATGGTTTTTCTTTTAATTTTTTTCATATCTGACCATTAGTATGAGTCTTCTTGAATAACCCACAAAAACTCACAAACCTCAACTTAAATTTCATTGGATTTGAACTTATTTAACCAAACATTTCCAGGTCAATCACTTCCCTGGCGCCTTCCATCTTGGACGTAAAGACAGACTTTGGTTACACTTATTTGACATGATGCAGCGCTTTCCAGATGATGAATTTTGCATAATGCCTTATACTTATATTTTGCCTAAAGACATTAAAAGGCTCAGGGTTTACTTGTCAATGAAGGCTACTGTTCGACACGTTATTCTGAAACCTGTAAATTTTTCAAGTTTTTTTTAAATTTTTTTTTATTTTTGGCCCCTCGTATTGTGTCAACTTTCTGACGAGAAACTTATTTTAGACCTCCGGGTTATGATCCGAACTAGGGTAGCACCTCGAGCCTTCGTGGGCGGGAGTGTCGGTTTCGGGATTTGCCGGGGTAGAGCCTTCGGGGTTCAGTTTGGGGTTTGCCAAAAATTAGTCGGTGTTTCTGGGGACGGAGTGCTATTCTAGTCCGATCCATGGATACTCCGAGAAAAAATCAGGTCACGGTTTTGGATCGGGTTTTTAAATTCTTCGGATTTGGTTTCGGATTTCGACTTGAAGAAACCGGATTTGGGATCTCTAGTATCAAGTGTCGGATAATCCGTGTGATCTTTGTCCGAGCCAGTTTTACCCTGAAACGTATTTGTACCAACAAGTCTGTACTTATAGTAATGGAGCTTGTGGCTTTAGGGCACCTTTAGGCACTTTGCCTGTGAAATAGAGATCAAGCTGGGTCTGGACCAAGGCCTGGTTTTTTTCTGTACCCAGAGTCCAGGAGCCCCAGGCTCAAACCCTCCAATTTTTTATTTATTTTTTTAGCCAGCTTCAGCTAGAGGAACAGGAATTAATATTATTTCACGTTTTAATATGGTGCCTGAAAAAACTTCTTTGGTCGCCCAACAGTTTAATTTTTTTTGAATTTTTTATAAAATTTTAAAATTTCAGTTATATTGAAAGCCCTTTTTTAATAAATGATTCGAAATTTGATTTGAGAATTTATGTGTATGTTACAAGTTATGATCCTTTGCGTATTTATGTTTATAAGGAAGGATTAGTTCGGTTAGTTTTTTGTGGGGAATATTTTTTTGGGCTAGGATTTTGGTTTCCGTTAAGAAGTTTTAAGGAATTGTTTTAAATTTTAAGCTTTAGGCTGATGTTCCAACTACAGCTAAAAATTTTTTAACCTTTATTATTAAGTATTTGGTCGACATTAATTTTTTAAATTTTATTGTAGAACGGGGAAGTTGTTTTAAATTTGTTCCAACAGCGGAATAAATTTCAATTGTAGAGGGGTGATCTATCGGTTAATGATTCATCGGAGATTTCATTTGAACATAACATAGCGACCGATCAAGAATATTTGAACATTTCCTTGATCGTGGAATCATTAGAATATCTAATCAGAATATTGGGTGTTGATTGAGGCTATTTTGGGTGTTGATATTTTGGGTTCGATATTTAGGGGTGGAGTCTTCTTCCGTCTTACGCTTTTAAAATTACGGAAAAACCCATCCTTGATGTATGAGCTCTTTAAAATTTTTTTAAAATTTTCAAGTTTTGCAAGTGTTTCATACAACCCTGAAATTTCTTCATTTACAAACCAATTTATGCATTTAACAAATTATTCAATAAATAAATTGGCTGTTTCTTCAAGTAGTTCAACACAAACAGAAGATGGAGGCGATCAACAATTTGTAGTTCCAAAATGGAAATTGACTCAATTTTGGAAATATTTGGATAAATTGGGGCATAATTCAAACAATTTAAAAGAGGAAATACACAAAATTGCTATAAAGGCTATTATTTCTTGTGAAAGCCATATTAGGGCACATGCAGCCCATCATTGTAAATATCCGTTTATCAGGTTTTTTTTAAATATTTTGTAGGGAATAAGTATTTTTAAGGAAAGTAGCTATTATAGGACCCTTTTCCCACTCTCATTTTTGGATTTAAATAATGGCAGGTGGACGAGGACGTAGCCAGGGGTCGATTTCAGGAGAGCTAAAATGGGGTGTCTTCCCTTTTCCCCATTTCAGGGGGGTTAAGGCCCCAGAAGGCTTCCTCCCGCCCGATGGATTAAATCTTTTTTTTTGATTTGGATTCGAGGCTAAAGTAGTGTCCGGTCAGATTTCTCTGATTAATCCTGGAAAATCTGAAGATCACGGAAAAACCCGGATTGGTAACACGGACTCTGTAAAAATCTGGTAGGATCCAATCCGCCTCGGTTACTGGTTTTCAAACAAATTTTTGGATCCCATAACAAAGACGTATATAATATAGATCGAGCTGGGCCTGGACCAATGCTGGGGTTTTTCCTGTACCCAGAGTCCAGGCCCAGACATCTTTTGACTTTCCTGGGTTTTTCCTGAAGTACAGGCTCAGGATCCGGCCCAGGTCAATAAATCAAACCACAGAGTCCAGGCTTTTCAAAAATCTCGATCTCTAGTATTCAGGGCTTGTTCACTTAAGCAACTCAATTATTTGTTTTTAGTTATGAGCTTTATGGAATGGATATTCTCGGTTATTTTTTATAATATTTTTTTATTTTCTTTTTAAAATTTAGTTGATAGCAATTTACGCCCTTGGCTAATTGAGATGAATATAAGCCCTTCTCTCCATTCTTCAACACCTTTGGATATTGCAGTAAAAGCCCCATTAGCAAAAGACACGCTTATTTTGGCTGGAATTCCTTTTCCAGTGAGGTTGTAACTTTTATATTTTTATTCTTAAATTTGTGTCAAATCCGCTTGGGAAATTTCAGAAAATTTTGGAAAAATTTTCTAAATGTGGTTGTGACCATTTGGGTCAATTTTTGGAAATTTTTTTTTGGAAAATTATTTTTTTTATTTGGGTCAGCCACGTTTGGACCATCTTTAGATAATTTTTCTTAAATTATTTTTTATTTGGGTAAACTCGTTTGGGTCAATTTTTGAAAAATTTCGCAAATTTTTTTCAATTTGGGTCAGACCGTTTGGGTCAAAGAAATTTTTGGGACCTATTGTCTGTCTTTTCACAAAAATCTGATTTTCTAAATTTTTTTTCATTTTTAGCAGTGAATATGAAGATTTCTTTTCCTCTCTTTACTTCCTTACAAGAAATTTGAAGGCTCATAAAGATGAAGAACATTTGGAAAAAGAAGCGACTCATTTGGAATATTTTAATGAAAATAAGGTTTGATTTTTAAAAATTAATTCAAAATTTTTTGTAGGAAATTCGTGAAGATATTTGTGATGTTCTGACTGGCTCTGATTTACGAATTTTAAGTAAGGGGTATTTTTTAAAAATTAAATGGGGAATTTTATATCTAGGGATGACAGAACTAGTTTTTTGGACACATTTTTTATTAAAAACGGTCTCATTTTACCTTACACTCCCACTTATCTAGATTACTTATCCAAGCCTCTATTTACTACTCTCTCAATTATTTCAAGACTTACCCTATTTAAAATGCCCCCTTATTCTCCTGTTTAGACCTATTCCTTCTCTTATATTAACCAACCCCAAAAATGAAAATCGTGGGTCGAAACCCGGTGATATCCAAAAACCGTGGTTATGTCCTCCCTAGTAGAGATCGGAATTTTTGAGAAGCCTGGACGTGTTCCTGGGCTCTGAAGTTTGATTTGTTGCCTTGGCCGCCTTCTAGGGCTGTAGCCGGGAAAACCCCAGGAAGGCCAAAAAATGCCTGGGCCTGGACTTTGGGTACAGGAAAAACCCAGGACTTGGTTCAGACCCAGGCTGATCTCTACTCCCTAGATTAATCCAAAAAATTATTATTTTTTCAGTTGAATATGAAGACGAATTAGCACGAATTGGTGAATTTGAATTAGTCTATCCTTCAACAAAATTAAATTATTTAAAATATATGAGGTTACCTCTATATTCAAATTTACTTCTTTCATTTTGGCAAAAAATTAAAAAAGAAGAAAAAATGATAAAAATGAAAGAAATTTCAAAATTGTGTTCAAAAAAAGAACATTTGGCTAAAATAAAAAATAATAATTTGAGGGAGGAGGAGGAAGAAGAAAATGAGGAAGAAAATTAAAAAAAAAGGAAGGACAAATTAATTTTTTTTAAAATTTTTTCAAAGGCTGCCAACGAAAAAAAAATATTTTTTTTTCAAAAAATACTCTAAAAAGCCTTAAAAATATTTTTAGATAATTTTTGAAATTTTTTTTCTTATTTTAGTTTTTTTAAATAAAAATTGTTTAGAATAATCTACCTAACCATTTTTTGATTTTTATTCAAAAAGAATGGGCAAGAGAAGACATCCCACTCTCTCCCTATCTTTATTCGATTTCTTCAATTTTTTTTTGCTCCGTTAAAACTTTCTTTTTTTTTTTTCTTTCTGTCTACCCCTGTTGATGATAAAAAATTTTTTCACAACAAAATCAGAATTTAAAAAACCAGAATTTCTCTCAAGAAAATTCAGAATTTTCCTCTTTTTTTTCTGCTTATCTTGCCCATTTCTACTGATTAAAAAATTTAAAAATAAATATTTAAAGAATAAATTTGAAGATTCTCTCCTTTTAATGGATAAATTTTACTTTTTTTTACCTTAATTTTATTTTTTAAAATTAAAAAAAAAATTTTTTTTCAGAAAAAATGTTAAATATTCGTTGCTCTAATTTTGTTAAAAGGGCAGTTTCTTCTGTTACTACTTTATTTGGACAACCAACAAAAATGCCTTTATTAGTGGAGAAATATAATTATTATTTGCCTACTCAATCTGTTAATTATTGGAGTTTGAGACGTTTTGAGGTAGTTAATGGGGGGAATTATTTGGAATCAGAATAAAAATCAGAACTTTTAAAATCAGAATTTCAAAATCAGAATTTTCGAAATCAGAACTTTTAGGATCAGAATTTAAAAATCAGAATTAAAATCAGAATTTTAAAATCAGAACAGAATCAGAATTTTAAATTCTGATTTTGAAAATCAGAATAAAATCAGAATTTTTAAAATCAGAATTTTCAAAATCAGAATAAAATCAGAATTATGAAATCAGATCAAAATCAGAATGTGAAAAATCTTAATTCAAAAAATCAGAATTTAAGCACATACTAGCTTTCAGGTTCTTCCACTACGATCTTTTTCTGCTCAAGCGGAGCAACAAACAATTTTTGATGTTGATTCTGACGATGGTTTTGACGAGCTCATACTTAACTCAGAAAAGCCAGTGATTGCCTGCTTTCACGCCGATTGGTATTTTAAAATAAAATCAGAATACCAGAATTTCGAAAAATCAGAATTTCAGAACAACATCAGAATTTCAGAATCAGAATTTCTGAAGAATCAGAATTTCAAAACAAATCAGAATTTCAGAGAAACCAGAATTTCAGAAAATCAGAATTTCAGAAAATCAGAATTTCTGAAAAATCAGAATTTCTCAAAAATCAGAATTTCAGAACAATTTCAGAACATTATCAGAATTTCAGAACAATTCCTTTTTTTAAGGTGTGGCCCTTGCCAAAGCTTTGCACCCAGGCTTGAAGCAAAAGTAACTGGACAGGGAGGCAAGGTCTGTCCAATTAAAAAAATAAAAATAAATATACCTAATATTCCCCCTTATATTTAAAGATTTTATTAGCAAAAATCAACGTTGAGGGAGGGGCAAGTTCCCTAGCCGAACAGTTTGAAGTTACTTCAATCCCAACAATTGTGTGCTTTAAAAATGGCGAATTTTTTGATAGAATTGAGGGGGCTGTTGAGGATTCTGATTTGGATGACCTTTTGGAAGATTTGTTAATGTCTGGGGAAGAAGGGGAGGAGGAAGGGGGAGAAGGAGGAGGAGAAAGTGTTAGGGAATAAATTAAATATTTTTTGTTGAATTGTTAATTTATATATATTTTTTTTTGATTTCTGATGGTTTTAAAATGTTCTGATTATAAAAATTCTGAATATTAAAATTATTCTGATTTTAAAATAATTCTGAAATTTTTCAAAATTCTGATGGACATTTTCTAAAATTATTTTTTCAGAATTTTGGGGTTTTCTGATATTTTATAGAAATTCTGATTTTTATTCTGGTTTTTTCTGATACCTTCGAAAATTCTGATTTTTCAAAATTCTGATTTCTGATATTTATTCTGATTTTTTCCAAAATTCTGATTTTTGTCTGATTTTCTGATTTTTTCTGATACTTGCAAAAATTCTGATTTCTTCAAAATTCTGATGAACATTTTAAAAATTATTTTTTTTCAGAATTCTGATTTTATTTTTTTTCTGTTTCATTTTAAATTTATTACGCTTTTCTGATAAAGATGATTTCAGTCAAAAATTATTTACTTGTCTATACATGTTAATTAATTACATGTGTATTTAATCAATATTTATTTTTTCTTTTTATTAATTTTATTTTTTAACAGTCTTGCCTTATTTTTAAATAAAGTATTTTTAAAAAATATGACTGTTATCGCAGGATTGTTTGAAGTCACAGCTACAGGTTGATTATTATTAAAATCAGAATTTTTCGGAAATTCTGATTCTGAAAAATCGAACTATCAGAAGTTAATTTTTCAGAAATTCTGATTTTTAAAAATTTAAAAATCAGAATTTTTCGTAAATTTTGTTTCTTAGAAATCAGAATAACAATTTTCAGAAATCAGAATTACGTAAAATTATTTTTTGAAAATTAGAATTTTTTCACAAATCAGAATCAGAATTTTTAAAAAATCAGAATTTTCAAAAATCAGAAATTCTAATTTTTGAAGGTCAGAATTTTCAGAAATTCTGATTTCTGGTTTTCTTTCTGAAAATCAGAATTTTTTCATATGTCAGAATTTTTCAGAAATCAGAAATTCTGATTTTTCTAATTTTTTCCAAAATTTAGATGTTGTATTGCTCATTCTCTTCATTTATGTTGTTTATAAATTATTCTTCAAAAAACACCCAGTAATTGAACCCCCAACACAAGAAAAGGTTTACCAAGTGGAAAAGAGGGATATGACTGTTGAGGAACTTAAAGGTTACAATGGGGTGGAAAATGAACGGATTTATATGGCTCTGAATGGGAATGTAGGTTTTTTTGATTGCTGATAGTTGGGGAAGAAAATCAGAATTTATTTTCTCAGAAATTCTGATTCTGAAAAATCAGAACTTTTTAGAAATTCTGGTTTTTTAGAATAAACCAGAACCCATTCTGCCTTTATTAATCCTTAATATAAATTATTTACAGATTTATGATGTTACAAGAGGAAAGGATTTTTATGGTCCACAAGGAGCTTATGGAGGTAACTTTTGAATTTAAAAAGATTATAATTTCTGTTGGGTGTCGATCTGTAGAGTAAGTAATCCTAATTTTTTCAGAAATTCCGGAAATTCTGATTTCTGAAAATTCCCAGAAATTCTGATTTTTTGATTTATGCTTAGCTGATTTTGGGAAATATTCGGATATCCGGATTCGACATCCGAACTGAAAACTTTCAGATATCCGGACCGTTTCCGAATCCGTCACCCCTGCCCTCAGTGCCCCCTCCATCATCACTCCCCCTATCCTTTCCCCTCACCATTTTTATTTTTATTCTTCTAGCACTCGCCGGTCACGATGCTACACGCGCCCTGGGTACAATGAATATTAAACTGGTCAAAGACAAATATGATGACCACACAGGAATGACTGCAGACGATTTAGAAGAGGCCAAAGAATGGGAACAACGACTTTCTTGTAATTTTTTTGAATTTTTTTTGACTGAAAAAAAATTTTTTTAAGTCAAATATCCGTTGGTTGGACGTTTATTGGCACCGGGGGAAGCAACTGGAGAGGCAATGGAAGTGGAAAAACCTCAAGAAAAAATTCAAGAAGAACCTCAGGAATAATTTAATTATGTAAAGTTGTAATGGATTTGGATTTTTTTAATTTTTTAATTCTATGTATTCCTCACTTATTAATTAAAAAAAATCATTTTTGCATTCGATTTTTCGGGTTTCGATTTTTCGGGACCTATAACTCGGTCCAGAATTATTTCCTAAAGTAGGGAGTGGTACCATTCGACTCAGCTCGTCGAGACGAATCGAATGACATATGTCACGTCCCGAACTTTTACCACCGGTACACTACACTACAGCCCTAAAGAAATTGGGTTTTGGATGAATTTCAAGTTTTGAACTCATTCAAGTTTTACTTGCTATTGCGAAGTGATATCCATTGTTTTGAAAAATGATTTTCGAAAGTCCGAGTTATGGTCAATCAAAGTTGGATCGCTACTTAGTCTGGGTTATAGGGTAAATCAGCAACTTATTTTTCATCCTCAAAAACCCCTTTCGCCCATTTCTCTTATTGTGTCAGACATTTTCTCTCTTCGTTTTTCCACAGTGCCTCCTTCACTTTTTTCTCATCTTTAAGAAAATGTATAGAAATCAGAGTATAGTGAAAAGAAAGGAGAACCGCACTATTTATTTTTTCCTTCTCTGCTTACTTTACATTGTCTTACAATGGGGAGAAAAAAATGCATGAGTTGTGAAGAATTATAGAAAAAGCAAAGAAAAATAGCAGCCACAAAAAGCAAAGAGAAAATGGAGGCGGGTTAGTTGAGTATTAAAGAGTGGAGAAAAGTTGTTTGTGGAGAAATTTGAACTGAGCGAAAATGGGAAGGACCCAAGTACAAGAAATTCGCTTTCGCGGGGATGATTTAAAATTTATGAAAAAGAGAGCAAATTTAATAATCATAAGAGAAAAACATAGGGCAAATAAGAGAATAACATAGGGCAAATTAGGAAAAAGCTGGAATTACCCGGGCTGTTCCACATTAGCAGAGCTGTAATCTTTGAATTTAAATTTGGTAAATATTTGAATTTTTGAAATATTTTTTCTGAAACATTATCGGAAACATTATAGGTTTTAGTGGTTAAGTGAATCGGGGTTAACTTATCTTTACTTGGGCTGGACAAATTTCTACTTTTTTGGGAGACTCCGTCTTTTTCATTGAAAACGTCTTGAGAGCTGTGACCTGGGTTGAACAATAAGGAATATGACTAAATTTCGAACGACTAACTGAGGCAGTACTTATAGGTGGTTACATGGGCTGGGAGAGGTGTTCCAAGACAATGTAACTATCAGCATGTTTTTGCTCTAAACGATTACCCAGGCTGCCACTGGGTAATCATTACCAAATATGACTCAGTAGCCATAGTGTTGGAACATCTCTATAATGGGTGATGCCCGGATTGCTCGCGGAGAGTGAGCATCTTAGTGGAACTGCTCGGCGAGCCGAAATTGCATTGTCGATTTAGAAATTAAATTTTTATTTAATTCCTCCGAATGGAAGTGAAAGTACATTGAGAAAGACCAAAATTGCGTAGTGAAAATCGTCCCCCTAAATAATAAGTTTCTTCGGCTTGTGTTGTTTTTAATATTACTGTCAAAGCTCCTCTGTACGAAGGGGTCCAAATTTTAATACTACTATTAAATAACTACTATTAAAGCAACCACTTTTACTATTTAAACAACCACTTTTACTAATTCTACGACCACTTTGTTTTCTTTCTTGCTTAATTCTCTTTCCATTTATTTTTCTCATGATGGCGCATAGCTTAGGGTTGCATTTGGTCCATTTCTCTTTTCGCCTCGACTCATATTATTATAAAAGTGGTTGTTTGTTGAGTACAATTGTAGAAGTGGCTGTGTGCTGGTGGAAATGGAAAATAAAGTGGTTGTTGCTGAGGAAAATGGAAAGGAAAAATGTATAGGAAAATGAATAATTCTCGACTTAGCAGATCTCAAGTCCTTCCGGGCTTCTTGATGCTCTTTTATGTAAATTCTTTTCATCCAATCAACATGTTTATTGTACAATCTGAAGACTCAAATGTGCTACTATTTTCAACCGTTTTAAATCGATTTGTCATCGTTTTAAAGTGTTCTGATGATGATTTAACTGGTATGATTGGACAAGCTGACAGCCTCTCTCAAATCTCGGATTTCGTGTTGACCTGGGGGCATCTAAGCACTGATATATCATCATGAATGGAAATTGACAAAATTTCCAACTGAAAAATGCTTATCGGTTGAATCTCGATGAAAGAGAAAAAATGAAACTAAATGTAGCCTTTTGGCTGATTGGTGAAGTGAAAAGTTGATATTTTGTGTTGAGACGAAGCGTCCTCAGTGAAGGATCTGAATTTTATGCCAGTTCATTGCTGTATTGGCAAGATGAGCAGTTGGTAGGTTCGATGCACACTTTTGAGTGTTCGTAAAGCCAGCAAGTGACCCGAGATTGGTTGTGAGACCAAATCTGTCTCGCCTCGTGTGTCGTTCTGGCGCCGGCGGTGCTCGAGTATGTTATTGTGCATCTTGAAGCTTTTCAGTAAGATTCGTTCTCTTTAAAGCTCGAGTGAATCTTACCTGGATTTACGAGATATCTGGTTGATCCTGCCTGAACTGATGTGTTCATTTCAAAGATTAAGCCATGCATGTATAAGTTTAATCGTTTTAACGAGAAACCGCGAACGGCTCATTACAATGGCCATGATTTACTTGATCTTGATTATCTAAATGGATAACTGTGGAAAAGCTAGAGCTAATACATGCACCAAAGCTTTGTCCTCTCGGAAAAGCGCATTTATTAGAACAAAACCACGCGGCTTCGGCTGCTTCTTGTTGACTCAGAATAACTAAGCTGACCGCATGGCCTTGTGCCGGCGGCGTGTCTTTCAAGCGTCCACTTTATCAACTTGACGGGAGCATAATCGACTCCCGTGGTGGTGACGGATAACGGAGGATCAGGGTTCGACTCCGGAGAAGGGGCCTGAGAAATGGCCACTACGTCTAAGGATGGCAGCAGGCGCGCAAATTACCCACTCTCGGCTCGAGGAGGTAGTGACGAGAAATAACGAGATCGTTCTCTTTGAGGCCGGTCATCGGAATGGGTACAATTTAAACCCTTTAACGAGTATCAAGCAGAGGGCAAGTCTGGTGCCAGCAGCCGCGGTAATTCCAGCTCTGCTAATACATAGAATTATTGCTGCGGTTAAAAAGCTCGTAGTTGGATTCGTATCGGTACCCTGGAACCCTCCGGGTGTTTCTGGGTGTTATCGATTTATCGTAATGTTCGGTTTTGAGTCCTTAACAGGATTCTTAACAGGCATTGCAAGTTTACTTTGAACAAATCAGAGTGCTTCAAACAGGCGTTTTCGCTTGAATGATCGTGCATGGAATAATAGAAAACGATTTCGGTTCAGTTTTATTGGTTTTACGGACTGAGATAATGGTTAACAGAGACAAACGGGGGCATTTGTATGGCCCCGTGAGAGGTGAAATTCTTGGACCGTGGCCAGACAAACTACAGCGAAAGCATTCGCCAAGAATGTCTTCATTAATCAAGAACGAAAGTCAGAGGTTCGAAGGCGATCAGATACCGCCCTAGTTCTGACCGTAAACGATGCCAACTAGCGATCCGCCGATGGAAATTATATTGCCTTGGTGGGGAGCTTCCCGGAAACGAAAGTCTTCCGGTTCCGGGGGAAGTATGGTTGCAAAGCTGAAACTTAAAGGAATTGACGGAAGGGCACCACCAGGAGTGGAGCCTGCGGCTTAATTTGACTCAACACGGGGAAACTCACCCGGCCCGGACACTGTGAGGATTGACAGATTGATAGCTTTTTCATGATTCAGTGGATGGTGGTGCATGGCCGTTCTTAGTTCGTGGAGTGATTTGTCTGGTTTATTCCGATAACGAGCGAGACTCTAACCTACTAAATAGCTGGTACATACTCTTAGTGTATACAGCTTCTTAGAGGGATTTGCGGTGTTCAGCCGAAAGAAATTGAGCAATAACAGGTCTGTGATGCCCTTAGATGTCCGGGGCTGCACGCGCGCTACACTGGCAAAATCAACGTGCTTGTCCTACCCCGAAAGGGGCGGGTAAACCATTGAAAATTTGCCGTGATTGGGATCGGAAATTGCAATTATTTTCCGTGAACGAGGAATTCCAAGTAAGTGCGAGTCATCAGCTCGCGTTGATTACGTCCCTGCCCTTTGTACACACCGCCCGTCGCTGCCCGGGACTGAGCCATTTCGAGAAATTTGGGGACCGTTGATTTAATTTTTCTAAATTACTTTGATGGAAACCAATTTAATCGCAGTGGCTTGAACCGGGCAAAAGTCGTAACAAGGTAGCTGTAGGTGAACCTGCTGCTGGATCATTACTTTATGTGATGTTCAAATTTGAATTCGCAACAATTATATTGTTGTGAAACGGCTGTCGCTGGTGTCTAGGTGTTGCTGATACAGTTGTGAACGTCCGTGGCTGTATATGTGGTGACATGTTAGTACTCTTAATGAGTTTAAGACTTAATGAGCCTCTTAAGTGAGGACGCCAGCACTCTTTTTTTCTCTATATTTTTAAAAAAACGAAAATTTCTAGCCTTATCGGTGGATCACTCGGCTCGTGGATCGATGAAGAACGCAGCAAACTGCGATAACTTGTGCGAACTGCAGAAACCTTGAGCACAAAAGTTTTGAACGCATATTGCCGCATTGGGGTCAAACCCTTTGCTACGTCTGGTTCAGGGTCATTTTCTTTTAAAGCAAAAGCTTTAATTTATATTGCTTTTCAAGCTTTATATTTTGAAATGATTGTTGGCGGTATTTTATTTGAATGTATTTTATCAGCAACAATAAAACATTTTTGACCTGAACTCAGTCGGGAGCACCCGCTGAACTTAAGCATATCAGTAAGCGGAGGAAAAGAAACTAAACAGGATTCCCCCAGTAACGGCGAGTGAACAGGGAAATGTCCATCGCTAAATCATTTTGCCTCAGGCATTATGAGGTGTAGTGTATAAGCCGTAATTTTTGATCTTTTGTCTCAAACAAGTCCCCT